GACATCTCTGAGTGTTACTGTGTGTTATGCACGTGTTTCTATTATATCTATATACTTCTCTCGAAAGAATTTCAATTCTACACCTGGGGACATGGATGCTCTATAAAAAGAATGCAGATTTTTATTTCTTTTCCCTATATATCCTCTAATCTATTTCAATAATTAAATTTTTATCTTTAAATATTTTACAAAATATTATAATAATTATTATTTAATATTTGTAAAAGAAAATTCATGGTTTCGTTTTGGTAATAAATTTTTGTGTATAGAAGACAAAAACTCGAAGAATAAGAATGTTAGTCATTATTTGCAATCATTCGTAACGAGACGTGAGGATAAGAGTACTCTTCGGTTTATTTGTTCAAACAAAGGCGACTTGTGTAATCTCATATAGATATACCTATGTCAACGTCTAATATACTTAAAAACCTCAATTCTAGGTAATAAATTTACACGTAAAGAAGAACCATCTGGTTGAATATAGGGAAATTCCTTCAAAATGATTTTATTAATAATAATTGAAAAAACGAATAAAGTAACTTTTACTACTTTAAAAATAAAACCAGAACTGTTCGCAGTTTCTGATAATTTTTACTCCAGATAAGAAAATTTACTCCTGAAATAGTAAAAATTATTCCAAAAATAGTAAATTTTACTATTTCTGAAGTAAAAATTGCCAGAAACTGCGAACAGTTACAGTTTTACTTTTAAAAGTATAGTAAAAGTTACTTTTTTCATTTTTCTCCGTGTAATTATCAAATATTTGCAATGGTCCCCAAAAGCACCTAAAATTGAAACAACATTGTCAATAGTGCATTAAAATTTTCATGATTTCTGCAGTATCAAAAAAATTTTTTTTCAATATTGCTGTAAGTTTAGGTGCTGTATGGAATTTTCTCTATCATTAATATTATTATATTTTCTTTGTCTTTTCTGAACTGCAAAAACACTTTGCTTTTTGCACACATTGTTAACGAAGCACACTTTGCTTAAAAAAAAAATCTAAAATTCTTCGTCAAAAACTTTTCAATGTTTCCTTAACTCTGCGGCGTGTGAAAGTTTATGTATTTTGTTTTCGAGTTCATTTTTATTCTGTGAGTGTTTTAACGACTTGGCAAAAAAAAGAAATAATGGAAGATAAGGGGGGGGGTAGAGGAAAAACCCAGGAATGTTATCAAAATTTTCATGATTTCTGCAGTATCAAAAAAATTTTTTTTCAATATTGCTGTAAGTTTAGGTGCTGTATGGAATTTTCTCTATCATTAATATTATTATATTTTCTTTGTCTTTTCTGAACTACAAAAACACTTTGCTTTTTGCACACATTGTTAACGAAGCACACTTTGCTTAAAAAAAAAATCTAAAATTTCTTCGTCAAAAACTTTTCAATGTTTCCTTAACTCTGCGGCGTGTGAAAGTTTATGTATTTTGTTTTCGAGTTCATTTTTATTCTGTGAGTGTTTTAACGACTTGGCAAAAAAAAAGAAATAATGGAAGATAAGGGGGGGGGGTAGAGGAAAAACCCAGGAATGTTATCAAAATTTTCATGATTTCTGCAGTATCAAAAAAATTTTTTTTCAATATTGCTGTAAGTTTAGGTGCTGTATGGAATTTTCTCTATCATTAATATTATTATATTTTCTTTGTCTTTTCTGAACTACAAAAACACTTTGCTTTTTGCACACTTTGTTAACGAAGCACACTTTGTTTAAAAAAAAAAAATCTAAAATTTCTTCGTCAAAAACTTTTCAATGTTTTCTTAACTCTACGGCGTGTGAAAGTTTATGTATTTTGTTTTCGAGTTCATTTTTATTCTGTGAGTGTTTTAACGACTTGGCAAAAAAAAGAAATAATGGAAGATAAGGGGGGGGGTAGAGGAAAAACCCAGGAATGTTTAGTATTATGTTTATATTGTAAGGTGAACGTATCACACAGATTACACAGCATTCCTTGATGGCGTACAAACCGGCTTCTTTAACCCATTTGAGCGTGGTATCGCCGGTGCGTGACGAGGAGGAGCGCTAAAGTCGCGCCGGAACTTTTTTGAAGCCGGGTAAATGTGTGTGTGTGTGTGTGTGTGTGTGTGTGTGTGTGTGTGTGTGACGCGAGAGAAGTATAAGCATGCGGGAAATGAGCAGAGCACCGCCGCCTTGAGTTTGAAACCCACCAGTGTTCATTCTTCAGTCCAACGCAAACTGTCTTGCGCGATACTTTTCGTTATAATATGAGAGACGTTTCGACTATCCAATGTAACACTCCTCAACAGCTGCCAGTTCTTTGTGTCCTCAATGTCCTCCGATCGTTTGCTATCATATACTAACAGTTCTCAAAACATTGTCTGACCTTACATGCATAAAATTTTTTTAACCTAACCGGTATAAATAATTATCAAAAAAAAAAAAAAAAAAATCTCGATCCTCCATGTGGAAAATGCAAATTTTTTAAACAAATTTTATCAAAGGAAATTTCTTATGTCTAAAACAAGTGCCGTGAATTATTATTAGATTATGAAACGAAGTCATAGTGAGGTCGTCGCTCGTTGGATATTGCGAACTCACATTGAAGAAGAGAGAGATTATTTAGTTCCTTTTACAATTTGGAGAACATATGCGTCTTATTATTATCAATCATCAAATAAATCGAGACACGCATTACGATCAACGACCTTGTCCATCATCATTCAGTAAATTAAATTGCGTCAAGTTCAAAGTTGTCTCGTGGGCAAATCAGCATTGCCAACATATTGTCGATCACCTGCTGATTGGAATTTAAACCAGTTGGCAGCAAGTATTTTTCTTGGAAAGGAAAATAATTCACGATTAGTGGCCTAAATGCGCGTCAAAGTGAGTGCCAATGTCGTTTATTTTAAATATATATTTATCCGTATATAGAATACGTATATTCATTTAATGGAAATAATTTGGTTTTTAATTATTAGTAGTTTTTATTCGCTTAAAAGCTTCATTTTTCTAGTAAAATATCTAAGGTTGGTACTTCTAAAGGAATTAAAAAATTTTTTTTAAACAGGGTGCCAAAAATCCTACAGTAACTTATAAGAGCAATTTCATCATTTCGCAAAGGTTATCTACAAGTTATCTTAAAGGATCCTCCTTGATATAGGATCTTAGAAGACCAATAAAGAATCCTTCAAAAAGTTTCCAGTAGGAACACGAATATATCATAGGAGTAATTTGCCTTATCATCTTATCAGACTTAAATGATTCAAAGTGGAGATTGAAGGTTTAGGTTAATTGAAGAATTAGTTTTCACAGAAATCCTAATGAAGAGTTCAGCTTTTGAAAATAGCTAATCGAAAGTTTTTGGATTACGAATTTGCTGTCAGTTTTAAAAATTGAAAATGTCTAGAAAAATATTTTTAAAAGATATAGATAGAGAGTAAAATTATTCCTTTTAACCTTAGGGAGTAAAATTTTTTTTTTTTTGAACCTAGAGCTAAAAAGAGATCTGTTTTTCAATCTTTGGAAAATAATTGATTTTAATAATCTCTTTATCAGATCTAAATTTTCAATCGATAATTCCTTAATACTGAAAAAATTGAATTTTTTTTTTTTTTTAGAAAAATAAACGAATACAACTTGCAAGACATCAAAAACTTGTTTTGATAAATATAAACGTTTGAAAAACGATAAGTGGATATAATAAATTTATTATGAAATTTCAATGTTAATTTAAAGCAGACATTTCAAACAAGATTATCGACATTGATGATGATAATAAATCTCATTTTAATAACTCGAATTTTTAGTCAAAAATTCTTTAAGGGATTTTTTTTTCATTTCTCAAAACTATTATTCAAATGTTTCCGCAACATACTTGAGATAATTAAAAAATATATGGGATTTATTGTAGTGCGTTATTTAAAATAAAAGTTCTCACACACAGAGATGATACTATATATATGAAAGCTTTTCAAATCAATATGAAAGCATTTAAATTACAACTTTTTATACCAATTTTAGCTTCTTCGGAGAAATCATTATATGAGAACTGAGAAGTCACTGTTTGTCAGCTCATTGTACTTATTTAAAAAAAAATATTTTAATATATAATTATCACAAGACATTGATATTTGATACATTAAATTCAATGCATTGATATATAATTGTAAAAAATTCAATAATTTTGAAATTAATTTGAAATTAAAATTAAATTTAAACTGACTCCCTAAACCTTGGAGGGTTTAGGTTGACATTGTCACGTCAAAAAATTAATCGTTACTTATATATTACAAAAAATTGAAAATATACGAATCATAATGGGTATTTCTATTTCTCATATTTCATATTCGATAACTTGATATATGTATTGGTCAATAATATTATTAAAATTTTAAGGGTATTTGGTATTTTTCTATAATTGAATTAATTATAAGTTTTATTCACGCAATTCTTAAGTTCTTTCCGACAGGATCCGGGTACGAAATTTTATAGCTTCTATACTGCGCGTGGGCGCACCTGTTTTATTAAACAGGCGTCTTTTTCTCAACATAATTGTGAAACTTTAGTTGTGTATATTGCGATTGTAAATGAGCTATTGTATGTTAGAAGTGCACACGCCCGAGTCAAAGAAACATAATTGAAGACTTCCTCAATTAAAACCTAACCCAAAATTTTTTTAAACGACAACTTTTCTAAATCATTCTTAAACTGATGGTATATATAATTTAACATGTTGTTATCTATAAACACTTAAGTTTCAAATTTCGATATAATAATATAATTTGAAAAATATCCATTTAAAATTTACCCTATTATTTTAATCATAGCGATAGTTAAATGGCCTTTTTAATCTCTAGGGAGTAAAGTAGTCTTTTTTGACTTTAGGGAGATACAATTTATTTTCTTTTTTTTTTCATTTGTTTAATAAATTTATTTAAAAATTAAATTCTTTGTAATCTTTTTTTGATAAAATGATATAGAAATTAATTATTCTTTTTTTTTTAAATCGAATTTATAGTATTTTTATTTCTGTTTTAACAGATGTCAGATTTCCCGGCGGAGGGGGGTGAAAATGGAGATATGCACGCCGTTATGGAAAATTTTCAGAAAAAAAATAATTTAATTGGTGGAAGGACACATGTAACTCACCATCCACAAGTCACATCATCGTCACAGGTAAATTTATTTTTCTACTCCCGGTGATGATTTTTATAATTTCTCTCTCAAAAAAAAAAAAAATAAAATAAGTCCGAATTTTTATTTTGACAAAATTTCTAATTGCGAATAAATTTTAATCAAATTTCGGACAATTCGCGGTTAAATTAAAATTACGTTCATTTTTTATTTAATTACGTAATGATTTTTCGTCTCTTATTCACTGATATTCATCAAGAGAATCAAGAGTTGTTTTAAATGTACAGTTCCATTTATAGTTTTTTAATAGAACCATTAATCCGTCTTTAAGAAAGATTTATTGTCCTGTTAGTGCAGCGAATATCATTAGTCATTATAATTAGGATACTTGATTATTTCCTGTAATTAACGAATTTGAGATCTTAGTCTTTGAAATTTTTTTTATATTATTCATACTCTCCAATTCTCTCACGAGTTTTCGCAGTAAAAAAATAGTAACTAATGCCATAGTAACTAATGCCATAGTAACTAATGCCATAGTAACTAATGCCATAGTAACTAATGCCATAGTAACTAATGCCATAGTAACTAATGCCATAGTAACTAATGCCATAGTAACTAATGCCATAGTAACTAATGCCATAGTAACTAATGCCATAGTAACTAATGCCATAGTAACTAATGCCATAGTAACTAATGCCATAGTAACTAATGCCATAGTAACTAATGCCATAGTAACTAATGCCATAGTAACTAATGCCATAGTAACTAATGCCATAGTAACTAATGCCATAGTAACTAATGCCATAGTAACTAATGCCATAGTAACTAATGCCATAGTAACTAATGCCATAGTAACTAATGCCATAGTAACTAATGCCATAGTAACTAATGCCATAGTAACTAATGCCATAGTAACTAATGCCATAGTAACTAATGCCATAGTAACTAATGCCATAGTAACTAATGCCATAGTAACTAATGCCATAGTAACTAATGCCATAGTAACTAATGCCATAGTAACTAATGCCATAGTAACTAATGCCATAGTAACTAATGCCATAGTAACTAATGCCATAGTAACTAATGCCATAGTAACTAATGCCATAGTAACTAATGCCATAGTAACTAATGCCATAGTAACTAATGCCATAGTAACTAATGCCATAGTAACTAATGCCATAGTAACTGTTACTATGGAAACGGTTACTATGTACGACGAACGGACGGACGCTAAAGCGTAACTTTAAAGCTTTTGGCCCTGGGCCACGAAACCCTAAAAAAATTTGAGCAATTTTTTACCCTTATCGAAATTACGAATCTGTTTCTATGGTGTACGACGGACGGACGGACGCATTTAACTTTGGTCATATTTCTCATTTATATATTTTATCATTGTTAATACAGGTTTAATTTTTTTGAAATTCCATATGTTTCTTTTTTTAAATTAAAAAATTTTCAATTATTAACATGCCTTATAAAAGCAAATATATAGTTTGATAACGATTTGTCGTTGTGAATTGAATACATATTACATATTGGCATTTGTTCAAAAATTTCGTATTTTGCGATATTTAGTTGATGATGATGTGCGCGAGGAGAGTAAAAGTATGTTTAAACGTCATTTTATGAGCTAGTTGAAACTATATAGTATATCTCTGACTTAAAATTCTGACTCATCTTTTAGAGAATTTTAAATAGAGTAAAAGAGATAGAGAGAGAGAGAGAACTGAAAATATATTTGGTCCGACAGATGCTGACAAATCAGAGCCAGAGCAGTAGTTCGAGTACAACCACCACGAGTAGTACGAGTAGGGTGGCTAAATCCTCGCAGAGGATTCTCACCTCCTCATCGAGTGAAATGAAAACAAGTTGTGTGAAAAAAAATCTCCAAGAAATTCAACAGGGTATGGCCGAAATGAGAAATATCTCAACAAATTTCTCGCACAGACTGCGTAATAGTATGGAAAATCTTGTCGATCGGTGAGTTAAAGAGTGATCACAATTTATTTTTTTTTCTAATTTTAAAAATTTACTATAAAAATTATTTATTTATATAAAAAATATTGTAAAAATTTGTTAAATTTATGTTCATATTTTTTTTTTTTTGATAAATTTCATAAATAATTAAATGTGATCTCTCTTGTTTTCTAGGGATGGAAATGGAACTGAGGAGGGAGACCTCACAGAGCCTTTGGTAACATTTCCAGATCCTGACACACCACCACCTGTTACTGGTACTGTTTCAATTACAGGATCACCATCACAACTCACATCTCTAAATAATCTTCACAGTATAAGTCCACCGTTAAATATCACTAATATGCCAAGTTTAACAAGCGGTCAAGAAACAATGAAATTTGAGCAGAAAAAAATGACGAGCGCCTCGAAAACAAAGGTAATTATTGCCTAAACAATTAAGGGTTTAAATAACTATAAAAGTTTAAAAAAAAAAGAAGAAGACTTGAACCCAAATACTTATTTTATTCCTTTGGGTCATAAATAGTCTTAAAAAGTATATTAATTTTTATAGGGTTTAAATATAATTACTTTATTCTTTTGGGTTATTAGGTTTTAAAAAAAATTCATAAAAGGGTTTTATACTTGAAAACTATTCTTAAATCTTTGTGTTTAAACATAGTTATTTTACTTCTTTAAGTTAAAAATAGCCTTTAAAAAAACCTAGGGTTTGAATGATACTTTTTTTCAGTTAAATATATAATCCATCTTGGATTCAAAATAACCTTAAACCTTTAAATGCATTTATTGTCTCTATTATAATATTTCTACAATGTCAATAGTTAAAATTTTAAGTTTATGATTTTATATAATGTACAAATAAACATGAAAGATGAATTCTCATATAAACGAAAAATTACTTCTTTAGAATTTGTGTTAGTTTATTTAGCAAAAACAAATTTCATTGAATATGTTCTACTCTCTCTCTCTCTCTCTCTCTCTCTCTCTCTCTCTCTAGAGTGAAAATTAATGAAAGCTTCTTCTTTCGAAATTGTTTAGTTTTCCAAAATTTCAATGGCAAACAGCCAAGTTACACTTCCATTCATAAAAATATTCAAATTCATCGAGTTATAATACTCTAAATGAAAAAAAAACAAATTTAAAACCGGTTATTTTGGAATTTCGGATGTAAATAAATGTAAAAAAAAAAAAAACTTTATTGAATATACACTGAGAAAAATATGCTATTGAATCAACAGCATTTCTGCCAAAGGTATATAAAACTTATTGATTCAAAAGCATATGCTATAAAATTTGTAAAATATTTGATAGATTCTACAGAATATGCTTCTGAATCAATAATTTTTATATATTGACAGAAATTCTATTGATTCAATAGGATATTTTTCTCAATGTACCACTAAATCCATAGCAGCCGTTGCTAAGGATAAAAAATCCTTAGTAACGGTTTCCATAGTAACTGTTGCCATAGTAACTAACGGTTTCCATAGTAACTGTTTCCATAATAACTGTTGCCATAGTAACTGTTGCAATAGTAACTAACGGTTTCTATAGTAACGGTTTCCATAGTAACTGTTGCTATAGTAACTGTTGCCATAGTAACTAATGCCATAGTAACTAATGCCATAGTAACTAACGGTTTCCGTAGTAACTGTTGCCATAGTAACTCTTGCCATAGTAACTAACGGTTTCCATAGTAACTGTTGCCATAGTAACGGTTTCTATGATAACGGCTGCTATGGAAACGTTGCTATGATAACGGTTGATATAGAAACGGTTACTATGGAAACGGTAGCTGTGGAAACGGTTGCTATGGTACCTGTTACCATAGCAATCGTAGTACGAGTGTATGATGGACGGACGGACGCCTAAGCGAAATTATAAGGTTTTCGGTCCTGAGCTACGAAACCGAAAAAAAATTAAAAAAGATAACAATTAAAATGACAAATTATTAGTGAAATTTAAAGAATAAAGTACTTTTTTCATTAAATCAACCAAATATCATTGAAATCTGATCAAATTAATTTGCAAAATATAATGCATCATAAATAAAGCTTTGAGAATATTAAACATGTATATATATATATATATATATATATATATATATATATATATATATATATATATATATATATATATATATATATATATATATATATATATATATATATATATATATATATATATATATATATATATAAGTGTATACAAATATAAAAGATAGAAATCTTTTATTTGATTGATAAAGTAGAAATATGATAACGTTTCTTGTTATTTTTCAGGTCGTCACAGATGGTTTTAGTGCGGAAAAAGCGATTGCTAACACAGCTGAAATGAGAGCAGTTCAAGCTGGTGATGTATCATATAAGGAACAAAGCGCAGCAAGCGCTGCAAGGGCACGTGTTGAAATTGATGGGGTTTCTGCTGAAAAAAGCGTCGCTGCTGCGAGAGTAAGTTATATTACTTCGAAAAATATTTGAAAAAAAATTTTTTTTTTAAATAGTTTCATGTTATAATTAACTTCTTATTAAAAATTACGTTTTTTATATATAGATACATGACATTGACAATGATTTGACGATTTTATGAATGGATAGACCTTCAACCCACGATTTTTTTTTTTTTTTTGTTTTAAATTAGTAGTCAATAATTTTTTCAATCGCAATCAGCCTTGCAAGTTGAAATTCCACTATGTAGATTTTTATTATCAAGTGTACAAAAAAAAAAAAAAAAAAAAAAAAAAAAATGTAAAAATAATTGTAATTTTCTAAATATTAATTATAATTTTTTTTTTTTTTATTAAAAAAAGATAATTGAAATTTTTTGTTAAAGAAGAGAAATTTTCAAATTTTCACTCATAAAGACATTTTTAAATTAATTTTTCAAAATTGATAAATTAAATTTTTCATTTTTTATAATCAAGTTTTTATTTATATTTGAACGAAATTTCTTTTTTTTAAAATAATTTTGCGTGACTCTTAGTCTTTAATTTTAATTCAACAATAATTCGAATTATTTTGAAAGAAATTATGTAATTTAGCGGGAGAATTTAAACCCGATATGCTATCATTCTAACCACAAAAGAGAAGAAACATATTTATGGATAATTTTGACGAATTTACACTAATGTGTTTACTCTCTAAATCTGAATTAGTAAAAATGTTTACTAATTTGAATTAGTGACTCACTTTTTGCTTCTGCATTAGTAAAATTTTACTAATTATTAGTAACTGTTACTAACAATTAGTAAAATTTAACTAATTCTAAAGCAAAAAGTGAGTCACTAATTTCAATTAGTAAACATTTTTACTAATTCAGATTTAGAGAGTAAAAAAACGAATTTCAATTTTTTTTAATTACTATTTATCTTTTCTTTACCATTAAATTTTTAATTAACCAATTATGCATTAACAATTTATTTTAATATTATTTTTATCATTTATCTAAAGTGAAACATTTTTTTTTTTAATAATTACGAGGAAAAACGTAGAGGGGGTTGATCGTGTATAGTCTATATAACAAAAATGAGTCACGTTATCAACATGTATATAGTATTATGGCAACCACCCAGTGACCTGGGTCGATATAGGGGCTAGTTCTGTTTTTCCAAAGGCAAAGCTAGTTCATTTTGTAGTGTGCCATGGGCCCTCAACTCTCGAGAATCATAAGGGGTGTGTTACCAATTTTTAAAACACGAAATTTTCATCCAACTGTTGACAATAAATTTTCAAATCGTAGACAAATCGAGGACAATATCACCAAGGCTTTAGTACCAGTTGTAACAATGGTATTTTCGTATTTTTTGCAAAAAAAAAATTATCTACATTGCAGACAAGCTTCTCGCGTTTCGCGTTTCTTTTTTATTCATCAATTTTTCGCACTGCTGCTATTGCTTTCTGGCAATAAAATTCGAATTTTTTTTTTTTTTTTTTCATTCTTAAAATGATGAAAGTTTTTTCTCATCTTTTCACTGATATATGTAATAATTTAAAATTATGCAATCTTCTATTTATTATATATGCTGAAACTGCGCATATTATTTTTCTTCACTGATAATGATCCGCACTTGAAGGGTGTCAAGGTCACGAGTACTTGCTACAAGTGCGCAAATAGCTTTGCACTTGCAATTCTCAATGTAGCTATCGATGTTAAATGTTAATATCCTATTTAGATACAATGTAAGACTTTTCTTCTTCATTTAAATTCATTTTTTTTTTTTTGCCTTGATTTCTGGCGAAGAAGTTGAAAAATACTGATAAAACATAAAAATTTTTGAGAAATTATCATTTTTAAAATTATATTTTTATATAAAATAAAGAAAATAAAAAAAAATTTTAATTTAGACAAAAAAAAAGGGCAAAATTTTATTGAGAAATATTAAATTAAATCAATTATTTCAAGAAAAAAAAATGAATATAAAAATAAAAAACATAAACTGATTTGTTAAATATGTTTCATATTATGTCATGACTTACAAATGGAATATTGCACTCTATAGCAAACATGACAAAATTAAACTCCCAAGAATCTCAGCTAGTGGGGCTTAACAAAATAGACGGAAGTTGAACTGAGATTAGTATAAGAAGTGCTTTCAAAATTCACTGACCATGCGACATGCAAGTCGCTTTCTTTGATTTTAAAAAAAAAAAAAGAAAGAAAGAAAGAAAACATTCCATTATTTCGAAAACTTATTAATTTTTTTTTAGCGAAAAATTTTTTTAATAAATAATAAATTTTTTTTCTATAAAAACAAAAATGAAAAAAATTGATATAAATTATTTTTGAAAAACTGTAATATGAGTGCCCCGTGGCCAGTTCGTCGTGGATTATTTCGAGAAAAAAGTACTGTAAGTAATATTTTTTTTTTTATTGCAAAAAAAAAAGAAAATTAAATCACTATTATCATTAAAGATAAAATGAAACACATTTTAAAATCAGAAACATTTTTTTATATTTTTAATTTCTATTTTAATATATTTAAATTTCGAAATTAAATTTTTTTTTTAAATTCATCCCTTCAAAATTTTAATAAAAATAATAATTAAAGAAAATTCAAATGAAATGAAAAAAAATGTCATTTTCTGAAAATTCTAAAATTGAAATTTTGAAATTCACATAAAAGTGATTTAAATAAATATTGCTCATTGGAAATCTTGCACTGTTTGCTTATTATTCTTTTGGCACACATTCTGAGAAAAACTTTTCAAAAACTTGGCAATTGACATAAAAAAAAAAAAAAAGAAACTAATATATAATTTTGACTGATAGTCAATGACAAAAATATTTTGCAATAAAATATAAAAGAAAAAAAAATCGTAAAATTAAAACTGCCATTAACGTCTAAAAAAGTGGACAATATAAACGTTAATTATAAATGTTATTGAAATCAGTATTTTTCCTCAAAAAAGCCATTCAATGACGTCGATTTGTTTACGATTAATTTAATGTTCGGCCTAAAAATAAAAAAAAAAAAAAACACCTTTTCTTCACGATTTTGTATTCTGAATTTTGTTACAAACATTTTAAATTATTCAAAGTTATTGATTTCTTTTTTTTTGTAAAAGTTTTGCATCGTTAGTGCGAATAATTTCTATTAAACTTTTATCACAATTTGTTTTTGTTAATTTCATTTATTAATAATTAATATTAATTAAATATATTAAATTGTGTATTAAATATTATATAGTTTATAATTTTTTTAATTAATAATTATTGAATTTAAATTTTATCTTAACTGATTTATTAATCAAGATATATATAATTTTGAATTGAGACAGATGTTTATTTATTTTTTTTTATTATTAAAGTATTATTCATTGTTTTACATTTACATTTAATAAAATATTTAAATATTTTATTTAAATTATTTTTATTAAAATATTATTTTTTTATATAGAAAAAATTTGACCTCGTGATATTCTTTGCTATTTTTATAAACCCTAAGTTGATAAGTCTTACGCGATTTTCACTTGAACATATAATATAAAAGAGAAAAGAAAGACAATAGATAATTCTCGAATTCAAATAATCAAGTAGAGAATTGAAACGGCGACATCATCATCGAATGTTGGGAATTAAATTTAGAAAAAATACGTCAGTTCTTAGGGAAACGCGTAAATTCGAGAAGGCATTCGGAAAGAATATTTTTTACTCCTCAGAACTATCAATATCGGTGATGAAATTTCACGTTCAAATATTTTTCGATCAACCTCCACCAATCGTCAGTTTTTTTTTTTTTTTTACAATAATGTATGTATTTAGTCGAATTTCGGTGTCCGAAAAAAAAGCAAAAATATTCATTTATATTGTGTGACAAAATTATTTTTTAGTGAGACAAATAATTAGTGAGACAAAATTCCAAGAATGGAAGAAAAAAAAAATGAAGGGTCAGTGAATTTATCTTCCGAGAATAATGTAATTGTTCATTTTTGATAAACAATCTCGGCAGACAAACAAACACACGCAGTAAATTTTCAATTCATTGCGTATCGTCTCAAACGTCAATTAGTGTCGTTTGCACGCAAGCCATAATTAGACCTTCGGTATGCCACTAATTCTCTTTAATCGCCAATAGCAAACACCCAAGTGTCCACAGAGATTAAACAAATGAGTTTTACAAAGAAGCTTTTACACGTATTGTGTGTTTCGATATTTAGTTTAAAATATGTCGAGATCAAGAGCCGGAATTTTTAAAACTTTAAATTATGTGCGCGATTTTGTGGTTTTTTTTAAAAATTATTTTCTGTTTTTTATAACACAATTTTTTTTTTAAATCTATAATAATTTTTTTTTATTACAGGAGCAAAGGAGCTTGAAAGCCGGCGATCTTTCACATCAGGAAAGCAATAATATGGCAGCGTCTACCATGAAATTGCAGAGCGATTCATTTAGCACAGAAAAGGTAAAATTTAAATAAAAAATTCTAACTTCTATTAAACAATAAAAAAAAAACTATTTTAAATTTAGAGTTTATATTTAACCCAAAAGAAGGAAAATATCAATTTACAGGCCTCGGATCGACACAAAAAAAGTCGTTTTAGTCGATTTATATTTAAAAAAAAAGTCGATTTTTTTTATTTTAACTAAAATATTTTACAGATTTTTAAATAAATCTTTTTTTTTTAAATAATAATACTTTTGGAAGGGTTAAAGTTGAAATTTTTAGAAATAATTGAATTTCAAAAGATTTTGTTAATTTTCAGACAATAATATTAAATTTTACAGAACTAAAAATAATTTATCAAAGAATTTTAGATAACATTTTTTAAATGTAATTAAATATTCAAAGATTTACAATTAAGATTTTTGAAATTAATTGAACTTCAAGTGATTTTTTAATTAAAAATTTTTGATGATTTCAATAAAAAATTTATTAGAAATTGCGGACAAAAATACAATAATTTGAAAACCATTTTTAATTGAAAAATGGTTTCAGATAATTGAATTTCCTTAGAGTTATAATTGAAATTGTAAAATTTCAAAAAATTTCAAAAAAAAAAAAAAATTTTAGAAGCTTTTAAATTAAAATTTTTGAAAATAATTGAAATTGTGGATAATAATTCAATTTTAGTTGATTTTGAATTGAAAATTTGGAAAATAATTGAATTTCAATTGAAATTTTGGATAATAATTCAATTTTAGTTGGTTTTTGATTGAAAATTTTGATAATAATTAATTTTGAATTGAAATTTTTAAAAATAATTGAATTTTTTTGATTTTAAATTGGAATTTTGGAAAATAATTGAATTCTAGTTGATTTTGAATTTAAAATTTTGAAAATAATTGAATTTTTCCAATTATTTTGTGAAATAATTGAACTTTAATTGAAATTTTGGATAATAATAATTTAATTTTAATTGATTTTTGATTGAAAATTTTGATAATAATTAATTTTAAATTAAAATTTTTAAAAATAATTGACTTTTATTTGATTTTAAATTGAAATTTTTGAAAATAATTGAATTTTATTTGATATTAAATTGATTTGTGATTTTGAATTAAAAATTTTTGGTAATTTTATTTAATATTTTTTTAAAATTATAAACAATTGTTAAATTTTTATAAAAATTTTAATTGAAAAATAATTTGAAATAATTGAATTTGTGATGAATTTCATTAAAATTATTAAAAATAATTGTGAAATTAGTGAAAAATTTGTTAAATAATTGAAAAAAAGAAAATCTGAAGATCTGCATTTTATACTTAAAAAAATATATTTTATTTACAAATTTTTTTGTTTTAAAAATATAAAAAAAAAGTCGAAATATTCGCATTTTATTGAAATAAATCGAAAAAATTCGTATTTTTGAAAAAAAGTCGGAAATACTCGAAAAAGTCGTATAATCCGAGGCCTGAATTTACCTATAGGGTTTATTAAACCCAAAGAAGTAAAATATTTAGTCCAAAGGCGTAAAATTTAAACCCTAAAATTTAAGGCTAACCAAAAAAAAAAAAAGATTAAAATGTTTTTAACTCAATGAAGTAAAATAACTATTTACATTCACGTTTTTTCGAGTATTTTTAAACAATAATGGTAACTTAAATCCTAGGATTTAATATAAATTTAAAAGTACTTTAAATATAAATATTGTTCTCTCTAAATCAAAATAAGTGAAATTTCATACTTATTCAGATTTAGCGAGAGTGATTATAATGCTGTTTAAACAATGATTTCGCGCGATTTAATGGTACTAATTCTAATAAAAATTAATGTAATATTTTTAAATGTTTTGTAGAAAAAAAATTGCATGTAAATTATTGTAAAAAATAAATATCTTACCTTATCTGCAATTGATGAATCCTTTAATACGGACGTTGTAATCTACTATGGAAATACTTGCAATTTTTGTGAACACTCCCTAAAACCACGTTTAAATACAAAAATACTTTTTTTTTTAATTTAAACGATCGCGATTTTAAGAATTTCGAACACTCCCGAAACAAAAAATTTTTTCTAAAAAAATAAAACACTCTTTTAAGTTCACGGATTAAAAAATTCGAGCACTTCCAAAGCAATTGACTTCAAATCTGAAAACATAAAAAACAAAACAAAAAAAAAATAACGATAAAAGAAATACACAGGCAAATTTTGATTTTAAAATTATAAAATTTTCCACTCCCGTTAAGCACGTCTAAACACAATTTTGATTTTAAAATTATAAAAAAAATTGTTCACTCCCGTTAAGCACGTCTAAACAGGTCAATACACAATTTGCAACTGATTTAATTATCTTTGGATTTTATGACCTTTGGCTGAAGGTACTCTTTGTAAATATTAATGTAAACAGCTTGGGGTGCAGGTATAAAGTTACGTAATTTTAAAATCACATTGACGACTTTGAAATAATTTTATTTGTTTTTATATACCAAAAATGCTATTTTTTTAATGAAATTCAATCAGTGGCTATAAAATTAAATCATGGGAAATTACCACAAATTTTAATGTTTTATAAAAATTAGTTAATAATTCACCTTGCAACGCAAGCTTACCACAAAATATTGCCAACCTTGAGGCAAGCTTGCTACGCAATATTGCCAACCTTGCAACGCAAGCTTACTACAAAATATTGCAAACCTTGAGGCAAGCTTGCTACGCAATATTGTCAACCGTTGCCAACCTTGCACGGCAAGCTTGCCACAAAATATTGACAACCTTGCACGGCAAGCTTACCACAAAATATTGACAACCTTGCACGGCAAGCTTACCACAAAATATTGCCAACCTTGCACGGCAAGCTTGCCACACAATATTGCCAACCATGAGGCAAGCTTGCCACGCAATATTGCTGACCTTGAGGCAAGCTTGCCACGCAATATTGCCAACCTTGCATGGCAAGCTTGCCACAAGCTTAAAATGTCCCACCTAACCCAAGCTTGCATGGTAAGCTTACCGAAAGATTGCATAGTAAGCTTGCACGGTAAGCTTGTGGCAAGTTTAGTGCAAGGTTGTCATAAAGTTGCCGAGCAAACTTGCTGCAAGTTTGCTGCAACCTTCTGTACTGATTGGCAAGGTTATTTGGCAACCTTGCACCAACCTTGCGACAAGCTTACTGTGCAAGCTTACTGAGCAATCTTGCAATAATCTTACTGTGCAATCTTGCAGTAACCTTACACTGCAAATCTTTCGGCAAGCTTACCATGCAAGCTTGGTTTAGGTGGGACATTTAAAGTTTGCGGCAAACTTGCCGTGCATGCTTGGCAATATTGCGCGGCAAGGTTGCTGCAAGCTTACATACTATCTGAAATGAGGGTTATTTTAAACAAATATAGAATAAAATTAAATTAAATGAAAATCAAAGAACACAATCTAAAAAGTGAAAAATTATTTCTTTACAGAAAGCAATGGCTGCCCAACAGCAACGACAAACAGTAACATCATCGGGTGTATTTAATCACGAGAAAGTTGTTGCTGCCACATCACAATCAAGTATATCGTACAATTCAAAAAATGTCACATCCAAATCGTCAATGATAAGCGCAGCGAGTGCAGTGAATCAAATAATGAATGGTATACGTTATAATGACGATGAACTTTTATCATTGCCATTAGATGATCTCGATTTACTATGCACAAATTCAAATCCCCAAGATGTTGATACGGCAATAAAAAAATATTCTGGATTTCTCGATACATTTGTGCAACGACTGAAAACTGATGAGGTTAGTGCAAGTGGTAAAGCGCCACTTTTATTAAATCGTGTCAATGAAATTATTCGCAAAGCATGGGCTGTTCCAACTCATGGACATGAATTAGGCTATTCTTTATGTAATGCACTACGCAATAAAGGCGGTTTAGATATTCTCATGTCAAATTGTATTGCAAGCGATGAGGATCTACAATTTTCATCAGCCCAATTACTCGAACAATGTTTAACCACTGAGAATCGTGCTCATGTGGTGCAAAATGGATTGGAGAAAGTTGTTAATGTTGCTTGTGTTTGTACAAAAAATGCTAATTCAGTAGATCATTCACGTGTTGGTACTGGAATATTGGAACATCTTTTTAAGCATAGCGAAGGTACATGCAGTGATGTAGTGAGACTCGGTGGTCTTGATGCCGTTCTTTTTGAATGTCGAAAAAATGATGTTGAAACATTAAGACATTGTGCCGGTGCATTGGCAAATTTATCACTTTATGGAGGTGCCGAAAATCAAGAGGCAATGATTAAACGAAAAGTTCCAATGTGGCTATTTCCATTGGCATTTCATAATGATGATAATATTAAATATTATGCGTGTCTTGCAATTGCTGTACTTGTTGCCAATAATGAAATTGAAGCAGCTGTACTTTCATCAGGTACACTTGATCTTGTTGAACCATTTGTAACATCGCATAATCCATATGAATTTGCAAAATCAAATCTTGCACATGCACATGGTCAAAGTAAAAATTGGCTTCAACGACTTGTGCCAGTATTAAGTTCAAAACGTGAGGAGGCAAGAAATCTTGCGGCATTTCATTTTTGTATGGAGGCAGGTATTAAAAAGCAACAGGCAAAAACAGAAATATTTCGTGCAATTGGTGCAATTGAACCATTAAAAAAAGTTGCTAGCTCACCAAATGCAATAGCATCAAAATATGCGGCACAAGCATTACGATTAATTGGCGAGGAAGTTCCACATAAATTAAGTCAACAAGTACCATTATGGTCGACAAAAGATGTAATGGAATGGGTGAAACAAATTGGTTTTGAAGAATTGGCAATGAATTTTGTTGATAGTCGAGTTGATGGTGATTTATTATTACAATTAACCGAGGATAATTTAAAAGAAGACATTGGCTTAACGAATGGAATTAGAAGACGACGATTTACACGTGAATTGCAAAATTTAAAAAAAATGGCTGACTATAGTAGTCGAGATACGGGTAATCTTAGCAGTTTTCTACAGTCAATGGGTCAAGAATTTTCAATATATACATACAGTATGTTAAATGCCGGCGTTGATAAGGATTCAATAAAAAATCTTAATGAAGATCAATTAATCACTGAATGTGGAATTTCAAATAGTATTCATAGATTACGAATATTGGATGCTATTAAAAATATGCAACACAATCAATTTAATTCCTATGAAAGTGAATCGCCTGATAAATCATTAGATGTTTTTGTCAGTTATCGAAGATCAAATGGATCACAATTAGCGAGTCTTCTTAAAGTACATTTACAATTAAGGGGATTTTCCGTTTTTATTGATGTCGAGAGACTTGAGGCTGGTAAATTTGATAATAATCTACTGCATAGTATTCGACAAGCTAAACATTTTCTTCTTGTTTTAACACCAAAGGCACTTGAAAGATGCTTTCAGGATACCGAGTGTAAGGACTGGGTTCATAGGGTAAGAATTTACAATTATTTATTATAAATATTTTCTCGATTATCAATAAAAGAGTTTTTTTTTTTTTAATTTAGGAAATTGTGGCTGCCCTACAATCACAATGCAATATCATTCCTATAATAGATAATTTCGCTTGGCCTGAACCAGAGGAATTACCCGAGGATATGAGAGCTGTTTGTCATTTTAATGGGGTTCGTTGGATTCACGATTATCAAGATGCCTGCGTAGACAAATTAGAAAGGTAAATTACTTTGAAGAAATAAAATTATTATTTAATCTCTAGGGTTTAAAGTTATTATTAATTAATTTAAAAAATTTTAAAGGTTTATGCGAGGTGAAATACCAGTACGATCAGAATTATCAGGAGGTCTTCCTAGAAGTATTGGCTCTAAGGATTTACCAACACCTGGAACACCAGGAAGTACAAATATGCGACAACCACCAAGTTATCAACGAATGCACAGCAATGAAAGCAAAGGAAGTGATAAAGATTCAATTAGCGGTAAAGATTCAATCAGCGGAAAAGATTCAATCAGTGGGAAAGATTGACTAGATGGCCCGCCCACAGCAATACCCGTTAGGTACATAAAATAATTTACTAAATTAATTCTTAAAAAAAAAAAAACAAAAACGATTATAAACGAATGATACATTTTTTAATTATTTCTTTTTCGCAGCCGGAATTAAGAAATGTAATTTACATAATGAGAATTAGGTTAGTCCCAGAAAAAAACCTAAAAAATCGGTGTTGTTTTCTCAATGTCTTAATTTTTGTTTAAGCACGTTTGTTGTACTCTTTTTTTTTTTTTTTTTTTTTTTTTTTCTTAAACATTTCCTGCACAAAATTGAAATATTTTTTTAATGAGAAAATAAAATTTATTTGATTTCAGATTACGAAAATCATCAATTCCATCTGTTCGATTGATGAGTCTTCCTCCATCAGCTCGAGTGAAATTTATTCACACACATCCTGGAGGAAACCCAATGCCTCGCCGTCCACCACGTCATCCATCATCACCATCAATACGTTCATCTCGTTCACTCGAATTATTAGATCCAATGGAGAAAAAAGTAATTTTAACTGTGGCAAAAAATCCTCAACCACTACCAAGACCAAGATCAAGAAGTTTAGATGGCTTAATTGATGATGAGGATGGTATTATTGCAAATCTTAAAAATAATGATAACTCAACAGCCATTGAAAATTCAATAATTAATACTAAATATCATATTAAAAATCAAAGTTTAAATGAAATTTTAGAATCTACAAATAATTCCAATGAAAATCCTTTTCCCTTGCCTCGAAATAGAAGAACTTTTAGTATAACTCAAAAATCTGATATTAAAGCCATTGATAAAAGTAATAAAGATGAAGAGAATTTATCGAATTTAATAAAAATTTATAACACCGAGGATAAAAGTGAAAAATTATTTTTCAACATTTCTAATGATAATTTAAATCAAATGACAAAAATGGATATAGAAAAAAATCCTAAAGAATTGAAAAATTTTCCAAAATCAAAAAATATCGAAGAATTAGATAAATTTTCAAAAAATTCAAATCAATTTGAAATTATTGATTTGAAAAAAAATTCAGAACAATTAGAAAATCAATTAGAAATAAATATTAATAATATTGAGAGATTGGAAAAATTGTCAGAAAATTCCAAAATCAATGAAAAAAAATTGTCTAAAGTGGAAAATGAAAAATCAACATTATTAAAAGCCAAAAGCTGTGGCGCGGGATTAGATTCCGATGATAATTATTCGCAAGAGTACAAACCTGTGATTAAGGGCCAAGGTTCATTATTATCTCTATCAACTGGAGCGGATCCAAAACGAAAGAGAAATTTTATGGATAAATGCGTAAATAAGGTGCGGTCCTTTATTAAAAAAAATGACTGACAAAAAAAACATATATATATACTTTTTCAAGGAACCAAAAAAACCTTGAAATTTTAATGGTGATAAAGAACTCGTTATTTAATTTTTTTTCTCCTCTTTTTTTTTTTTTAATTACACAATTAGACGTCGTTTATAAATCGAAACGAGTATTTTTTTTTTGAAATTAAAATAATTTTCAAAAATCGTTTGAAAGCGCGATAAAAAAATGTTTTCATTTTCTACAATCATTGTGCCTGATGCAACATAAAGTGTCTTGAAAAAAAAAATCCATTTGTATTATAGATTCACTTTAGTTAGAAATTAAATTTTTAATTTTTTTTTTAGCGATTTTGTCATGGCATTCTGTGCCTTAAGTATTTTTATCATTATTTAATTGAAAACTTGCGACAGTGTTCAATTATACTAACCCGTCAATTAGTCATTTTCGTAACATGTATTTAAAAGTTATTATTATCATTTCTATTATTATTATTATTACTATTATTATTTAACTATATTATTATATTTTGTTATTGTCAAAGTTTATGTCCGTAACTATTTATCCAATAATACTTTTAAAAAAAACAACAACAATGCTTCACAAACATTTTTATGATTGTTTCTAAAACTATAATGTGTATATTTTACCAAAGTTGCAGCAATTTTAGAAAAATTATTATGAAATGACTAAATAATTCACTGAAATAAATGATTTTATTTAGAAAAAATTGAATTAACTATATTTTTTTTTTATTTAAAAAAATATCCTGTTACTTAGTGATAATTTTTTTCTTTACTTTTTTTTAGAATATAAAATATTCTCTTCTTATTAAAATTACTTTTTGATATTATTTAAATTTAATTACTGTTTTAAAAATTAAAATTTCCTATTTTTATAATTAAGAAAAAATCAAGTTTTACTTTATGTGCTTATTTATTATTATTATATTATATAAAATAGGTGATAATACAATAAATAATAATCGATCTGATTTTATCAGACTTTATAAAAAATAAAGTTTCTTTATACAACTTCGAGGGAAATAAATGATAACAAATTAAATTTATCTTTAAAAATTAAAATTATATTAATTTTTATTCATTAACGTAAGATTATTAATTTATTGAAAGTATTTTACTGTATTTAAAAAAAAAAAAACATTCAGACAAGAGATAAGTTATTATTAGGAGCACGTTATTTTTTAATTAGGATACGACATAAGGGACAACCAAGGTTTGTAAGTTATAAATGTTATTAATTATTAACTAATTTTCTCTTAAATTAAATTAATTAATTTCCTCTTTATTAATTGCATCTAATCGATCCAGTAGTTTCAATTCAATAAATATTTTATACTCTTCTTGAAAAAATTAGAGCGATTATTATCGTATTTCATATACCACCTTTAAATATTTTCTAAATTTCCTTTACTTTTTAATCTTAATAATATAATTATAAATTTTTTATTTTTATAATACTAAAATCATTTTTGTTTTTTCTATAAACAAACATCCGAGAAGTCAATGAAAATATAATTTTTATTATTAATATTTAACAAAAATATTTAAATAATTTAAATAATAAATAAATATTTAAATAATTGTTTATTAATAACTGGGTTATCAATAGAAATAAAGTGTACAATTTTATTGTACTGCTTATATATATAATCAACGAAATACTTCTTGGAAGACATGTATAATAATAAAAATAATAATAATAGCAATAATAATAATAGTAGTAGTAATAATAATAATTATAATAATAATAATAATAATAATAATAATAATAAATTACACGAAAATTGTAATAATTATGAAAAGAAAAATAATTTTACTACAAATCATTACTTTCCAAGAAATAGAAAATTAAGAAAAAGAATTATTCTAAATTTTGTAAAAAAAAGAAAAACGAAATACAAAAAATATAATAAATATATTATTTGTTATACATATTGTATTGATTTTTAATTTTAATAAATAAAAATCAGTAAATAATATTTCTGTGTAATAAATGTTGTAAATTTTTCCTCAAGTCATATAAATAAAAACAAAATATTCATATCTTGATTAAACTTTACCACTAATGTTTTTTCAATGTAAAGCAAAAAAATAAAAAAAAAAGAAAATTATTATATTTCCAAAAAAAAATTACTTCAAAAGCATTTTTGTTCTCTCTTCATTATCTTAATAAATAATAAACGAATACAATATATTTGGCTGGCAGTTGGCGCAAATAGTTTAAAAATTAACATTATTAGTAAAAAAAAATATTTACAAGAGATATATTTTTAAATTCTTAAAAGTAGTTTCTTTTCTTTTTTTTTTTTTTTGCTTATCCGCACTGATTAATAAAAAATGTTAGTTAATATTTTAATGGCACGAAAAATGTGTTGTGAACAATTTTCTTCTTTTTTTTTTTTCCTTTTCATTTTCTGTGAAGTCAAAACGAAATTTTATAGTTACGTCGGTTTCCAAGCGACAATTTGCATTTTATTATTTAATTCTTGTAAAATAAGAGAACACGTGAGCTGTTTCTCTAATGATAATCCACTGACGCCTTCCATTTCATCATCATCGTCACCAGCACCACTGCTTCCGCCACCTTTCCCTTTTCCCTTACCCTTTCGCTTTCGTTTTTTATTTAATTGCCTACAGTCAATGTCTGTACTACTGGATTCAACTGCCCTTCTGAGCTGAATAAATTCATTATTTTAATTAATTATTTGTAAAATCTTTTCGATTTTTAATAAATATGTAATTACTTTTTTTTAAATGTTAATTTTCTTTCAAAGAAAAATGAAATTTTTTTTCTTTTGAATACTCTAAAAATTATTAACCCTTTTTTTATAACAAACATATTTACAAATTAATAAATATATTACTATTATCATTATTATTATTATTATTATTATTAACTATTACTATTGAATAAATAAATTAATTTCATTTATTCTTCAATAAGAATAATTCTTAGATAAAATTTCCATCTTGGATTCAGTAAATGGATATTTACGAAAAAAATTTTCATATCTGATTTATCAGAAACTAAATTAATTTAAATAATTTAATATAATAAAAATAAAATTTAGTTGAAAATTACCTTTGCGCTTTTTCTTGTCTGCTTATCATATTCCAATGCATCATAATAATTTGGTTTTTCACGTTTAATTCGATTAGTTCTTCTTGTTTTCATTGTACCACTATCTGGACTTGGTGGACTTTTTACAGAATTACGACGTGCATTGAAAAAAGAATGACCACATGGACATGCTTTACAAGCAACAGGAACCTATAAAAAAAAATTTATTAATTTTTAAATAAATTAAATTAAATTTATTCAAATGTGACCTTTATTTTTTTTTTTTTAATAAAAATGTTAAATTTTGTAAAAAAAAAAATTCTTATTATTTCAACAAAATTAAAACCAAATTATATTTTATTAGTCACGATTTTTGAGAATAAAAAATATATATTTATAAAACATCAAATTGTTAACCTGTTGTTCACACTTAGGACAGCCTTTACTTATTGTTTTTGTCTTCGCCATTTTAATGAAAATATTTTACACTATTTATTTTCAATTCACAATTATTTTAAATTTATTTAAAAACTAAATTATATGAATAAAAAGGTGTAAAAAAAAAAAATTGGCGTCAGTGTTGTGATCAACGACAATCACAACACAAAACATAACCTCTACAAAACAATTGGAATCAGATGAACTTTGAGAAAAAATTAACTTTATATTTAAACAAATTAATTGAGCAACTGCTTCAACACTTTATAAAAACAAATGCATTATTTGTTTTAAAAATATTTGAAAACTATTCTAAAAATAATTTTCTTTGTCTTGTCGTTGATCACCACATAATGCACTATATAGTGAACAAAGGAATGTCGTCTGCTACTAGTACTCAATTAATCAGATTAGAGCTTTTTTTCTAAATTTTAAAAAACAACTTATACATTTATCACGCAATTTCAAAAAAAAAATATTAATTTTCAATTTAAGAGACAATATTTAATTATAATTAAATATCTATGAAATTACAATTTATCCAAAAAATAATTCTTTCAAGTATGATCGAAATTTTTGATAATAATTATATAATGAAAATAGTAATAAGAATTATAGTAAATTCACTTTCTAAAAAATAAATTTTCATGTTGTCATTTAAAATTTGTAAATTAGAGTCATTAAATTATATTTGATCAACATCTTTCCTCCAGGTGGTAATTTTGTGCAGATATTTATTTTACCGACAGATACATAATTATTGTATTATATTGTACGTCGGTAAAATAAATACACAAATTAAAATTATCACCTGGTAAACAGGATGACGTCACATAAAAATACTCGAAATTCAAAACTTCAAAGAATAATTTCATTTTAATATATTTCCTCATCTGTTTGTGAAAGAAATTTTCATAACCTTTTTTTTATATTAAAATTATATTAAGATTAAATAAATTTACCAATTAATTTATACCTGTATTGTATTTTCCTCTTCTACTGCAAAAAAAGTGGGGGGAAATCAATAATCGCTAAATAAAAAATTTTTGTAAAAAAAAAATTCTTTGAAGCGACATAGTTATTGCCTTAGAGACGTCCAAGATGGAACTGAGCGTGCGCTGTGAGAAGGTTAGCTTTTATATCACGAACTTTGTCTTCCGTCCGCTGATTGGTGGGGCATTCTGAGGTATAGCTGGACGCTGATTGGCGGGCGCTTTTATGCTCACGAATTATAAAATATAAATAAATATAAATACAACAGTAGTATATAATTTGACTCTAGTAGAAAGGCGGGAAAATTTGAATTACATAATAAAAAAAAAATGCCAATTAGAGCCTTTATTATTTTGTATATATATTTCGTAAATTTCAAAAATCCAAACACATCTAGTTCATTAAAAACTACTGACAAAAGTAGTACAATAATTGTTCGCACAAGTGTTTACAATTAATAAAATATCCCTTTTTTTCTTTTTCTCTATGACGTTTTAATTTTTCGTTAAAAAAGCTTCTTCAGTATTATTATTTTTTTTTTTTTTGTTTTTTACAAATTTAAATGCATTATCACACAATTGTTTCCATTAATAATTTTTCAGTGCCCAAAAAAAAAAGAAAAAAAACGAAGGAGACAATAATTAGGGAAGAAGAAACACTCTAACAAAAAAAAAAAAAAAAACAGCAAAACTCCGGGAAAAAACAAATTAGGAAAAATACATTTTTTTCAACATAACACAACAAAAAGAATTTTTTTTTTTTAATATTAAAAGCAGAATATAAATTTGGTGTGTTCGGCATTTTTTTTTTCTCTCTCTCTTTCTCTCTCCCCCTCTCAAGCAAGCAACTGGTTGCAATCTATTGATATTTGTGTATTTTTAATAATATAATTGCTAAAGATATTAATTGCGTCTATATTATTTTTTTGAGTGCTATCCGTTATTTTATCTAACTCTCACAATTACTTTTTTTTTAAATTTACACTTCACTCTAGAGACAGAAATCAGGCAAAAAAGAAAAATTTCCGAGAAACTTATTTTCGAATTTTCTCGCAGTTTTTGTAAGTTTTTTTTTCGTTTTTAAATCACAATATAACAAAGTTTCTTAAAAAAAAAAAAAAAAAGAATGGTTTCGGGAAATTACAATTTTCTATACACAAAATTTATTTTTAAACAATTTTTTTTTGTTTTTTTTTTTTAAATAATATTGAGCACTAAATACAGTGAAAAGCAGAATGACAAGAAAAAAAGCAAGAAAATGTGAAATGTTCCAAAGAAATTTATGTGTGCCTATATAAGAATTTTAATTTAATCTGATAATTGAGATGGAGAAACGTATCAATATTTTTTATGGAAAAATTATTTTTGAGCTATTGTCAAAAACGATTTTTTAAAAATAAAAATATGCTACGATATATAATTTATAATTTTTTTTCTGCATTGTATAATGTAAAATAGAATTTTGATTGAAATGATTACGAAGAATTGTGTTAAGTAATTATTATTAATTTTTTTTTGAATTAAATGAGTAGCGCGCACTTTAAAGATCAAGGTAAAGTGTAACGAACGTATGGGACTTCGACATCATTGCCACAATCATCATTGCAGCAAAGTTCAAAAACCAAAGCGTGTACATGTGGCTCGAGTTTTTTCTTCGAGACACGTTTCACAACCTCGGACATTGGCAAGCACATGCGCTCGACGCATTTTGCTTTTGGCATGAAAAATGAATACAACATACAGACACCCTGCGAGAGCATTGTCACCTCTAAATTATGATTATTTTTAAAATAATCAAGAAATTCCTTGAGACTTAATTCCCCAGTCACTTCGAATCTATCCCAAAGTGTCCATTCTGTCTCATAATATTTCAGTTTAGGCGCATTAATTGGCTCGGAGAAGCCAAAAAATGGTAGAGCAAGATTCACAAAACCATTTTTATAAATTGATATATCCTTAACGCCGCGCGTCAATTTAATTAATTCCAAACAAACTAAACCAGCAACAACTGATGTTGTTGTTGCAATAGCGGGAATTATTTTACCAGCAATTAATTTACTCTTATGTCGATCAGCCGGTGTTATTTTATAATTAGTCGCACGTAAATTTGATGCAGCAACAATAAAATCAATATGGAAATTTGTGTCGTCATCTTTTTCAAATTCCTGAGGAATAATCACCAAGCCATTTAATTCATTTGCTTTCGGCAATTCGTCTTGCAATTGAGTTAATCTCTCGTGATCAATATTTCCACTTCCATTGGATACTTGAACCTAAAAAAAAAAATTTACATATTTATTTTTTAGGCATAAAATTTACTAAAAAAGGGGGGAATTTTTTTTAAAATAGAGTAAAGCCTATTTACATATTTTTTTTTATTTTATATAAAATTGCATATTTTGAAATATTACCTGTGAATCAGTTTCAGCGATTTTAACACCCGATTTTGGCGTAAATTCAGGAACACAAACATTTCCAATCATTTGGGCGATTTCCTCACGATTTCTATTATGTTGCAATCCATAAACAGCGGCTTTTAAATTTGCCCCGGCAATAATATAATCTAAATGCAATGGATTATTGACATCAAAAATAAGTGGTTCAGGACAACGTTTTGGTCCTGACCAAAATGGTTGTCCACTTGATGTGACTTGATCAGGTGGAAAATTAAAAAGTAGTTGTCTTATTTGATTATTATATTGCTCCTGCCAATGGCAACGTGCCCAAGTGACACAATCTTGAAAATTCTTAGGCCTCTCATCGATCAATGCAATTTTCACCGATTCAAGTACCTCCAATGGTTGAACACCAGGCAATTTTAATGTTCTTTCAATGAATTGTTGATCAGAAACATATTGCGATGCATTTTCCGCCGCCTGACGAAATAATCCCTCAAAATTGTCCCTTGCCCATTGTAAAGTATGTTCAATAGCGTTGGGAAAATTTTTCAGTGTACAAATTGGAATACTCTTCTCAGGTGGATCCTGTGATGAACTATATGACTCAGTGAGAAATGGAACAACAACTTGTGTATTGCCCTTTGTTCCCAATGTGCCCGATTCCAATAATGGCTTTCGATAATAAACACAACGACGATCCATGTAAATTCGTGCGTCAACATTGTCCAATGCATTGGCAACGCCATCCAATGATGCAAAAAATTCATCATTATAAATTTTCTCCGTCTCAATGCAAACACGATTCTCGTGAGCGACAATATTCACATTTGGATTCATTGTTTTAATAACACGTGCAGCGGTTGATGATTTTGCCTTTTGTACATCGTGTGGTCTAAATAAAAATTGTCGATTTAAATTTGATTTCTCAATGAAATCCATATCGGTGACAGTGATACATCCACCATTTGTTGCCAAGCCCATCATTGCAAAATTTTTCAATAATTCACAACCAATTGCACCAGCGCCAACGACAAAATATTTTAAATTACCAATTTTCTCTTGGAATTTACGACCAAATACTGCTGTTTGCGCATCATAACGATTTCCAATTGGTGTACAATCTTCCTCATTTAATTCATTACGATCTTCCGGTAGACATTCGAGAGCATCAAAATATAACCATTGATAAATTGGATGAAATTTACCTGAGCAAGCTTTCATCACTTCTTGAGCGACAATACCGCCAATTGTTGCATTTATTGGATTTAAATTACCAGCGCAAATTTTTGCAAATGTCGCAAGAAATTCATGATTCAATTCCGTATCACTGCCAATTTCTTCTTTAATAATTTTCACATAATTAATAAATTCCTGTGCATCGGCCTCGTTCCAAGGTCGTGGCGCTTGTCCCTTATCCTCAATAAAACGATGTAATGCCTGAAAAGCCAAATGCGCCTGTTCTGGATGATCGAATTTTGCAAAATCAGTAATTATAAATTCTGGCTTTTTTAATGCTTCATTTAATGGCAAAAAATTTAATATTTTTGGCATTTTCACTTGTGTCACAATTCCACCTTGATGATATTCAGTGAATTTACTTGTATCGCCAATACTAAATGTATAGGGTCCAAGGACTTTAATTTTTTTTGGTTCACAACCATTTAATTCAATCATTCCTTGAATTTCTGAGAATGTCACATAATCACCATCCTCCATACCATGACGAGTATCATCTAAACATGTAACAACTCCTTCAATGTCACGTGAAATACTGGCAATCATTGCGCTCACCGGTTGTTCTCCATTTGTATCAACAACAGTAAATGTTTCGCCAAAATCACAAAACACTTGTGAATAAAGTCCACGACTTTCGCCAATAATAAGTGCAATTCCATTGGCGTGTGTTAATTCAGCGATACGCAATTGTTCCTTTAATGATGTATCAGTAAGAACAATGACCTTGAATTTCTTGATAAAACTCTCGGACAATAATCCATCGTAATGTCGTGTTGGAACATAGTTATTTAATTCCGCGAGTCGTCCGCAACAAGCTTCAGCGCGATTTTTACCTAAAAACAAAAAAAAAAAATTATAATAACAAAAATTATAATAAAATTATAAATTCAATATATTGTATAGAAATAATAAATAAATAAAATCAATTTCTAACTTTGGTGATGCTTCTAAATAAAATATTTAATTAAAATTTTTTTTTTTTAATTTAACAATTAATTTTTCATCTTTAATTGTGAGAGAATTATAAAAAAAAACAAAAAACTGTGATAATTTATTAGTATAGATAGAAAATTACGTGCATCTTATAAATTTATTGTATAAGTAGCCTTGAAAAATGAATCATTCTTAACTTTCTTATCATCCTGAATTGGAAAACATTTTTTTTTTTTTTAATAATTTATTCAATTAATTTTTGTTTCTATCAAAACACAATTGAAATTTCTTTTAGAGTGTTTTCTTAACGTATTTCATTTTTTAAAATTAATTTTTAAAATTGTTTTACATAATTTTGAAAAAATTTCTCAAAAAAAAAAAAAAAGAATTTAATACAGTAATATATGTTATTTTAATTGTAATAGAATTCCTTGAAATTGAAGTAATAAGAACAAAAAATAACCTCATTGATTACCAGAAAATTATTTAAAATACAAAACAGAATTTCTTCTTTTTTAATATTTTTTTTTTTCGTTTTTAGTTACATTTTTACAATTAAAATTATTATAATTCTGCTGTATTATTGACAATAAATTTTATTAATCCATTATTTATTTTTATTAAATAAATCGAGTGGGGGAAAAAATTGAAATTGATTTTTCAACGTTTTCTAATAAAATTAGAATTTTCCAAAATGTGGTAATAAAAATAAATTTTTTTTTCAAAATAATTAAATTCTTTAAATTACATATCTAAAAATTTTCACAAAAAAAAAATTCGCAATACTATTTTTTAATTTGTAACGCAATATTCATATTTAATATTCAAACAAAGAAAAATAGTTTATAAAATTCGAAAAACCGCTTTCAAGCCTTATAATCAATTCCTTTGTCTGAAACGTTTACATCATGGATTGAAATACAAATCGTATATTAAAGATTAAAACATTAGGTTAGGATTGGCAAAAAATTATAAACTTATTTAAATTCAAATATCTCATAAATATAACAATAAAAATTCATCAACAAAGATTGAAAAAAAATACAAAAATCTAATATGAAAATTTAATGAACAAAATGGAGAAATTCTCGTAATTGCGAAAGTCATTCGAGGAAAATTGGAAAATGTAGAGCGAATAGAATACATTCAGGGGCCTGACGTATGAAAAAAATATATATATATAATCAACTAAAAAAAAAGAATATCTCACCAATATCCTCTTCGGTCAAATAAAATTGTGATCCAAGGTCAGCAATTTGACAGACGGCATTGTCATGAAGTGTGACGGATTTGACACCTCCAAGGATGACGTTCTTGGCAATTTCAACACCAAGACCACCGAGGCCAGAGATAAGGACATCGGACGATGCCATGCGACGCATGGCGTCGTGACCGAGGACATAAAGCTGCCTTGAATATAATCCTTCGTCAATTTCGGCCTGTGGCCGAGAAGTTGAACCATTTTTCGCCATGTCTACGATTGACGCGAGGTCGCCGGCTCCTTCTGCCGTGGTGGCAGCAACGCGTCGTTTCTTGGCTGGGGGATCAACGGAGCTCTCCACCACCTCAGCACTAGACATCGGACTTTACGAGGGCCGTATTATATCTGTCGATTGTTTTCACCCGGCTGCTACTGCACTGATAACCCGTCCCACCGCTCCACGATTGCGGAACTTTCTGCACAATTTTTCCCTTCGTCCTTTACCTTCCTGGCGATTTTTCTTCGCCTGCTTCTCAAAATCACCCCAGCACTGCACGTTGATACAATAGCGATCGGCCATGCAAGAATGATTTTTCCAATTCGAATCTTCTCACTGACTTTCTGTTTCTTTATGCTTTGGTGTTCCACTTTGCACTCAAAAAAAAAAAAAAAAATTCCACACGAGCACCACCTTTACGACTAACCCCGACACCAATTTATAGTTTTCTACATTTTCAATCGAGCTAAACTAAATTCCAAGAAATTTTAAACTGTAAATTTTGCCATTTATTTGAAAATATTGCAAGAACAATGAAATTTGCAATATTACTGAAATGAAGTTTGTACTAGAACAGAGATGGGTTGGTTAATTAAATTATCAGAAATTAGACCAGCCAATCAGAAAATAGGAAAAAAAACATATTAAAACTTTTCATTGGCTGAACAACTTGTCCTGGAATCGATCATCCAATCAGAATTACTTCCCATATTAAAGTGCTGTTCACATGACTAATTCCTACAAACTATTATTTTACTAACGACCCATCCCTCGTTTAAAAAAAAAACCAACCAAATTTAAATTATATTTAAAATTTTTTAAATTTATCATTCTTTGTATTCTTTATATTTATTTAAAATATTCACAAAAAAAAATTAATAACATTTCTAAATAAATGTTGTATTACAAAACTAAAAAATTTTAAAATAATATATTGTAAATATTAATTATATGAAATTAAATATAAAATTTCAATAATTAAAAAAACTCGGGAACAATAATAATAAAAAAAAACGAAGAAATCGCTGAACGTTTTTTATTCTATTGATAAAATTGTTCAAAATAAATTATTTCCATAAAATCAACTCTGTACAACTTCCTATTGCACTAATATTTTCTATATGAAAATTAATTTTAATTCATATACACCCGCGGTATTTAAAATATATATATACCTATATTTCTCATATTTTTTAAAATTTTATATCATTTAATCAAAAATTAAATTGGTTGATTATGAAATTGTTCATCAGGCGTAACGGGACTACCAAAAGCACGATGTAAATTATCTTTCAATGTATTAGAAATTTTATCATTAATTCGCAATCGTGAATTTGTTCTCAACAATAATTTCCCATCATGAAAATTATTGTCAAACAATTGATTTGCTGCTGTTGTAAATGACGATGTGATTAATGGAAATGGTACAGTTGGTGTTTCGGATTCAGCTGAATCTGGAACTGATGTACCACCCTCTAAAAGTAATCCGCTCAAAATAGAATCTGGAGTGCCATTTAATGATTGTACGACATTTGGAAAAACAGGTCCACCCAAGACGTCATTTATTTTTGACGAACTTTTTATTTCCTCAGGAACAGTTGACGTGCGACGCAATGTCACTCGTTTTTGGCTGCATTTAATTAACAAGTTGTTCACCTTATAATATCGTAAAAAATCGAATTTTAAAAAACCACACCATTCCAAAATCTAGTTTTTTTTTTTTATCACACTCTGGGTTTCAATTCGATTCTTTAATTAATTCTCAGTATATTTAATTAAAAATAAACATATATTAAATTAATTCTTAAAACTAAAATTAACTAAAAATTCTTAAATTATAAAATTAAAATAAAATTTATATGTACATGCAAAATTTTCTTTATCTTTATGAATTCTAATAAATAAATCTGAATGATAAACTAAATAAATATTAATAGAATTTAAAAATAGACTATAAAAAACTATTTTTGTAAATATATTATCAATTTTGAATCGAATCCAACCATGCAATTTGTAGAAAATCAATATTTTACTATTTTTGAAAAAGAAAATAACTAAAATTTACAACAAAAAAAAGCAATTTTGAAAACGAATTAATCGAAATAAAAAATTAAGTGCAAACATTTTTTTTTTTTTTTTTTTTTTTTAAACACAAACAAGCTAAACTCACCGACTTCCGTTAACTAGAGAAATGGTTTGATCCGGACTCACTGAAGATTCATTTCCATTATCCCAAGAGTTATGACGACGATGATGACTTTTATCTTTATAGGCCTCGGCAATATTATTAACGCTACCGATAATTCGTCGTTTGTCCAATTCTTTTAATACTTTTTCAGGCATTACACTTCCATATTTTGAAATTCCATTTACATCCACTAAATCCTAAAAAACAAAAAAATTCTCAAATATAATTCAGAATATTAATTATTTATTTTACAATTAAATTTTAATAAAAAAAAAATATATATAAATTATAATGAAGAAAAATTCTATAATTTTCAATTTAATTGAATAAAATTTCCGTTAAAAATGCCTACTTAAAAAATATTCACCATTTTAATGAAACTATAAAAAAAAAATTTTAATACAAGCTGTAATGAAAAAAAAGTCAATCGTAAATTTATACCATTAATGTAGATTAAATTAAAAAACATAAGAAACCGCATTGATTTAGCTCTCTCGATATAAATCATTTGGTTATAAAAAGTTCTTCGAGTAAATCGATTATAAAGAGTTATAAAAAAAAATTATATGCCTATATAAATGAACTCATCGTATACTGTTGATGGTCCATATTACGATATTAATTTCAAAAAGATTTATATTCAACAAAAAAAAAAATAATAATTTTACAAATAAATATCTAATAAAAAATTAAACTTAATTAAATTTTCAAAATTGGTTTAAAAAAAGAATAACGAAATAATAAATTTAAAATACCCTGGAGACGGAATAATTTGGAGAAGTCGAGTGAGCATTTGGATTGGTCCATATATTCGTGGAATCTGGAAGATCTTCATTATTTGAGCCATTAAGCATTTCTGAAGAATAAGTTGGTCGTGCCGGTATAATTGGTGAACGACAACAAACGCTGTGAATAATTATTAATAATAAGCAACTTTACAAAAAATTATATTACTATAATAAGAATAAAATTAATAATAAATTTGAATATTACAATTATTATTATTATTATTATTAATGAAGTAATAATTCATTATATCACTACAATTTTTCAAATAAAAAAAAAATTAAATGCATATTGCAATTTTAATTGAATATTAAATTGTTTTTTTTTTTTTTTTTTAATAATTTGTAAAATGATCGTAGAAAAAAGATTGTATGTATCCGTAAGTGCATCGTCTATAAAAATCAATATTGTTTCTATATATTATGTTTTGCACGAAGCAACAACTTTATATGCAATACATAATATTGATAAAATTATGCGCTAATAAAAATTAAATAAATATTTTTTCTTACAAACTTATTTATTATTTATTATTATTTATTAAATAACTAAACCCTAATATCGAAAGAATGTTATTTTTTTTATTTAATTAGCAATGAGAAAAATGATAATAACAGGGGGAGAAAACTTACGAATTGACATCCTCTAATTTTTTTAAAAGCCGCTCATTTTCTCTGCAAACAATTTCCTGATCACGTATCACTTGCTCGCGTGTCGAATAAAGTTCAGCGTTTTCACGTCGCAATGCTTCATTCTCATTAATATAGACCCGAACCAATTGGCTAAGCTCGGAATTTTCAAGTTCCGCCAATTTATCCAAATCAACTGGTGGAGTTTTTGGCACTCGGCTTTCTGCTAAAAAAATAATTCAAAATATTTTTTAACATTTAATTTATAATTTCTTAAAAAAAAATTCCCTGAAATCCCTAATCATCAAAATTTTCCAACTTAAAAATTATAATTAAATAAAATACCTTTAGAATCATTTCGATTGTTACTCGAAGAATCATTTCCAAGATAAAGAGCGGCTCTGAGACTATTATTTTCCATTTGCAATGCGTCGACTTCTCTCTTTAAACTTAAAATTAAAGCTTCTCTGGGATCCTAAAAAAAAAAAAAATTAAATAAAAAAATAGAAAAAAAAATTTTTCAACATTGAAGAAATAATGACAAATATGATCGAATCATTTTCATACCATAACAACAATGGGTTTGGTTCGGATTTTTTTCGTTCTCGAAGCATATCGTAAAGTATTTATTGTCTCACTGACATTGGAACGAGCCGGTGATATACAGGCAATCTGTAAAAGTTTCAAAAAAAATTTTTTTTTTTTCATAAAAACTAAAATCTAATTGGCTAACTAAATTCTTATTTAATATTGAAATTTACCATCAGCGAAACTCCGTTTCCTGCTAAACTATCAGCTAATAATTTTGTTAATTTGCTATCTCGATATGGAATATGAACACCTTTCTTTCTACCATCACTTAAAGACGCAATACAGTAACCTGTTAACAAGCAATTCACTTTATAAATTTGATACATAATTTTTTTTCAATAACATAAAAAATCCACATCTCGTTAAAATTTTTTTTTTATCATCAATTGAACGATTTCTCAAATTGGTTTTGTTTACTTTACATCAATAACTTGATGCAAACAATTAATTATACAATTTTAATTAATTTAAAAATTAATTTACAATTGCAAAATAAATTTTAATAAAATTTCCATTACAATTAGTGATAATTAAACTTTGAATACGATGGAAAAAAGTTAATTGAATTGTAAACATGAATACAGTAAAAAAAAAAAAATGTTGCCCTTTATTTTTCTTATATACTTTTCATAAATTTTTAACATTGACATAGCGCGACAAACGTAGATAGTTAATAACATAAGAGCAATTTATTATTTTTAGACTCCTCGTAATTAAGTAAATCGATAATCATGGTCTAGGTAAAGCATTTCATGCCTATACATCCAAATTGATCAGTTAAAAGCGACTAAAGTAGAAAAAATTATCATTTGAAATTAAAATTTTTTATTTTAGTTTTCTCCACCCCCTTTTAATTAATAAAATACCTAATAATAATTAAAAAAAAATAACTTTTAAAATTAAACTCCAGGGAAAAATTAAAATATATATATATATAATATTTAAAAAATAAATTGTCGTTAAATATATGTAAAATTTTAAAAATTCAATTCCTTAATGTTCATAAGCAAAATAAAAATATTCTCTTCAGTTATTATTTTTTAAAAGAAGAAAAGAAAAAAATAAAAAACGTATTTATCGATCCACTAAATATTATAAATAATTGATAAGCAAAAAAAAATTCACATTTTCACTTAACAGCCAATAGCAAACGTCTTGGAAATGCTTCAATTCCTTTAAGGAAATAATTTATTGCTAATCGATTGTTCTATCGATGTTTAAGTAAACCACATGGATGGGTCTCAAAGAATTTCGCAGAAGACGAAACAATATAAAAAGGAAGCTTGCAATTTTTATGAGAATTACAAAATCACTAACCAACATGAAATTGCAATTGAATCAGAATTTTATTCTTCAACGATTTTTAATATTAATTTGTTATTAATTTCATCATTTAGTTACTTTATTTATTTAGTCAATAAATTCTTAATTTGATAAAACTTACCTAAAACCATCAGACTTTTGTTAATGTTGTTAGCCTCCTCGAGAGTTTTACCCTCACTTTGAGTTTTTTTTGTCATTTCACTACCAGCTAAATCGACAAAATTGATTTTTCCCTGTCTTGTAATGAAAACACCATTTTCCATCTTGGTGAAATAAAAGAAAAATTGGAAATAAATTATAAAGTAAATAATTAATAATAAAGGAAGTCAATTATTAAAATAAAAACAATAGAGTAATTTAGATGTTCACCTGCTGCTCGGAAGTGATGTGAACAGTCAGTATTGTATGGCTTCTACTGGAATGATCGTTCATATTGTGCGAACCGACAGCTCTGTTTCTCATTCCTTAAAAAAAAAAATAGAAAAAAAAAATTCCTTTATTTACTCAATTAATTAATATTTTCATCACCAAAACTCAGTTAAAAATACTTACCTTCTTCTAATACTGCTAAAAGATCATCAAGTTCTTCACACTCAACAGTGAAAAGATTTTCAACAAAAAAACCGCGTGATTTTTTACTCCATCGAACAGCGAGTGGCTTTCTCGAACCTGGATTTAATAAATCTATAACCTGAAAAAAAATGTATTTTAAATATTTTACATAATTATATTGCTGTAATAATTAAAAAAAAAAAAAACAAACCTTTTCATTATAAATCTCCAAAAATGAGGCTTTTAAGACAAAATTACATTCCTGTCGTTCTTGTAAAAGTTTAAAGAGGTAGACAAATGAGCGGAAGACCAATCCATGATCCTCTGAATAGGGATTCATTTTTAAAAACTGAAAATAATAAAATAACTTCAATTTCTTTTTTTTCCTATAAAATATAATTCTTTTTATAAAGTAGAATTAATACTAAATTTTTAATAATTCTTAACTTATTGAATTAATAAATAACAATTTCAGAGGGAAACAAATTTCGTAATGTTAAAAAATTAAATAAATCACTTTTTTGGAAAAAAAAACAGAAAAATTAACATTGGATAAATAATTGATGATTGAAATTCGTCCAATTCCGTGTGATTAAAAATACAGTTACACGAAATGGTCAAAAGCAATGGTTTGCGTGTCATGTGGATATGCGAGATAAGTTCAACCCATGTTCAACTTATTCGATCGATTGTCACTATAGACACTTTCACATATGTTTCCTCAACTTATGCATTCGTTTCTTAATAAATAGTATATATATATAGAAATTACACAGAATTACCGAATACACAAAAATTTCAAAGAATAACAAAAATACAATAAACTTTATATTTAAATAATGTTAGTTATATTCCATTAATAATTACTATCCTTTTTTAAAAAATTTGTTGTTTAAAAAAATGTAATTTTTTTTTTTATTCTAAATTAATAAATAATTGTATAAGTTAAAAATATATTTGAATTAAAAAATTTAACAAAGAAAGAAGACAGTAATTTAAAAAAAAACAAAAAAAAAATTGTCACAAGAAAAAAATATATATTTACCAGTCCAGGTGGTCCCGTAAGAGTATGCGTTTTCCCACTTCCGGTTTGGCCGTAACAGAAGACAGTACAGCTGAAACCCTCAACCGCCATTTCTATTAGCTTTTTAATTCCGGAATATAATAAAATATCCTCCTGAGTGGCTGCAGGCTCAAAGACAGCATTATATGAAAATAACTTTGCCTTTTTCTCCGTACTGTGCGAGAAGCCATCACACTATAAATTACAAAGATTATTTTTTTTTTTTTTTTCATTTATTATAATTATATAGTAAATTAATTTTGAATAAATTTAATTTAAATTGAAAATTCATTATGCAAGAAGTAAAAAATTATCCAATACAATCAATAAAAGTGAATTCATTTTATTTTTAAACAAATAGAATTTTATTTTCATTTAAATTAGATCAAATCGTTTCTTAATAAATAACATAATTTTTCCCTTCTTCCGACGAGCTTTTTTTTATTGTAAAAGAAATGTACGAGAAAATGTGTGAAAAAATATAAGAATAGTTGAAAAAATACATGACTCTTATCAGATTACGTTCTATATAATTCGACAATTTTTTTTTTTTTTTATTATTAGAGTAAATATATAAAACCTACGGTGATACACGAGGCCACATATCTATATATGTATACTCTATATGAGATTGCATATAGGTAAATCGTGTCAGAAATGAATACTTACGTATATCTGTCCTCCACCAGGAAATTGAACGGCCATATCATCCCTGGCTTTAATTTCCTTATTGCTAAGCGGACGCACTCTATGCAAAAGGAAAAAAAGAAAATTTTACATTAAAAAAAAAAAAAAATGTCCCTTGTAAAATATTTATATAAAATAGCCAAAATAATGAAATAAAAAATAATTTTGATTTACCGAATGACGACATTGATATTATCTTCGGGAAGCAAATGTTTCGAGGCAATTGCTCTTCGATCTCCGACATTTAATCTTTCTATACTCCCAGTTCTGTAAAAAAATATTAATTTTATTAATTTTTAAATTACTATTTTATTGAATTTAAATTAATTAATTTTATATTTAAAATAAATTAAATTCATTTCTCTAATTAAAGTTTTCTTTCAACAAAGAAAAATTTTCTAAGCAAAATGAAATGGCAGAAATAGAAATTACTCATGGGAATTTTTATTGCGACAAAAGAAAAGGGTTTATATTCAAAACATAATACAATATACGTAAGCGTACTTTATATTTAATAGCATGCATTTTTCCTAGCAGTAAAAAGGGGACGATTTTTAAGCTATAAAAAAAAAAAATTTATGAAAAAAAAATCTACTACTTCATTATATCTTAAATTGTATATTGTGATAAAATATAATAAATAATCGATAACTATCGTAAATAACTTCTATAATAAATAAGAAGGGAAAAAAAGTTAATAATTTTTTTCCCCAAAAATTATATATATTAAAACTCTAATTATAAAAATAATTCATGATATAAATTATTTTTCTATATAAATATAATATTGCAGAAATTTTGAAGTCTTTTTTAAAAAAAAAAAACAATACTTTCTTTTTCTGGTCGTTGCACTTTTAAAGTTAAATCTTACATGTCTTGTGTAGTAGTTTTATATATAGCGTTGCAAAGCTTTTGAACTATATAAGCATGTGTACATTCACATGTGAACAAATATATAACTCTAAGTGCAAATTATCTGAAAATAGCCTAATATATCTCTCCAAGTCTTCAAAGTAATAAGTTCCCTAATATATAATTAACAAAATATTCAAAATATTGAATTGTTTTAATATAAATTTAAAAAAAAATCATGAATCTAAAAAATTATATGTAATAATAAAATGCTTGGTCTGTCCTGCTGTCCTAACTTGAAGTTGGCCTTTTCTGATTTCACGTGTTTTTTTGAATAGTAATCTTATGACGTGTCAAATTTTGACAATTCTTTTTCTCAATTTTGCCAAAGTTGTATAATTGTGTTTCCAAATTTCGGAATAAGTTTCTTTAAAATTCCAAATTCGAAAATTCAATTCACGAAGCTGAACTACACAACGTTTACCAACGAAATTTTTTTAAAGTTGTATATTGATTCAAAAATTGTATACAAATACAAAAAATATATGGTGAGAAAAAAGATGCGCCAGGAAATTTCGTACCAGGGGCCAACGCATACCTATTAAATATTAATTATAAAAATACAGGCCTCGAATCAACTTAAAGACACAAAAAGTCGTTTTAGTCGATTTATATTCCAAAAAAAAGTGGATTTGTTTTTTATTTTAACAAAAATATTTTACAGAATTTTAAATAAAAAATTTTTTTTTAATAATAATCCTTTTCGAAGGGTTACAGTTGAAATTTTTAGAAATAATTAAATTTCAAAAGATATTGTTAATTTTCAAACAATTATTAAATTTTACAGAACTAAAAATAATTTATCAAACAATTTTTGGAAAACATTTTTTAAATTTAATTGAATTTTCAAAGATTTAAAATTGAGATTTTTGAAATTAATTGAAACTTTAAGTGTTTTGTAATTAAAATTTTAGATGATTTCACTAAAAATTTATTAGAAAATGCGGACAAAATACAATAATTTGAAAATCATTTTTAATTGAAAAATGGTTTCAGATAGTTGAATTTTCAAAGAATATTATTAAAATAGTTTAAAATAATTGAATTTTCTTAGAGTTATAATTGAAATTATTAAATATCAAAAAAAAAATTTTTAATGGAAAAATTTTAGAAATAATTCAATTTTAGATGCTTTTAAATTCAAATTATTGAAAATTCAATTACTTTTGAATTCACATTTTTGAGAATAATGAAATTTTATTTGATTTTAAATTGAAAATTTTTGGGAAATAATTGAACTTTAATTGAAATTTTGGATAATAATTTAATTGAAGTTCATTTTTGATTGAAAATTTGGATAATTAATTTTGAATAGAAATTTTAGAAAATAATTGAATTTCAATTAAAATTTTTCAAAATAATTAAATTTTAATTGATATTGAATTGTAATTTTGGAAAATAATTGAATTTCAATTAATATTAAATTAAAACTTTTGAAAGTAATTGAATTTTACTTGATAAGGATTGAAATTTTTGAAAAATAATTGAATTTTAGTGGATTTTCAATTGAAATTTTGGAAAATAATTGAATTTTAGTTGATTTTGAATTGAAAATTTGAAAAATAATTGATTTTAAATTGAAAATTTTGAAAATAATTAAATTTTAGTTGATTTTAAATTGCAAATTTTGAAAATAATTGAATTTCAGTTGATTTTGAATTGCAAATTTTGAAAATAATTGAATTTCAATTGAAATCTTAGAAAATAATAGAATTTTAGTTAATTTTCAATTGAAATTTTGGAAAATAATTGAATTTTAATTGATTTAGAATTGAAATTTTGGAAAATAATTGAATTTCAATTAAAATTTTTTAAAATAATTGAATTTTAGTTGATTTAGAATTGAAATTTTGGAAAATAATTCAATTTTAATTGAAATTTTGGATAATTATTTAATTGAAGTTCATTTTTGATTGAAAATTTGGATAATTAATTTTGAATAGAAATTTTAGAAAATAATTGAATTTTATTTCATTTTAAATTGAAAACTTGGTAAATAATTAAATTTTAAATTAAAAATTTTGGATAATTATTGGATTTTTAATTGATTTTGAATTAAAATTTCTTGTAATAATTGAATTTTAGTTTATTTTGAATTGAAATTTTTAAAAAATAATTCAATTTCATTGTGATATTTTTTTTTAAATTATAAACAATTTTTAAATTTCATTAAAATTTTAATTAAAAAATAATTTTGATATAATTGAATTTGTGATGTATTTCATTAAAATTATTAAAAATAATTTTGATATAATTGAATTTGTGATGTATTTCATTAAAATTATTAAAAATAATTAATTTAGTGAAGAATCATTTTAGTTCATAATTTGTTAAATATAATTGAATTGAAGAAGATCTGAAGAAGATCTACATCTTATACTAGAAAAATGTATTTTTTTTACATTTTTTTTCAAATGTAACAAAAAAATGTCGCATTTTATTAAAATAAGTCGATAAAAGTCGTATTTTTGAAAAAAGTCGGAAAAAGTCGTATAATCCGAGGCCTGTATAATTTTCATTATTATCATTTAATATGTAATAATATTCTAATAAATTAAATTATTTTTGATAATATTAATCTTTAATTTCTTTATAACAAACAATTAAATACTCAATTTGGAGCGCTTGCGCGCGTTTAATTTTGTAAAATAATAAAAATAAAAGTCATTTCAGTGGTATATAATTGAAACACTTGAGGTGACCACCCCAATAAAATTTTCATCATCATTATTGTCAGGGGATTGGTATATTGAAAATTTTGTCATTTTATTAAAATAATTAGTCAATTTATCATAATCAAGTGCATATCGAAACGTGTCATCCAAGGACAAATTACACACATTTTTTTAAAATTATGTTATATAATGCATTTATATATAGATAATATATTTATATTTTATTATCAAAGGGCAATTGCATGTGTCTAAAGAAGCGCACTAAAACTTCTCGTGACTAATGATTAATATCGTAACAAAAAATAATCATTACGAATGACTGGATCGAAACTTTTATATATATATAAATATATCACACACAAATATGAAAGTTTTTCTTTAACACCTGAATTTTTATTTATTAAAATAAAAAATTTATTCTTTATATATTTGCAATATTATTGTATTAAGCGTTAAAATTTGATAAGTCGAAAATAATTTAAATATTTAAAAATAATTTAATTTTGATTTTTAAATTTCAATCTTTTTAATTTTGTTTGTTAAAAATTTATCTTATTCATAGGATCTGATAATGTAAAATAATTAATTTCAAAAATAAAAAAAATAAAAAAATAAACTCACTCGCTGCCTCTGGATCCAAGAGATGGACTTTTTCTCAAGCCCTTTGAGTATAAACTAATTTTCCCAGGACTACTTCCACGAGATCCTGTTGATCTTTCACTTGGACTTACACCCCTGGAATTTCGACCTCCCTTTTTTTGTTCAAGTTTTCTTGAATTCTTCGGCGGAGTTTCGCCTCGCAGCGGTGATGGATTTCTCAGCATCACCATCCGTCAATCTAAAAAGAAAAAAATTAAAAATTTAAAAAATATTCCAAATAACTGAAAATTAGAAATTAATTTTTCTTAAGAAAAAAAAATGGACTGTGATGAAGAGAAAAGGGAATAAATTATCATTTAACTAAGTTTCCTGTTTGATATATCAAGATGAATCGCGGAAGTTAGGGGATCCAGATGTGTAATCCGGATTTAAGCATCAGTGATTTCTCGTGGCATGATAAGAAATAACAAGAAGGTGTCAGGTGTGTGTACACATTTGATTTTGATCTGAGATTTAAATTTTCCTTTTTTTTAAAAAAAAACTGATATCAAAATTTTTTTTTTGTCACTAAAATTTTTCATGAATATGAAAATAAATTGCTGCTGGTAAATTTTACATAAAAAATTCACGAGTCCAATTAGAATGACAATAAAAAAAAAAAGCAATAGCACCTGGCAGGTGAAAGGCGTGCAGGATGTCTTATTATCTTTTATCGCATCTTTCCGGTCTTCAAGTAAATCGACGGAAATTTATGCGCCCACGTGCTTCTAACTACCAATGAGTTCAAATTAGTCTCTAAACTTTAACAAATATTTTACAATTATAATTCAAAAGAATATTAGAATTATTATTTTAATTTTTTTTTTTTTTTTTGAATAATTTAAACGAGAAGATTTTCTATATTAAATGTTCATAACATCTTCATTGAATTTCCTCTCACTTTGTTATCATACAATTACTGGCAATTAACGTCTTAAAAAAGCGCTAAATCGTCAGGAAACAGATAAAATTCTAAATAAATTACACAAAACACTGATTGACTTTCACTAATTGTTCAAACCAAAGAAATCTCTTCATTAATAAATTATACTTGCTAAAAAAAATTTTTATTTAGCTATTTGCTATTTGCTTCACTGCCGTTAGTTGATTTTATAATTTTTAATAAGAATTTTTTTTTTTTTTTTTTTCTAATTCTTATTTTGCATTTATCATTTTTGTCAGTAATTTTCCTTTTTTTCTCAATATTTATTATCACAGAAAAAAAAATTACTCACCAAAGATCATCTAATTAATATTATCACGTACATTATTTTTTATGTAGTATTTTATTTTTACAAACAATAAAATGCAAAAAAAAAAAATTTTTTAATTGAAAAAATAAAAATTTGGAAATGTTTAGAAGAACTATAGGGAAACGTCGATCGGAATAAAAATTGGGGAGAGAGAGAGAGAGAGAGACAAGTAAACAGGTGATATTTATAATATGTAAAAAGTCCTTAGTCCATGCTTTGAACACGATTGCGCGCACTAGACTAACTCTTTATGTGACATGAAGGTAGACTTGACCCTCGGGGGGGTTGTTTTTCTATAGGTGGTCAAATCGATCGAAATCGAGTGTAATATGTATTTCCATGTATATACATGTATATACATAATGCTGACTGCCTATTAACAGTTACAATACAATCAAAAAATCCACGTGCATTTGCGTTAATGTTATATACGGGTTATGGGTGAACTTGACACCCGATGAAAAGGGCTACAAATAACGTTCACACCCTCTAAAGGTGGACAAATTTCTTCCTCTCGTTTTTAAAACACGAGCTTATAAATTCTTATGAATAATTTATTTCAACTATTTTTGTTAGCGCTAATGTCCAATGTAATTTAGAATTTATAAGAAAATATAAACAATTGTATAAATATCATTAAAAAAAAAAAAAAAAGAAAAAAAAAATTCGATATTTATTATAAAAACAAATAATTTTCCTGTTAAGATATATAAATAAACTGTCTTTACTGTAGTATTTCACTCATGGAAAAAAAACATTAATTATTCTTTTATCTTCTTTTCCAATATATAATCAATAAATGTCTAATCTGTTTAACGAATTTAAGACTAATTTTTTATATTAAAAGCTCTCAAATACAAAAAAATTACACTTTTTTCAGATTACAAAAAAATAAGACTTTTAAGTATTATTTTTGTTGAATAAAAACAATTCTAGACTGTTAATAATAATCTAAAAAATATTTTATAAACTTAAAAAAAAACATAATTTCTTTTTTCCATGTTTGAAATACATTAAAGCAGTTAATTACAATTTTTTCTAATTTGAAAAACCATTTCTACATTTTCAATTATATATGTTTAAAATAAACCTAAAGTCTTTTGACATTTCACCTCTCTTAATAGATCGAAAAACTATACATTGTATAAAGTTCATTGTCAGGGTTATCGTCCAATATGTAAAATAATAATAATAATTTGGCAAAATAAAAATAATAATTATAAAAATTGAATTTTAGTTAATTTTTATACAAATTGAATTTGTAGGATAATTAAAATTTTGTTATAAAAATTAAATAATAATAATAATAATAATAATAATAATAATAATAATAATAATAATAATTTTGCAAAATAAAAATAATAATTATAAAAATTGAATTTTAAACAATTTTTATACAAATTGAATTTGTAGGATAATTAAAATTTTGTTATAAAAATTAAATAATAATAATAATAATAATAATAATAATAATAATAATAATAATAATAATTTTGCAAAATAAAAATAATAATTATAAAAATTGAATTTTAAACAATTTTTATACAAATTGAATTTGTAGGATAATTAAAATTTTGTTATAAAAATTAAATAATAATAATAATAATAATAATAATAATAATAATTTTGCAAAATAAAAATAATAATTATAAAAATTGAATTTTAAACAATTTTTATACAAATTGAATTTTAAACCATTTTTATACAAATTGAATTTGTAGGATAATTAAAATTTTGTTATAAAAATTAAATAATAATAATAATAATAATAATAATTTTGCAAAATAAAAATAATAATTATAAAAATTGAATTTTAAACAATTTTTATACAAATTGAATTTTAAACAATTTTTATACAAATTGAATTTGTAGGATAATTAAAATTTTGTTATAAAAATTAAATAATAATAATAATAATAATAATAATAATAATAATAATTTTGCAAAATAAAAATAATAATTATAAAAATTGAATTTTAAACAATTTTTATACAAATTGAATTTTAAACAATTTTTATACAAATTGAATTTGTAGGATAATTAAAATTTTGTTATAAAAATTAAATAATAATAATAATAATAATAATAATAATAATTTTGCAAAATAAAAATAATAATTATAAAAATTGAATTTTAAACAATTTTTATACAAATTGAATTTGTAGGATAATTATAATTTTGTTATAAAAATTAATATCAAGATTTTCTTTTTTTTCAATAAATAAAAATAAACCTTAATATTTGAATTAAATTGAATATTCTATAAAATGATAAATTTTTTTGTTACATGCAAAAGGAAAGTATTACACAATGTTTTTTCTTATAAAACATAATTACATAATAATCGTGCATCTTATATGTGCTTCCAAATCGTGGTTCATTGTATATAGACTTGATAATTCACTTTATAAATAAAATAACGAACGAGATTTTACAATCACTATACGTTTCTCTCTATTCATGAAAGTCGTGACGGCGAAGAAGAAATATTATGTTACTTCATTGAACGAAAGTAACATTTTGTTGCAGACCTATACAAAAACGAATTTGACATTAAAATCTGTTTTTGTCTATCTGAAGGAATAAAAAAAAAAAAAAATTTTTTAGAACTAGTTTACATGAAACAAAATTATACGGCTCAATCAATTATAGCGTATAAATGAAACACGTTTTAAAATATATATATAAGTGACCTAAAAACTCCTAAATATCAAAGATATTCATAAAAATCAAATTCGCCGATTAATATATTTTGTCGTTAATCAAGTTTGTGAAAATTTATGCATTAAAACCTGACATAGCAAAATTAAAATTTTTTTTACTATTATTAGTATAACACTAATATAGAATACCGTGGGGATTATCAAACTGAATAAAAATATCCTCACAGAGGGGGAAAAACGCAAAAAAAAAAAAAAAAAAAAAAAAAAAACATCTCAAGCATCTTCTCAAGAAACTTGTTTATATACAGAAAAAGACATGACCAAACGCGTATATCTATATTTGTTATCTGACAGGCTCACTTCCGGGGAGTGTCGTAATTACTGATTATATATGATTCCCTTCTATTTTTCAGGAATAGTAATATAAAATTGTTGTATGCACTTAAAATTTTAAATCTGCAAAAAAAATTTCACCTACATTTTTTTTTTAGAGAAGCTATTGTGTTATATTGTTTTCGAAAGACTTTACATCATTTTGTCACGGCTAGTAGAGTACGAGCTTTGGATTTTAAAATAGCCCTACTTTGCCTTTACTATACCGGCTCTTATAGTTCAGGTTGTTAACCTACAATTCAAAGTTGTTACGAAAAAACATTCTCCATTCACATGGGACACAAAAGGGGAACTAGAAGACTAAATTTTAGCACACAGAATGGAAAAAAAATAATATTCAAATATATTTGTAAAAAAAAAAAAAAATTCTAAAAACAAATTCAAATTGAATTTTGAATTAATTTGAAGTTAATTTAGATTAAAATCTTGATTTAAATGAAATCACTCTTTATAAAAGCAAAAAAAGAAAAATAAACGCCTCCGAAGAATAAACAAATTTTCCGGTTTAGAACATCAATTATTCTTGTGAAAAAAAATTTTTTGTTATAAATTATCATCATCTTTTAAATTTCACATACATTTGTGAATACCGTAATATAATGATAACTATTGTAAGATAGTCTCACGTCATGTTATATATAACAGACTAATGACACTTGAAACGTGAGACAATTTACAATTTTTTTTTTTTTTTAAAAGCGTTTACGAAGAAAAATTGGAAATACAATTAAATCGATAATTAGTTAATTTGGAGACGCATCAATAAGCTCTATTTTTTTTTTTAATTATGATTTAATGGAAAATTAATTTACCAAAAATAATTCGTGGGAAATATTAAATTTTCGTGATAATTTCTGGTAAATTAATGTTCAATAAAAATTCCGTCAAATTGATTTTCGATTTAAAATTTAATTATTTACCAAGTTTTCAATTTAAAATGAAATAATATTCAATTATTTTCTAAAATTTCTATTCAAAATTAATTATCCAAATTTTCAATCAAAAATGAATTTCAATTAAATTATTATCCAAAATTTCAATTAAAATTCAATTATTTACCAAAATTTTCAATTCAAAATCAATTAAAATTCAATTATTTTGAAAATTTTTAATTAAAATTCAATTATTTTCCAAAATTTCAATTCTAAATCAACTAAAATTCAATTATTTTCTAAAATTTCAATTATTTTAAAAATTTTAAATTCAAAATCAAAATTATCCAAATTTTTAATCAAAAATGAACTGAAATTAAATTATTAACCAAAATTTCAACTAAAATTCAATTATTTTCTAAAATTTCAATTCAAAATAAACTAAAGTTCTATTACTTTCAAAAATTTAAATTCAAAATCAAGTAAAATTTAAGTACTTTCAGAAGTTTTAATTTAATATTAATTGAAATTCAATTATTTTCCAAAGTTTCAATTCAATATCAATTAAAATTCAATTTTTTTTGAAAAATTTTAATTGAAATTCAATTATTTTCTAAAATTTCTATTCAAAATTAATTATCCAAATTTTCAATCAAAAATGAACTTAAATTAAATTATTATTCAAAATTTTAATTAAAATTCAATTATTTCCCAAAATTTTAAATTCAAAATCAATTAAAAATCAATTATTTTCCAAATTTAAAATCAAATAAAATTTCATTATTCTCAAAAATTTGAATTCAAAATTAATTGAATTTTCAATAATTTGAATTTAAAAGCATCTAAAATTTAGTTATTTTAAAATTTTTTGATATTTAATAATTTCTATTATAACTCTAAGGAAATTAAATTATTTTTAACTATTTTTATAATATTCTTTGAAAATTCAACTATCTGTAACGATTTTTCAATTAAAAATGATTTTCAAATTATTGTATTTTGTCCGCATTTTCTAATAAATTTTTAGTGAAATTCAATTATTTTCCAAAATTTCAATTGAAAATTAACTAAAATTCTATTCATTTCTAAGATTTCAATTGAAATTCAATTATTTACCAAAATTTCAATTCTAAATCAACTAAAATTCAATTATTTTCTAAAATTTCAATTATTTACCAAAATTTTCAATTCAAAATCAACTAAAATTCAATTATTTTGAAAAATTTTCATTGAAATTCAATTATTTTCAAAATTTGCAATTTAAAATCAACTAAAATTCAATTATGTACAAAATTTTTCATTTAAAATCAATTATTTCCGTGATAATTTCTGGTAAATTAATTTTCAATAAAAATTCCGTCAAATTGATTTTCGATAATTTTGCAAAATTCTACAAAATTAATTTTTCTAAAGAAAAGAGATTCTATGAAATCATAATTTGTTAATTTTAATTTGCATTTGTTAAATTGTTTTGGCAGAAAATTTTTCTAAATTCGAATTCATAAGTTGTTCTCTACCTGCATGACGAAGAAGAAAAAAAAAAATTCTTTGTCATGTATTTCCAAACAGGTATATATAATAATCCGCATTGTGTCAATAATTTTAGGGATCGTAGAGTGGCGAGTCAACAAAAGATGATGTTCTGGATCTGTTATAAAGAATTTTAGATTGGTGTTGGTAGACACGCATTTTCCATATGTCTATTCCCCGTTTTCTGATCCTCCACCTCTTTTGCCACACTCCGTCTTCTTCAGTGTCTACTTTCCATCGATAGTGCGTGTGTATAGAAAAGCAGCAACCAACAGCAAACAGTTTGGTATTTTATACCGTAGCGTGCTGAACAAAAAGCAAAAACATTCTCAAGATCATAAGAAGTGAGAGTCGATTAAAGAAATCAAACTTGAAAGACCATTAGAGCAACGTGTGTTCTCCATTGCATATATATATATATATATATATATTCAAAAAAGCCGGCCTCGAAGACCACGAGGTCTTCGCTCCTCCAGGCGAATAAACGGACTCCGCATGTAATCGGCATCGAGCACTCGGTGTGGCTCTTGGGCATTTGCAAGCGTCACTCCTTCGCGAAAGCGAAACACGTTCGGTACACACACTTTTCTACATAATCATTTTTTTTAAAAAAAAAAAAAAAGTTTCGTTTAGTGACGATCACCGTGGCGACAAAATAAGATCAAAAATCATTCATTGCCGCGCACCGGGATCATTGCGCTTTAATGTTTTCCTGCAAAAGAAGCAATAATTTACTGTTTTTTCCATTTTTTTGAAAAAAAAAAAAAAATCTGTGAAAATTGTGAAGTTTATTATTTGGATTGCAACACAAATCTTTAGGAACTTGTTTGAAGGCGGTGGAATAAGAAAGGTAAGAGTCCTTTTGCAACAATGACGTCATTTTGCGCTCGGAAAGAACAAGTTCTTTAAAAGATTGTTCAATAGACGAAAAATTCAAATAAAAAAAAAAAATAATTCAAAAATAATACTGTAAAATATTGGAACTGGAATATAAATTTAAAAACAAAATAATTCAATTAAACTTTCATTTGAATAATAACTTAAACAAAAATTTAATTTCTATTTTAAAAACCATAATACCGAAATTTAAAATATTTCAATAATTTAAAAAAATCCAATTTAAAATGATTAGTAAAAAAAAATGATGTATAAGACGAATTTCGATTTCCTCATTACATCTATGAACATTGAAAAAGAAATTAAAAAAAAAATCTCGATTTATTTTTTATGGCATTCGTAATCAAATTTATTACGAGGCAATAAATTAAGAGACTACGATCAGCAAAAATTTGCTTGATCAATAACTGGTGCTTAGTACACTGTTTTTTTTTTTCTCTCCGAAATATTTCAATTTTTTTTTTTTTTTTTCAAATAAAACTAAATTTAAAAAATTTTTTTTAATTTTTATTGAATTATTTCTTGAATTTTATTTTCAAATAAAAAAAAATTAGAAATTTAACTCAAAACTCATTATCTAGCTAAGCAAACAATATTTTCAGAAAATCTCTCATTTATGTGACTCAGTTCATTAAACCAACAATCATTTATTGTTATATGCTTATCGGGGTATAAAAGTTGATATCGCCTTTAAAAAACAAAAAAAAAAAATGAAAGAAAAAAAAAAGATTGCCATAGTAATATTGCAAAATAGGCCATAATTCCCAAGAAACTCGTTCTTTCTCTCATTGTAAAATAAAAACGTTTTTCCACAAGGACATGTGTTTAAAGAACCTTTTGGAGACATTAACATCTAGGTCGTGACTCACACACACTGTGAGTCAAGATCGATGGTAATATCTTCATGGATTATATAGAATTTGGCAGAATTGAATGTCATTACAACCTTCGATAATATATTGAGAAAATTACATTAAAAAAAGAAAACTATTTTTTTTTTTTTTTAAATCTCGATTCAATTTTCTCTATCGCAGATTGAAAATTGACTTCAATTAAATAAAAATTAGTGTCAAATCAAATGAATTTCAATATTAGTCATACTTTTTCTAATAATTTTAATTAATTTTTAATTAAAACGATTTTAGTGGAAACTTTTTTTTCTATTTTACAATGAAATTATTTTTTTTTTTCTTTAAATTTTGTAATATTTTTTTTCTAAAAACGAAAAGTAAAATGTATTTTTTGTTAATTTAGAGATCATTTCCCCTGGTTTTTATAGATTTTCTCGGTATAAAAAATGAATGTTTTTTTTTTTTTTTTTTTTTATCAACGAAGTCGATTTTTTTTTTGACTCTCCTTTTTTCCTCTGGGCATCGAAAATAGCAGATAAGTGGATCGTAAAAGCATCGAGGCCTATAGAACAAGAGTAACAGAAGTATAGCTATCAGTTTGTAATTCTGCGAAGAAAACAGAAGCATCGCACGGACCAGTGAACTATCTTCCGAGAACACATGCTAACATAGAAACGTGAAAAACTTTTTCACCGAGAATGGAAAGAGAGCTGTTAACTCTTTGTTCAAAAAGGGCTTCTTTACTTGGTAAAATGCAAGCATTTAAGTTGTTAAGATCTCTAGACATAGGCAATATATATATATATATATATATATATATATATATATATATATATATATATATATATATATATATATATATATATAAAATAAAACTTATAATATGAGTTCAAAGACCCTCGTCAAAAATATTTCAACAAATAACGATTCAATCTGCTCAATCATTAAATGAATAATAATAATATTGATAAAGCACTACTAAAAGAAATTTTTTTTTTATATAAAACGTTCTCTTACCTTATCTTGTTGTCCATAGATGCAATATATTCTTTTTTTTTAAAGAAGATTAATAATCTGGAGAAATTTAAAATTCCCTCTAACTTGTAATTTATATAATATTCTTCTTTTTTCCTTTTTCTGTCGGCAGTAATTCGAGATAGGTTTTTCTGTAAAAAAATTTAATAATTATTAATTGATCAAAGAATTCGTAAAAAAAATTTCGTTTTATAAATAATAAATAAATAATTAAAAACAAATTTAATTAATTTTTTTCGTTTTTTTTTCTAGAAAAAATAAATGATGACTTTTTTGAAAAGTTGAAAAAAACTGTTATTCTCGTAAAAATAACATTTCCTGTCATGTTATTGAACATTTGATTCTATAAAAATTTTCGCAAATTCAAGTAATTTTTTGTTGAATACACATTGCTGACTCAGAAAACGTTAAAAAAACGAGAGAAATGTAATTGCACATTATTAGAGGTCAAGTTTAAAAAATAATGAAAAGTAATTTTTTTCAGTTAAAATATTTATAAATTTTAAAAAATTTCTTTGATACTGAATAGATATTCTCAAATTAGAAATATTAGAATAAATTAAAACTTATTGCTTTGGAATTTATTGTACAAGATTAGGTAAATTATTTCTCGTGTCTTTTTTTTGTGGGAATAATAATTTTTAAATAAAATCTCAAAATATTAGTTTAAAGAGATTAGAGTTTCTTCTCCGAAAGTTCTTCGAAAAACCGGTTGTGAGTTCTGATTCAGCTCGACCTTGAATCAGTCAGCGTGGACCCAAGGAAGTTCAGGGTTTTCACGGCACTCTGCCATGAACATGAACTTAATAAGCGTTGGGAGCGACGATTGCCCCGCGTAATAATAAATTATTACATTTTAGTATTTAAAACCACCGAGTTGAAATTTACAAAAGTCATTATAATAAATAAAATTATAATCCAAGAGTAAAAAAAAAACAATTCTCAATTTTATTTTTTAACTAAGAAATGTATTTTTAAATTCAAATAAAAAAAACTACACTAAAAATTAATTAAAATAAGATGATTTTTAAAAAATACTGAAATAAATTTGAAAATGTAGAATCCAAAAAGGCGAATAAGAAAAAAGAATTGAGCAATGGGAAAAAGACTCCGACCGAAATAAATTTGATTCTATTTTCAGTTTGAAAACTAAACGCAAAAGACGAGGGTAGAAAAGCATCTTTATATCTTTCTAGACGTTTAAAACACGGCTTCATAAATGAAGACATAAAAAAGTTTATTTTTTAACTAGCAAAATTAAACGCGCGCAAGCGTGCCAAATTGACTATTTAATTATTTGTTATAAAAAAAATTAAAGATTAATATTATCAATAATAATTTAATTTATAAGAATATTATTACATATTAAATGATAATAATGAAAATCATACAGGCCTCGGATTATACGACTTTTTCTGACTTTTTTCAAAAATACGACTTTTATCGACTTATTTTAATAAAATGCGACATTTTTTTTTACATTTGAAAAAAAATGTAAATAAAATACATTTTTTAGTATAAAATGTAGATCTTCTTCAGATCTTCTTCAATTCAATTATTTAACAAATTTTGAACTAAAATGATTCTTCACTAAATTAATTATTTTTAATAATTTTAATGAAATACATCACAAATTCAATTATATCAAAATTATTTTTCAATTCAAATTTTTATGAAATTTAACAATTGTTTATAATTTAAAAAGAAAATATATCACAATAAAATTGAATTATTTTTTAAAAATTTTAATTCAAAATAACCTAAAATTCAATTATTACAAGAAATTTTAATTCAAAATCAATTAAAAATCCAATAATTATCCAAAATTTTCGATTTAAAATTTAATTATTTACCAAGTTTTCAATTTAAAATGAAATAATATTCAATTATTTTATAAAATTTCTATTCAAAATTAATTACCCAAATTTTCAATCAAACATGAACTTCAATTAAATTATTATCCAAAATTTTCAATTTAAAATTTAATTATTTACCAAAATTTTCAATTGAAAATCAATTAAAATTCAATTATTTTCCAAAATTTCAATTGAAAATGAACTAAAATTCTATTATTTTCTAAGATTTCAATTGAAATTCAATTATTTTTAAAATTTGCAATTTAAAATAAACTAAAATTCAATTATTTTCAAAATTTGAAATTTAAAATTAACTAAAATTCAATTATTTTCAAAACTTTCGATTTAAAATCAATTATTTTCCAAAATTTCAATTCAAAATCAACTAAAATTCAACTATTTTCCAAAAATTTCAATTCAAATCAAGTAAAATTCAAGTACTTTCAAAACTTTTAATTTAATATTAATTGAAATTCAATTATTTTCCAAAATTTCAATTCTATATCAATTAAAATTCAATTATTTTGAAAAATTTTAATTAAAATTCAATTATTTTCTAAAATTTCTATTCAAAATTAATTATCCAAATTTGCAATCAAAAATGAACTTTAATTAAATTATTATCTAAAATTTCAATTAAAATTCAATTATTTCCCAAAAATTTTCAATTTAAAATCAAATAAAATTTCATTATTCTCAAAAATGTGAATTCAAAAGTAATTGAATTTTCAATAATTTGAATTTAAAAGCATCTAAAATTGAATTATTTTCAAAATTTGCAATTTAAAATCAACTAAAATTCAATTATTTTCAAAATTTTCGATTTAAAATCAATTATTTTTCAAATTTTCAATTCAAAATCAATTATTTTCCAAAATTTCAATTCAAAATCAACTAAAATTCAATTATTTTGAAAAATTTTAATTGAAATTCAATTATTTTCCAAAAATTTCTATTCGAAATTAATTATCCAAATTTTCAATCAAAAATGAACTTCAATTAAATTATTATCCAAAATTTCAATTAAAATTCAATTATTTCCCAAAAATTTTCAATTTAAAATCAAATTAAATTCATTATTCTCAAAAATGAGAATTCAAAAGTAATTGAATTTTAAATAATTTGAATTTAAAAGCATCTAAAATTGAATTATTTCTAAAATTTTTCCATTAAAAATTTTTTTTTTGATATTTAATAATTTCAATTATAACTCTAAGAAAATTCAATTATTTTAAACTATTTTAATAATATTCTTTGAAAATTCAACTATCTGAAACCATTTTTCAATTAAAAATGATTTTCAAATTATTGTATTTTGTCCGCATTTTCTAATAAATTTTTAGTGAAATCATCTAAAATTTTAATTACAAAACACTTAAAGTTTCAATTAATTTCAAAAATCTCAATTTTAAATCTTTGAAAATTCAATTAAGTTTAAAAAATGTTTTCCAAAAATTGTTTGATAAATTATTTTTAGTTCTGTAAAATTTAATAATTGTTTGAAAATTAACAATATCTTTTGAAATTTAATTATTTCTAAAAATTTCAACTTTAACCCTTCGAAAAGGATTATTATTAAAAAAAAAAAAATTTTTAATTTAAAAATCTGTAAAATATTTTTGTTAAAATAGAAAACAAATCCACTTTTTTTTGGAATATAAATCGACTAAAACGACTTATTGTGTCTTTAAGTTGATTCGATGCCTGTGTTTTTATAATTAATATTTAATAGGTATTCGTTGGACCCTGGTACCTTAAAAATTAATTTTTAAAAATTAATTTTTTTCAAATTACTATTGAGAAAAATAATTGTCAAAATTTGACACGTCATAAGATTACTATTCAAAAAAAAACACGTGAAATCAGAAAAGGCCAACTTCAAGTTAGGACAGAAGGACAGACTAAGCATTTTATTATTATATATAATAATTTTATTTTAATCAGTCTAGTTTATAATTAATTTTTTATATAGGCAATAAAAATTACACCTATATAAAATTTAATAGAAATTAATTTAATGAAAATTTTAATCATAAAAATAATTTTTTTTTTAGAAAAAAATGAACGAAAATTTCAAATTACTTCTTGCAAAAAAAAAAAAAATTCGCCAAGAATTCAAATTTTTAATGAATAAAAATTCTTTCTCGTAACTGTAAAAGTAGGTCTTGCACATGAGGCTCATACAATTATTCTTCAATATAACGATGAAAAAGGAAGAATGTATTTCCCTTAACCGGTGAATTTTTTTTTTGTACATTTTTTATTCTGAGAGAATAGTATAAGAAGACGATACAATTAACTTCCTCGAATGAGAAAGTTGTTGGCCTCTAGAAAATAATTCCATAATGGAAAAAGAGGGTAGCATATACATATGACGTGAGATTTCTCACAATTTTTGTATATAATATATATAATATATGTTTGCCAATAGGAGAATAGCCTAAAAACCGGAAACGGTTCACAATGAACAATGCACAGCGCGTGCCTTTTCCACTATCTTATATAGTACATAGAGATAACAAGAACAAAATTGTCAGTTGAGTGGACAGTATATGTACATATTTTATGCAAAAAAAAAAAAAAAACAGCCGGAAGTTTTTAGAGGTTAACGTGCGAGCATTAGAGTCTATTATGTTGACTATGCGATAACAGTAAAGACGTATGCACTATAACTTCCACCATAGATTAGAGTATAATTGCTATAATCTTACTCATTGTCTTTAAAATTTCCAACTCTCATATACATTCAAAAATTCATTACTACGCTAAAAAAAAAAAATTAATCGGAATTTTTTTTTTTAATTACTTTCACCAATATTCTAATCATATATAATTAATTTACATGTATACAAATATTATATTTAGCGTGAAAATTATTTAATTTTCATTTGAAATTAAGGGGAAAATAAAAAAACTCAATTTTTGTGTCATTGAGAAATTTGAAACCAAATTATAAAATAAATAGAAACAATTAAGATATACAAATAAGATGTGAAAGTTGACAAATTGTCACTGGAAGTGAGTTCTTCAATTTCTTTTAATGAAATTAATCGGGTTACTGTTGGTGTGACCTTGCATAATAAATTTACAGGAGTATGAATCTCACTAGGTCGATTATATTCATCCTATAAAACATTTTAAAGAATACACTGAAGAAAAAAAAATTTATTTGATTCAAATACTCGACTATTATTAAATAAATATTTACTTGAATCAAATAAATTTTTATTTGAATTAAATAAATTTTTATTTGAACAAATAATTTCTGTATTTGAAACAAATACAATCTCAAATAATAATTATTTGATTCAAATAAATATTTATTTGATAATAGTTTGAATTTATTTGAATCAAATAAAATTTTTTTTTTTCAGTGTATGAGAAACCAGTTGGTATTGTAGTACCAAAAAAAAATTTTTTTTTCAATTTGCCTTTTATAAACTGAAATTCTAAATTTAATTTTGAAAAATTCTGTTCATTTTTCGTCTATAATAAATTTTATATTTATTTTTCGATGCTATGGTTTTAAAAAGCTATCGATCCATTTATAAAGGATTACGAAATGACATACTGTGCCACAACGTTGTGAATATAAACGTGACCCTAATTGCTTCATGACAAAAAAAAAATGCAGTAATCACTTTGTCACAGTCTCTTCAATGTATACGACATTTAATTGTTCAAATCGTCCGATAAAATGTCAACTGATATTTGTCATCTTCAAATAAACAAGAAATGCAGGTACACTAATTGTGGATTTTCCCTGTGTTTTGAAAAAAAAACAGAATTACATATCATAGTATTTTCATATATATGATATAAAAGAATCATTATTTTCATACTAATAAATAACAATAAAAAACGTCAACTAATAAAAGCAAAAATAAATAACTAAATTATTATTTTATATTAATTTTTTTTCAGTTTTATTGCCTTAATTCAACAAGTGAAACTTAAGTTTTTAATTTTGTCAAAATTTTATCGATGGTAGTAGTATTTTTTAAAAAATAAATTTCTGAATGTTGATCTTTGTTTCTCAAGTTCAATTTGTGAATGACTGACTCGAATAATATTATAAGAATGGATAAATGAAGCCTCTTGACTTTATAAGCATCTGGTTAACTTTCACAATGACTGAAAGAGATTTTTTTAGTCACACACCAGGGCAGGTTCATGAACACGTGAGTGACTCAGCTTCTTAAAGCAGATCTTTTACATCTACTCGAAAAAAAAAAAAAAAAAATACTTTGTCTTATTTACAATGCTACTTAAACGGTTTCACATGCTAAATTTAGCGTCGAAATGCACTTTATAAATCACAAAGGTACATAAATAGATACACAAAGACTTCAGGAAAATAAAATTAATAAATTATCAGAATCTTGTCATTTTTATCTTATTTTTTCTCTTTGCTTTTATTTGATTAAAAAAAATAATTTCCGGACACATAAATATTGCATTTGACTCAAGTAAAAATTAATGAATAAGAAATTATTTAAAAAAAAAACAGTAATTAAATAATTTTTCGTTTACATTCAAGGGAGCGTCAAAATTCCAATTCGATTTAAAATTAGGTCAAATTTCAAGCAATTAAATCTGATAAGTCAAAATGAAAGCTAGAAATAATTATTTGTCAAATAATTAATAATTATTATAATTATTAATTAATAAAATTAATATTAATGGAATATTAATTAATAAAATTAATATAAATTCCTCTTCAAAGGCGAAATTTCAAATATAATGAATATTTCATTGACTAAAACATTTTGAAATAATTCAATATATACAAAGCCATTTTGTTTCCATAAATAAATTAGAATTAGTTTAGTCTATTTCAAATGTTCAATATTTATCGACAATAATAACGATTAGTTTATTGTTAGATCTAAAGAAGTAATTTTTTTTTTTTTTTTTCATCAATAACAAAATTTCTTTGTTCCAATTGGTTGAGATGTCGAGTCACGCAAACACAATGTATATATATGTATATATATTCCAAATGAACTGTTTTTTGTCTGCATAGATATCAATATGGGGTCACGAAATAAATGCTTTTGCAGATATCATTTTCTTTACAGTCGTTTCGCGTTTACGTGAAAGTTAAGAAAGCCAAATTCATTTTGTTAAAAAATATTAAAAAAAAAAAAAAAAAACCCGTTAATTCCAAAAATTTTAGATAAAAAAAAAAAATTATACGTTAAAGAATTTAAAAAAAATTAGTAATTAGTAACAAGAATGAAAGAAAACTGATAAAATAAATTATTATTTTTTTCTATAGTTAAACATAATAAATCAATTTTTATTTTCCAGTTTTATATAGAAATTGACTAAAAAAATTAAATTGACGTCAAAGTACATTTGTTATTGTAGCGACAAATTTTCGATTAATCAGATTACATTAATTAACATCAATTTTTTTTGGAATTTTATATAGCATGATTTGTATATCGATAAATGAAATTGGCCTTCGTAACAAGAGAAGTTCTTTTTGTCTCAGGTGATAAATCTTTAAAAAATATAATTGTACAGTGAAATGGAATTTATATTACTCTCGCGATTTTGCATAAATTTTTCAACACCTTTTTAAGCAGTTACTTAAGTTAACTGTAATTGTTAAAACAAATAGTTTGGAAAAAAATTTTAAACGATATTTTACAAAAAAGTAAAAAGTATTTTAATACAAATTTGTGTATAATAATTTCATATAACAGACAAGGAAAAAAAAAGGCAAGAAAAGCATGAATCAAAGGTAAATTGATTACTCCAAATATTATGCACTGATGATTCAAACAAAGATAATTAGAATTTTATAGATTTCAAGATGTGATTAAAAAGTTATCCCCTTTTACTATGTTTTATTATTATGTAACATTAATTATATTTAATTAATAATTAATAAATAATTAATATTAATTAATCGTATATTTATTTATAAATATTCAATTTGTGTTTTTAAATGTTTTATTAATGAATTTTATTTCATCTGCAATTCAATTGGTTATTAAAGGGAGTGAAAATGTAATTGTTATAACAATTTTCATTTTGACCGCTCGCGTGATTTATTATTTAGATACCTAGATATAATTAAAATTCCAAATTAATTATACAATACAAGTGTTACAAGTGAACGACCATTCAATAATTAATGAGAACTGTTTTTTTTTTTTTTTTTTTTACTAATAAAGCAAATCGAAAGTTTTTCTTTTCTATCACCTGCTAAAATAGAGAGAAGGAGATGTATCACGCGGGTGTGGTGCGCGCAAAGAAAAGTGATCTAGATCGTAAAAGTGAATTTGCAGTTGCATAATTTCACGGATCGTTGTGCGCAACGAGGAATCGAGAAAACGTTGAAAAAAACGATTATTATAAAACAAAATTAATAAAAAAAAAAAAAAATTTGTTTTTGAACCTTAATTAAAAATTAATTTTAAGGGCACATTATCGATTAATGCGAAATGAGTTAGGAAACAATGAGTTTATCAAGATAAATTTGTACATCACGTAAATGCATATCTTATCTTAAGACGATAAATTTAATGTTAGGATTGCTTTTAGTAGAGAATTAATGTTGGGATCGTCAGTGTAATTATCACGCGAATACCCTTGAGATTAAATGTAACCAGTTAATGCCAATTCATCCACATTATTACTTTTGAAATTCACTTTGGAATTGACAAAAAAAAAAAAACAAAAAAAAAAAAAAAATGGGGTGAGTTTAAATCGATAAAGTTTACAGAAATACAAAAATTTAATAATCGCCGCTTGTCCTATTAACGAGATTATTATCCCTTTGGCAAGCCACTGAGATTATATTTTTAACTAATCAGACGTTAATATACATTAACAAGAATTTATCTCATCAATTATAATTTTCTCAAAAATGACAAAAAGTTTAAAGATTTCGAATTTTTCAACTTTTTTTTTCATTTTTAAATTATAAATCGCATAATTTAATTGCAATTTTGTTTTTTTAAAATTAATTTATTTTAATTAAATTTTTAGAAAAATAAAAAAAAAATTATATTAACTTGGAAGTTTTTTTTTTTGCCTCAATTCTTTACAACTACCTGTTCCTATCAGTGGCTTGTATTATGAACTTTTCCAATATTGTATCTAATCTACAGCTTATCGCAAATGTCCACAAGGACGGGTTAGAAGTTTGCATGAAAGCAACTATAATATGTTTTCTATTTTTTTAAAATTTCAATCCCCCCCCCCCACTGAACAGTTTCAAGATCAATTATTATTAAACGAGTTAGAATATTTTCAAATTACGAACAATAAAAATTATTTAATTTAAATTAAATATATACAATGCAATTCAACAATATCTAATCGAATTTTTAAATTAATTTATATTATTTCAAAGTGGTAATTTCATTTTTTTTTTTTTTTTTTTTTTTTTTTTTTTTTTTTTTTTTTTTTTTTTTAAAAAACCTTTTTTCTATAATATTATCTTTTTCATTTCTTAACAATTTCAATTAGCAAAAAAAATTTTGATTCTACTTCGTATTAATGATTATAAAATATATTTCTTTTATTGTACATTTTTTCAATTTGACAAATAATAATTCAAATATTTATATAAATTTAGTGAGCAATGAAAGAACTGTAGCAATTTAAGTCGACACGCAAGTACTTAGGTCGGTGTGTCAGACTCCACGTGCGGTTTAAAGTTCTTCGTTTGCAATACGAACGTGTATATATATATATATATATGTAGATCGCATAATGGGGCATGAAAAATTATATGGTGAACCAACCAAGACCAGTCACTGAACTCAAAGAGTCAACGACTACCTTTATATAGTATTTTGTGGGAATTCGTTCAGTTTCTCGGGCGAATAATATTTTAAAAATAAAAAAATTTCTTTGTCGTCGTTTAACGATATATTCCCGAGAGTTGAATACTAATCGGTTATTTGCTACGGTTACTTCTGACTCACAATGTCAAACTTTTTTTTTTTTTTTTTTTTTTCATTGCAATAAAATTGTTTAATTAAGACGAGACATACTTGGTATGTGTTTCTTAACGGGATAATTTATAAATATCTCGTTAGGTGAGAAATTATCGCGCTCTTGTCTTTGATTAATTATAATAATAACCAGGGGAATTTTGAAATAATAAATTAAATATTAATTAAAAAAATTAAAAACTATCTTAGTTTTAAAAAGAAGAAAAATATATATCCACTTACTTGTTTATAGGTTGAAATAAATAATTTTGACTTATAAACAATCTGCATCTTGAAATTTAATTTTCTGGCCTCGGTAATTTTTTATTTTAATTTGAGTCACCAATATTGAGGGAAGATCGAAATTGTTGACAACTCTTGACAGTTTTATAACTTCTATGATAGTTGATAAATTTTGAATTTTTTTTTTTTTATAGCATCTGAAAATATAGATTTTTTTGTTTTATAGAAACATATTTAAATTATAAAAATAATAGAAAATTGTCAAAAAAATAATGTAAACTATTAAAAAAAAAAAACGATATAACCTTCAAATTTTCGAAATAATTTGTAAATAATAATATGAGCAAAAAATTGATGTAAATTGAAATAATCTGAAGTGATAAAAACAAATTTTGCGATATAAGACAAATACACTTCGTCAGTTCAACAAATAAAAAAAAAATTGTTTATAATTACGAAAACATCAAAAACATTGATTTTATTACCTAATTAAGCCTTATTAAAATGATTTATTTGTACTATGAACTTTATTTCCATTTATTTACCGGCTGTATCAAAGAACATAACCTCAAATTTTCATTTCATTCTGTTCTAATTAATTTAACACACACTCGATGTCATATTTTCACTTTCAACAATTACAAAGTAATTACTTTGTAATATCGATTCTGATACAACAAAAGTTTAATGTAACACACAAAAGATGAAAAAATCTCACTAATAAAACCGTTGTAAACTTTGCTTATCGTTAAAAAAATAAACGGAAGTTACCAACACATTACCACATCCAATCAAAATACATTAACCTCATAGCGGGAAATTCAAACGCGGTAATTTGAAATTTAAATTTCTTTTTTCAGGAAATAAATATATTAATTTAAGAAATTATCATATAATTCTGTTCTAATGGTTTAATATATAGATAAAATATAAAATTATCAAAAAATTAAAACCTTTTAATGAACATTTCGATTATTTCATTACCGGACAATCGGAAGTAACTCCAACCAATCAGAATATTCTAGCCTTATGGCGGGAAATTTAAAAGTTTTTTTTCCAAATATTTCAAAAAATAATGAATTTTAAAATTAATACTCCAATTATTATAAATAAATTATAATTTATAATTTTATAAAAAAATTGTAATATTGTAATATTTAAAAATATTTAACAAACTGAAAATTGCAAAATAATTTTTTTAATCTAAAAAAAAAATGTAATTAGTGTAAATTAAAATTATTTTTTAATTTTTCAGTGAAGATCCTGTTTCATCTGATTCGCCGGATAATTTATCCGGTTTCAAATCGGAAGTTTGCCCTGAAAAAAGACCATCAAAAACCATGGAGAGAGGATTACATGAAAGAGATCGAGTTGGAGTTCAAGATTTTGTTCTTATAGAAGATTTCGAAAGTGAGGCAGCCTTTATTGAAAATCTACGAAGAAGATTTCGTGAAAATCTTATTTATGTCAGTAATTTCAAAAAAATTTACTATTTTTTAAATTTCTGTGAATGAAAAAAAAATTGGAAAAATAAATACAACTTTTTTTTGAAATTAAAAAGAAATTTTCATTTTACAGACGTACATTGGACAAGTTCTAGTTTCAGTGAATCCATATAAGAAATTACCAATTTACAATCAGGAAACAATTGAATATTATCAAAGAAGAAACTTTTTTGAAACACCTCCGCACGTGTAAGAAAATAATAGAATAAATATTACATTTGCCAAAGTGACTATAATTATTTGATAAAATTTTATTTTTAATTTAAATTTAATTTAAAAATTCTTATTTAAATTTCTCTTGTAGATTTGCACTAGCAGATACTGCCTACCAATCATTAACAAAAGAAAATCATGATCAATGTATTTTAATCTCAGGTAATATTTAATGAATAGTATATAAATTTAATAATTTATCAAAATTACTTTAATAATTAAAAAAAAAAATAAATCTTATTAAAATATCACCTATTAAACTTTAGGAGAATCTGGGTCAGGAAAGACTGAGGCGTCGAAAAAAATCTTAGAATTTATAGCAGCTGCAACTGGACACAAGAAAAAAGTTGAAGCCGTAAATGTCAAATTGATTGGCAGTAATCCAGTTTTAGAAGCTTTCGGAAATGCAAAAACTAATCGAAATGACAATTCCTCCCGATTTGGAAAATATATGGATATTCAATTCGACTTTCATGTAAATTATTAATTAATTAATAATTAATAATAATTAATAATTAATTATTGATTAATTAATTCATTGTATTTTAAATAATTTTCAGGGTGATCCAGTAGGTGGAAATATTTTAAACTATCTCTTGGAAAAATCAAGGGTCGTTCACCAATCGTCAGGAGAACGGAATTTCCATATATTTTATCAACTTCTATCAGGAGCAAATGACGAAGTTTTACGTAATTTATATCTAAAGCGTAATTTAGATACGTATTACTATCTAAGTAGCGGGGTAAACTATTAAAAATTTCTAATTAACAGGCCTCGGATCGACTTAAAGGCACAAAAAAAGTCGTTTTAGTTGATTTATATTCCAAAAAAAGTCGAAAAAGTCGATTTTTTTTTATTTTAACAAAAATATTTTATAGATTTTTAAATAAAAATTTTTTTTTAAATAATACTTTTGAAAGGGTTGAAGTTGAAATTTTTAGAAATAATTGAATTTCAAAAGATTTTGTTAATTTTCAGACAATAATTAAATTTTACAGAACTAAAAATAATTTATCAGATTATTTGAGATAACAGTTTTAAAAGGTAATTAAATTTTCAAAGATTTACAATTGAGATTTTTAAAATTAATTAAACTTCAAGTGATTTTTAATTAAAAATTTTTGATGATTTCACTAAAAAATTTATTAGAAATTGCGGACAAAAATACAATAATTTGAAAACCATTTTTCATTGAAAAATCGTTTCAAATAGTTGAATTTTCAAAGAATATTATAAAAATAGTTAAAAATAATTTAATTTCTTTAGAGTTATAATTGAAATTGTTAAATTTCAAAACATTTTCGATGGAAAATTTTAGAAATAATTAAATTTTAGAAGCTTTTAAATTCAAATTTTTGAAAATAATTGAATTATAATTGAAATTTTGGATAATAATTCAATTTTAGTTGATTTTTAATTGAAAATTTTGATAATAATTAATTTTGGATTGAAATTTTGGATAATTATTGAATTTTAAAAGATTTTGAATTGAAAATTTTGAAAATAATTGAATTTTCTTTGATTTTGAATTGAAATTTTGGGTAATAATTTAATTTTAATTGAATTTGAATTGAAAATTTTGAAAATAATTGAATTTTAAAAGATTTTGAATTGAAAGTTTTGAAAACAATTGAATTTTCTTTGATTTTGAATTGAAATTTTTGAAAATAATTGAATTTTATTTGATTTTGAATTGATTTATGAATTTGAATTAAAAATTTTTGGTAATTTTATTTGATATTTTATTAAAATTATAAACAATTGTTAAATTTCATTAAAATATTAATTGAAAAATAATTTGAAATAATTGAATTTGTGATGAATTTCATTTAAAATTATTAAAAATAATTAATTTAGTGAAGAATTTTAGTTTAAATTTTTTTTTAAATAATTGAAATAATGAAGATATGAAGAAGATTTGCATTTTATGCTAAAAAAAAATATTTTATTTAAAAATTTTTTTTAAAAATGTAAAAAAAAGTCGAAATAGTCGCATTTTATTAAAATAAGTCGAAAAAAGTCGTATGTTTGAAAAAAAGTCGGAAATAGTCGAAAAAGTCGTATAATCCGAGGCCTGAATTAATTACACTAAAAAGCGTTTTTAAATTATTTAAATTTTTCCTTCAGAAATCATTTTTTTCCCCCCATATTTTCGGATTTGAAAAAAAAGAAGTAATTATTAAATTTATTTTTGAAAAAAATAGAAATTTAAAAAAAAAATTTAATAAATAAAAATAGAAGGAAAAAAAAAATTTTTGTGATATTTTTTTAAAAAAAAGAAAAAAAAATTGAAATAGAAAATAGAACTTTAGACAAAATACTATAAGAATTTCGAAAAAGTGAAGAAAAAGTTTTAAAGAAGAAAATAATAATAATTTTTAGACTAAAGGTGCAATAGATACCATCGATGATGCTAGTCAATATAGAGAAGTGATCGAGGCCATGAAAGTAATGGAAATTTCTCAACAAGAACAGGATGATCTTTTTTCTATCGTTGCTTCTGTATTACACGTGGGAAATGTAGGTTTCACAGAAACAGAGGGAGTTGCCACAATTCTTAAACCAGCCTCAGTTGAAGCTGTCTCGAAGGTTAATTTAATATTTATCTATAACAAAATGAAAAAAATTATTAATTTTTTTTTTTTTTTTAATATTCAAGAAAATTTTTACAAATTTTAAATAATATATAAAATTAAGAGTCAATAAAAATGTATTTCTTTGTAAATATTATTTAAAAAAAAAAATTTTTTTTTTTATTAATTTTTTAATTTTCAGTTATTAGGATGTGATGTGAGGGATTTGGCAAAGGCATTTACTCATCGAACAATAGACGCACACGGTGATGTTGTAATTACACCTTTGAATAGAGAATTGGCAATTTATGCACGAGATGCATTGGCAAAGGCAGTTTACGATAGATTATTTACGTGGCTTGTAACGCGACTCAATAAATCACTTCAACCAATGACACATAATCAACGAACTGTCGTTATGGGAATTTTAGACATATATGGATTTGAAATTTTTCAAAAAAATAGGTCAGTCAAATTTAATAAAGCCAAATTTAAAAAAAATAATAATAATAATAAAATTTCAATTTAAATTAACAGTTTCGAGCAATTTTGCATAAATTTCTGCAATGAAAAATTGCAACAACTTTTTATTCAATTGACATTAAAATCCGAGCAAGAGGAATATTTAAAAGAAGGAATCGAATGGGAACATATTCATTATTTTAATAATAAAGTTATTTGTGATCTCATTGAAGAAAAGTACAAAGGTATTTTTTTAGATTTTCAATTAAAAAAAAAAAAAAAAGAAAAATTTATCGACAAAAATTATTAAATATTCCAGGAATGATATCTTTAATGGATGAAGAATGTTTAAGACCCGGAGATCCAACTGATATGAGTTTTCTCGAAAAATTGAATTCTAATTTAAATAGTCATCCTCATTATATAAGTCATATGAAAGCTGATATTCAGACTCAAAAAATTATGGGTCGAGACGTAAGAATAAAAAATATATTTTTAATTTGATTTAAATAACAATAAAAATATAAATTTGTTTTAGGAATTCAGATTAGTTCATTATGCCGGAGATGTAACGTACAATGTACGAGGATTTTTGGAGAAAAATAATGATCTTCTATTTCGCGATTTACGCGAAGTAATGTCCCATACAACAAATTCAATTACAAAGGTAAATTTTTTTTTTTTTTTTAATTTTAATTTTCATTAATCTAAATTTTTTTTTCCAATTAATAATATTTATCGAAAAACAGACAGTATTTGATATCAAGAAGGATTTATGCAGTAAAAAACGTCCGGAAACGGCAATCACACAATTCAAAAACAGTTTAAATAATCTCGTGGAAATTTTAATGGGCAAAGAACCTTCTTACATTCGATGCATAAAACCAAATGATTTTAAAATATCTAGTAAGTGATTTTAGATGATTTAAAAAAAAAATTATTGAAATCTAAAAAAAATTCATTTTTTTAATTACAGATCAATTTAATGAAAAAATTGTATTACATCAAGTTAAGTATTTGGGTCTAATGGAAAATTTACGAGTTCGTCGGGCAGGATTTGCGTATAGAAAAACGTACGATCAATTTTTACAACGTTACAAATCACTTTGTTCAGAAACATGGCCACATTATAATGGCACAGCGAAAGATGGTGTTCAAACTCTAGTTCGTCATTTGGGCTACAATTGTGACGATTATCGAATGGGCAAGTAAGAAACATTTTTTTCTTACATATTTAATACGAAATTTTTAATTATTATTAATAATAATGATTCTATGGAAAATAATTTTTTTTTTTTTAAATTTAATGAAAATTTAAAAATATATTTTTTTTTTCTTCCTCGAGCAGCACAAAACTATTTATACGCTTTCCTAAGACTCTCTTTGATACGGAAGATGCCTTCCAAATGAAGAAACATGAGATCATTGCCATTATTCAAAGCAAGTGGAAAGGTTTATTGCAACGGCGAAAATATCTCAAGATGAGGGCAGCTGCAATAATGATTCAGAAAAATATTCGCAGGTGGCAAGCTAAACGTGAAGCTGAAAGAAGAAAAAAAGCTGTGATAATTATTCGAAGGTGAATTAGTGAAAAAAAAGAGAAACGAAAAGAAAAAATAAATCTTTAAATTAATTTTTAATTAAAAATAATTTTTAAATATAGATTCATTCATGGATTCATCACACGAAATGGACCGTCAAATGGTGACAATGAGGCATTCATTGAACTCGCCAAATGTCAATGGCTAATCAGACTTTCCAAAAAATTACCAAAAAATGTTTTGGACAACAGTTGGATGCCCTGTCCTCACACGTGTCGCGAGGTAATTAATTAAAAAAACTACTTTTTTTTTTTTTAATTACTAAGAAAACTGAAATATTTTCAGGCATCGGAACACTTGAAACACATTCACAAAAGATGGTTGGCAAGGAAATACAGATTGGCACTATCGAAAGCAGATAAGGAACAATTTGAATTGAAAATTCTTGCAGAGAAACTTTTTAAAAATAAAAAAAAATCATATGCAAGAAGTTTAGGACCTAAATTCCAAGTGGATCGACTGGGCGAAGATTTAAGGGCCTTGAAACAAGCTTTTGTTGCTAATGTTATACCAAGTGGCGAGAGCATAAGGGTAAGTTTTTTTTTTTTTTTTTTTTAATTTATAGACAAAAGAAATTTTTTAAATTAAATAATTTCAGTATGCGGCCCCGGTTATTAAATATGATCGTCATGGTTATAAGCCAAGAGAAAGGGTTTTAATTCTAACAGAAAAAGCAGTGTATATTTTGGATACAATTAAAACTTTTAAATTGAAACATCGACTGCCTTATAAATCAATTGAGGAATTGGTTGTTACCGCAGAATCTGATAATTTGTTAATAGTCAGAATACCAGCGGATTTAAAAAAGGACAAGGTATACTTGTAATTATTAATAAAAAAAAAATCTATTATAAATTTAAATCTAATTTAATTAAATTAAGAATTAATTTAATTATTTAAATCATAAAAAATTAATAAATCAAAATTTCTTTCAAGGGTGATTTAATATTGGAGGTTCCTCACATAATAGAAGCTTTAACGAAAGCCATTGATATTACCAGTAATCCCGAAATTCTTAATATCGTTAATAAAGAATCGTAAGTAATTAATAAATTTTTTTTTTAAATATATATAATAATTAAATAATTGTTGCCTGGTAATTAATTCTTTTTATGTAAATAATTAAAATAATAATGCAATATTATATGTTACTAATTTCAAAATTAAAAATTTTTATTTAAAATCGACACTATTTTTTAGAGTGTCACACAAACTAGTCAGTGGAAAGGAAGGTATTATAGAATTTAAGACAGGTTCAACGCCAGCAATTAGTAAATGTAGACAAAATGGTCATCTGCTTGTAGTAAGTACGTGTTTTTACTAATTAGAATAAAAATTTTAATTTTTTAAATTACTCTATTTTACGTAAATTAACGAAATAATTCACTAAAAATAATTATAATAATCAATTTAGTAAATAATTAATTTTAATGATTAAAATCTTTTAAGACATTTTTTTTTAGCACAAAATATAATTTTTTCAATTATTATTATTAAATAAAAAAAATTAGTATTAAATTTCCATAAAAAATTTTAACTTTATAAAAGAAATTTAGAAACAGCTAAATTATTCATTATTTGCAGGTAGTGTCACCTTAGAAAGATCCGAAGGAGGCTTATGACGAAGATAAAAAAAATTTTTTTTTAAATCTATAAATATTAGTACTTAATAATAAAAATGCGCACATGCTTCAAAATATGCATGGCAATCAACGTGTTGTGATTTATAATGAAGCAGAGTATTAAAATAATATATATATATATATACATATATAATATCACAAAATATTGAGACACAAAAAGATGTTAATATTTAGAATTATTTTTTAAAATTCAACTAAAGTCTTCCAACAGACTGGCCTGCGAATGAAATGCTTAAATATTTAATAATAATTGTTATTTAGAAAAAATTCTTCCCGTAACGATATTAAAATATTTAATATAAAATCGTAATAATTTGATTAAATAGAAAAATTTTGAGAATTATTTCTCTAAAAACAAATTAAATATAAAAAAAAAATGCACAGTGCCATTTAAAAAAAAAAAAAAAGTAAAAGATATTTAAAAGTTTAAATAAACTTATAGTTCTCTAAGTCAGAAAATCAGAAAAAAAACGCTTGGTATGCAGTTTCAATTCTTTATATAAGAAAATTATTAAGTTTTTCCCAAAAAAAGAAAAAATATTTATATAATGAAGTTATATATCAATGCTTTATATCCAAGTAGTACATTTTTCATGAAAAAAAAAAAATGTACAATATTATATACATACAGAGAGAGAGAGAGAGAGAGAGAGAATTGTAAAAATAAACTATTTTTTTTCGTATTTCTGAAATATTTCTCTTTTCCTTTTTTTCTTTTCAGCGTCGACAATAAAAAATTAAATTGCACACAACGATAGAGAAAATAATTTCATTTAAAATTTTTTTCTTTTCTCTCTCGATGATAAAATTATTTTAGTGCAATTAATACTCACATCCTATAAAATATATCATTTTTTCGTCGATTCAGAAGTTTTTTTATTCGTTAACGACATTTTTCCATCTAAAGCTTTTTCTCTTAATTCATTTTCCATTGCCGTATTTACAGTTTTTGATATTATTTTCTTGAGTTTGTGCGCCTCTTGAAATTTAGCTTTTTTCGATTGAATCGGTGCATCTGGAAAAAATTAATATAAAATAAATTTGTTGCTAGTAAATTTAATTTAAAAATTTTTTATTCAACTTAAAAATAATTGTCAAAAAAAATAAATAAATAAGAAATAGAAAAAAGTTAAAAATAAAATAATATACATAAATAAATAGCGTTATCTGACTCTTACGCAAATCTATATTTATCAAGTTACCGTTTGAGTTTTTGCGCTTCAACTACGAGATTCAACCGTGTACTATGCGAATATACAAAAGACAGCGATATCATATCACCAAAGGCATTATAGCGAAATCTACAAGGGGGTCTCAATTGAATTGAATAATTGGAAATAAAATTTAAATTCAACTTTCCAATCTATAGTCGAATTAAATAATCTTTACAATTCGTGTTTATGGTGTTTACACGACGACGAAAGCAAAAAATTTTCATTCAATACGCAATTATTCATTAAATCAGTAGAGAAAGAAGAGAAAAAAAAATGGGAGTCTGTAGTGCAGAAGGTTGTCAAAATAAAAGTTACAAAGACTGTATGCTCTCATTTCATAGGCAAGTATATTGAATAACTTTTTGATAATAATTTATTGAGATCATTAATCATTAATAACCTTGCACTTATTACAGATATATTTATAATATAAATTGTTTCTTCTTTTCTTTTTTTTTAGCCCTTTGTTTCATATTTTATCGCTTTTAAATGTAGATTTTCAACACATTGTTCCACTTTTTTTTTTTTTTCCCCCCAGTTTTCCACTAGAGGACCCTGTTAGATTAAAAAAATGGCTCCAAGCAATAAACAAGGAAAGTTGGACACCGAAAAAAGAGCATCGTGTTTGCAGTATTCATTTTCAGCCAGATGATTTTCGAAGTAGCGGGAAACGAAAGAGACTTCGAAAAGATGCAATTCCATGTCTCAATTTGCAAAAGAGTAGCGTTAGTATTTAAATTATAATTCTTGACCCGAAAACATATTTTTCTTTATTTTTGATACATTTGTTTTATTTCTAAATTTTTTTTTTTTTTTTTAAATATCATAATGAAAATTATTAAATTGGGAGAAAAATTTTGTTCTTTCAAGGTGGAAAATACCACAGAAGTGACAACAACATCAAGTGCAAAGACAAGTAAAAATAATACTATTATTTGCACCACTGAAAATGATGATAAAAATAATATTTTGAAATTAGATATTTCCAATTTAGTGATAAAATCGGAACAGCCATCAATTACAAATGAAAAACAAAGAACAATAAAGCAAGAGGTGAAAAATATCATGGCAGTTAATCTTTTACGTAATGTTAAAACAAAAGGAAATGTGAAAATGATTCTCTGTAAACGTGGTCCAAATCTTGATGCTGGAACAAGTGGAAGTTCAACTTCCAAGATTATTCAAAATATTCCAACAGAAACAAAAATGGTTAATTTTTTTCAAAAAAAAAAATTTTTCCATTATTATTATCACTAATATAAATTATAAATTAAATCAAAATATAAAATAAAAATATAAATTATATTAGTTATAATATAAATTCTTTTTTATATTTATAATTATTAATAATAATAATAATTTTTTTTTATATTTACAATACAATATTGAAAATTGTGAACAATGGAGCGAATAAATTGTATAATGATTTTCCATTTTGTAATATAGATATTACCAACATTGAAATTAAATCCAAAACAAGAAATCACGAGACTAAGAACAAGTAATGAAGAGCTTTTGAAAAAAGTGAAAAATCTGGAGAAATTGGCGACAATTAATGAAAAACTTACAGAAAGGGTCAAGTACTTAGAGAAATTAGTACAAGATTTACAAACAAAGAATAAAGTGGAAACCAAAAATGATGAGGTAAGAATTGTAAAATGGAAACTCAACTGGGACGATTAAAAAAAAAAATTATCCTCTGTGTCCTTTTGCATCTAAAACAAAATAAATTTTTCCAAATAAATATTTAAAGCGCCACTAAATAATAATAAAATAATTTAGAACTTCTATAATTTGGAATCCTAAAAATTTATAAAAAAAAAACAATTAAATAATTTATTTGCAATTTCAGATATCGACTGATCAAAAGCTAAAAGGCCAAATCGTTGGAATTCCAAGAACCGAATTTTCAGTTTATTCACTTCAAAAATATGTTGACAGTGATCATTGTTACAGTAGCTCACCAAAAACATTAAAACGAAAGGTATTGACTGGTTTAGAAGGTTTACGTGAGAAAAAAAAGAAAGTTAACACTTGGCAAAGACGTATCTCAAGAACGGCTATTAAACACGATAAATTAAAACGAATCGTTAAAGAATCGCCAGATTAAAATTCAATAATTAACGAACAAAGCAAAAGAAAATAATATTTAAATATCCAGTGATAAATTTGATCCATTTTAATTAGGAAAAAAAAAAATTTTACAAAAATTTTTCTTTTTTTAATCTACAACATAAATAATTGGCAAATATATTCAAATCTCTTTATTGTAAACTAATTAATTAATATTTAAAAATATCGTTATTAAGTTAAATTTTATTATTTTTCTTTAAATATACAAATAGAGTATCTGAATTTATAAAATATAGTAGGAATTGGCAATATTATCGTAAAAAAAAAAATGTGAATAGTTAAATTCTTTTTTTTTTAAATTATCAAGTTAAAAGTTAAGATATTTTTAAAATATATAAATGTTTTCAAACTAAAGAAATATTTGGCTCCTCTTGTAAACTGACTGTTAGATTAATAAGGATTTAAAAAAAAAATTTGGTCAAAAAAAAAAAAAATGACAACTATTGTATTATAAATTTTCAATATTCAATAGATTCATATTAAATATGTTAATTTTATTGAATATTGAAAAAAATGAGCCAAATATGTCTTTAAATTATAAAATAATTAAAATACATATGCAATTTAAACTGATATTTAAAAAATAATAAATAAGGAGCATTTGATAAACGAAGTATATATATATATAGTTTATCATATAATATAATAGAAGACTTGAATATATTATGTGAAATATTTAATTAAATTTTGAAAGTTTTTTAAATTTAAAGCAAAAAGCAATATTGTTATTTAAAAAATATTAAATAATTTTTTAAAAAGATTGATATAAACAATTAAAAAGAAAAACAAAATTAATATATTAGATTTTGAAAAAAATTAATTCGGATTGTGATTTAATTACCACGTGATGCAGCACAATAACAGCTTTGTCAACAGATATGTAATTATTAATGTACTATTATAAATTTCAATTATTATAAATGAAATATAGAGAAAAAAAAATTGTTCTTGTTTACCTTTTCTTGAATCACATCTAAAGATCAAAAATTTCGTTTAAAGTTTACGTCGCAAAATTTTCAATTTTAAATTCAAAATACTTCACTATTTTTTTTATAAAATAATCAATAAATAGCAAACAAATGGCTCACTTATTGATTAAATATTCATTTTTTTAATATAAAAAGTCAACATAAAAATTTCAAGAGAAAAGAAACATAAAGTGTAAAAAGAGGTTATGTTTGACAACTACCTCAAAAATTGTATTAATACAAATTGAAAATAAAATTATTCTCTAGACAAATTTGTTAAGTGCAAAGTCATAAAAGGCTAAACAACAACAAAAAAAGGAGTAAATTAAAAGAAAAAAATATAATTGACTCACTTCCTCTTCGTTGAGATGCTGGACCTTTTTGTTTTTTGATAGCTTTAGTTTTCACGGAAGCCGGTGTTTTTGTCTTTACTTTTAATTTGCCTTGAGCCATTTTTTGTAAATTGTACAATTTTTCTTGAAGAAATCAATATAATTATTTAAAATATAACCTACTAATATACGATATTCACACGTGCGGTGTGTCAAAAAATGAATTTTCCAACGATGCCGGATGAAGCATCACAAGTATGTCTAATTAATAACTCTCATTGGTTGTCCCTTTGAATGCATTGACATTGACCAATTGAGGGTAACATTTAAGTAGAATTGAATATTTAGCGGGAAGTAGAGAAAAATTCAAATCTCAAATGCATACAATCGCATATATTATTATAAATTATATTAATTAAGTTAAAGAATATATATATTATATATTTATTTAGAAAAACGTAAATATTATTTTAATCAAATTTTTAAACTGCTACAACGAAATGTATAGTAATAATCTAAAATGCGTTTTCTTACTTTGAAATTTCACATAATTCTTTTTTTTTAAACAATAATTTTAAATAATAGATTAATAAATGTATTATTGTAATAACCAATTATTTGTTTTTGGAAAAATTAATATTTTGTTTGTGTTTTGACTAGGTTTGTAATTTGGTGGGAAACATTTGTAAATGGCGGAGGAAAAGATTATTTTTAGGTTAGAAATCGCGCGAAAATGGCGCAACGAACTATAACGTGAGTATTTGTTTGATATTTTGATTAAATTTATATATAAATAATTGTTATATTATTCTCACAATAAAGAGAACAATAAACTTCCAAGAATTGGTTTGTTTATATTTGTATTTCCCTTTCTCAGGTCGTTCTTCGCTAAATGTACACCCAAGAAAAATACAGACGAAACAACAAACTCATCAGAATCAAGGTATGTTTTACCTTAAAAACATGTTATTCTATAATTAAATTCTATTTATAAATATGTTTAAATTTTCTATAAAATATTTAAATGTGAGATCATATTTATTATACACTGAGCGGAAAATTAATCTACCGCCAGTGTATTCACCTGTGATAAACAACATTTTTAATTACCTGCATATCGGTAACAGTTTCACGAAGAAGCAAGATATCGAGACTCCAAATGGAAAAAGAAAACGTGACGATGCCTCGAGTGAAAGTCCTTCAAAAGAGTAAGTTTTTATTTGTTTTCCATATATATAAGTTTTTTTTTTAACTCCTCAATTAATAACATAACCTCAAAATGTACAATTGCGCATTTCTTATATTTGTTATAATTATATATTTTTGTTTTTAAGTTCACCTCCTGCGAAAAAATTGGATGGCAGTTTATCAGATAAAAAAGCAAAATCTTCACCGTCTCCAAGTTCTGCTCGCAATAAAAAATCCGGTAAAATTTTTTTTTTTGAAGCAAATACTTGAAGTTTTAATTTAAAATAAAAAACGTGTTTATATTAATTTTTTCAGGCAATAAGGATAAATCACTTGTTTCCGACATTGTAAAAGAAGTCGAAAAAAGAAAGAAAACACCAAAAAAGTCGTTGAATAAAAAGGAGAAAAAATTAAAGAAGGAACCGGAGAAGGAAAATGAATTGTCACTGAAAAGTCCTGAAAATGGAAAATCAGAACATAAGAAAACACCGAAAATTATGCTCGCTATTAATGGAAAGGAGAAAAAGGAAAAAATTGTGAAAAAAACAAAAAGAATTATTCGTCCAATTGATTCCAGTGATGATGAAGGACATTTGGCAGTGAGTAATAATAATAATAATTTTTTAAATTCAAATTTATTTTATTAAGAAAAAAATAATTTAAAAATGAAATGATTTTTAAAAGTTGCCAGATAGTCCATTAAAGGAGAAGAAAGCTAAAAAAGAAGAAGAAGAAGAAGAAGAGAAAGAAAAATTTGATGGGAAAGACGAAATATCTGAAACATCAGATAAAGAAATTGTCAAAGAGGAGAAATCAGAAATGTCAGATAAAGAAGAAATGGAAATTGATAGTGAGAATAAAAAATCCGACAATGAAGCAAAAAAAGATGATGAAACTTCCGAAACTGAGGAAAAAAATGAGGATTCATTTGTTGAAATTGATACATCATTGAATGATTCGAAAAAAAATGAGCTTGATGAATCAAGTTCGACAGAAAAATCAGAAACAGAAGAGAAATCAAAGACAATTCACAGTTTTTTTGGTGAGTGTTTACATTTTTTTTTTTATTTTGTAATTTGTCAATTCGGTAAGAAATGTAATTTTTTTTTTGAAATTCACTAGCTCCAAGATCAAAAAAGAATTCTGAGGTGAAATCGAAGAAAAAGGATAAAAATGCAAAGAATAAGAAAGAAATGAGTAAAAAAGATAAAAAAGAAAATGAGGAGAAAAATGACAAAGAGGAAGAAACGGAAAATAGTGAGAAAAAAGAGACTACAACTCACGATTATAATCCAAGTAAATCATCATATCATCCAATTCTCGATGCTTGCTGGCGACACGAGGAGAAGTAAAATTTATTAATTTCTTTAATTTTTTTTTTTTTTTTTTTTCTTAAATTTGTATTAATTTAATTTTTCTCATAGGGTGCCTTATATTGCATTAACACGAACTTTAGAACTTATTGAGGATACAAGTGGACGTTTGAAAATTGTTGAAATACTTTCGAATTATTTTCGTTCTGTTATTGTTTTAAGTCCAAATGATCTTATTGCCAGTGTTTATCTTTGTTTAAATCAACTTGCACCTGCCTACGAAGGTAAATTGACAAATTTTTTGTAATATAAATTAATTTAAATTTTTTTATATATTAATTACTGAATTTTTTTAAGGACTTGAATTGGGAATTGCGGACACAAATTTAATGAAGGCAATTGCACAATGTACTGGACAAACATTGGCTCAAATTAAAGCGAAAGTACAAAAAGTCGGTGATTTGGGAATTGTTGCTGAGGGAAGTCGTTCAAATCAACGAACAATGTTTCAACCGGCACCACTTTCTGTTCCGATTGTTTATACAAAACTTAAAGAAATTGCTCAAATGACTGGCACATCGGTATGTGTATTTGAAATTATTTTTAATTTAATTTATTTTTTTTTCTCTATTTATGCCTTTTTTTCAGTCCACCGCCAAAAAAATGGATAAAATCCAATCACTTTTCGTTGCTTGCCGCTTTACAGAAGCAAGATATCTTGTAAGGTCTCTCGCTGGGAAACTGAGAATCGGTCTCGCTGAACAATCCGTACTGCAAGTAAGTATACAATTAAATAATTAATTTACTCTCGCTAATTTATTTATTTTTTTTTTTCTTTTGTCGTAATTCGGAATAATTTTCTTTTTTTTTAGGCATTAGCGTTGGCAAGTGCTATGACACCACCGAATCAAACCTATCCACCTGAAATTCTAAATGCAAGTAAAAAAGTGTCAAGTGACTCTTTTAAACAAAAATACGATGAAATTGCTCTTATTATAAAAACAACTTATTGGTAAGTTCAACGAATATTTAATTTAAGAAAAAAAAATGATGAAAAAATAGAAGAGTGATTAGAAAAATATATTTGAATAAAAAACACTGAAAATTATAAGAATATAGAAATAAATAATCTTATGATTATTATAAAGTGGTAAAATTAATAATTTGTGTCTTTTTTTTAGTGAATGTCCAAATTATGATAAGATAATTCCAGTTATTTTGAAAGACGGTGTAAAAGCACTGCCAGAAAAGTGTAAACTCACACCGGGCATTCCGTTGAAACCAATGTTGGCACATCCAACCAAAGGTGTTCAGGAAGTTTTGACGCGATTTGATGGTATGAAATTTACCTGTGAATGGAAATACGACGGCGAAAGAGCTCAGGTTAGTTTTTTTTTTTTTTTTATATATATATTTTCTTCTAAAAATGAGTTTTCACGTTAAATTCATGTTTTACATGAAATAAATTATATTTTTTAATTCAAAATTAATTCCTTTTCAGATTCATGTGAATGAAAAAGGAGAAGTGAAAATTTACAGTAGAAATCAAGAAAACAATACAAGTAAATATCCAGATATTATTGGACGATTTCCAAATACACGTGGTGAGGATGTTAAAAGTTGTATTCTTGATTGTGAAGCTGTTGCTTGGGATCGTGAGAAAAAACAAATTCTACCATTCCAAATTCTCAGCACAAGAAAGCGAAAGGTTTGTTCTAACAATTTGAAAATTAATTTATTTATTCTTTTTTTTTTATATATATATATTTTCTTTTTCTATTTTATTAGGATGCAAACGAAGCTGAAATTAAAGTTCAAGTCTGCGTCTTTATGTTTGACTTATTGTATTTTAATGATAAACCCCTTGTAAAAGAGCCTTTTCATAAACGTCGAGAATTACTTTTCAATAATTTCAAAGAAGTCGAAGGTGAATGGAAATTTGCTACAAGTCTCGATACTACGACTATGGAAGAGGTACAAGACTTCCTTGAAGAATCAGTGAAAGGTTTTGTAATATTTACTTTAAAATACAAAATTAAACAAACAATATGTGGATAAAATTAAATATTGTTCCTTTAAAATAGGTAATTGCGAAGGTTTAATGGTGAAAACATTGGAACAGGATGCGACTTATGAAATAGCAAAGAGATCAAGAAATTGGTTGAAATTGAAGAAAGATTATTTGGATGGAGTTGGCGATACATTGGATGTTGTTGTAATTGGCGGTTACATTGGAAAGGGAAAACGAACTGGAACTTATGGTGGTTTTCTTTTAGCGTGTTACGATCAAGAAAATGAAGAATATCAAAGTATTTGCAAAGTAAGTAATTTTAATTAAATTTTGAAAAATATTGTTTATGTATGGCTATTATAGTTTTTTTTTTATTATTATTTTCAGATTGGAACTGGTTTCAGTGAAGAGGATCTTCAAAAACACAGCGAATTTCTCAAGGAACATTTAATTTCCGAGCCGAAATCTTACTATCGTTTTGATAGTAGCCACGAGCCGGATCATTGGTTTGAAGCGGTGCAAGTTTGGGAAATAAAATGTGCGGATTTGTCACTTTCGCCTGTACATCGAGCAGCCATGGGAATTGTAAGAACACTAAACTTTTATTTAGATTTAATTTTATCTGAATTTCAAAAAAAAAAAAAAAAAAATTCAAAAAATGAATTTTTTTTCTTACTTAAAAAGGCGGATCCCGAGAAAGGAATTTCTCTCCGTTTTCCACGATTTTGTCGAATTCGAGATGATAAAAATGCAGAAGATGCAACAACTGCACAGCAAGTTGCGGATATGTACAGTAATCAAGAACAGATTAAAAATCAGTCCGCATCGTCAAAACCTGCAGAGGAAGACTTTTATTAATTTTTCGATATATAACAATTTTTGTAATTATTTTAGTTATACAGGTAAAGTGCAACTTAAAAATATTTTTGGTAATGTGACGAAAACAAAAATAATTTTCTTTTTTTTTTTTTTTTTTTTGTTTACTTTTTGATAAATCTATAATGACAATTTAAAGAATATTTGTAATTTGTATATTGAATTATGATAGACCGAAGAAGATAAATTCTTATTCATGTCGGCTTGTATTTTGATAAATAAACCGTTTTGTTTAAAACATTTTTTTTTTTAATATATCCCATCGCGCACTTAAGTTATTTAGGATTAAAATGAAATTTCTTTTTTTTTATATATATTTGCTCTTTATTAGCATCATTGTCTTAATATTTACATATTACATCCTGTAAATACATTTACAGTATAGGAAGTAATAAAATCTTAAACAAATTGCTTAGAAATATATAATTAAATTAATAAACTTTGAAATGCATTGAGTTTCACTCTGTATACATAATTATCTATTTTTCTTAAATCAATTTGATGACAAATTTTCAGAATATATTCAATATTTGAAAAAGAAAAATTAATCTTCCACATACAATAAATTCTTATATTCAAATATTTCTAAATAGTACCCCCATAGTTAAAAATATAAAATAAAAATTATTAACGAAACATATTTTGAAAATTTGATGCTGATTTTTAGTTTTTTTTTTTTTTTTTAAGTGCGTAAAATAAGAATATTTTCTTGGAGATAATCAGACATTGATCAACTATTTATGTTTCATTTTTTTTTTTTTTTTTTTGTACAGCGCGAGAATAATTCGACGTAATAAATAAGAGGGAATATTTACATATATTTAAGAATTGAACGCTGACTGCGTGGATGTTGAGGGGGGATTATTGCTTAGGCTTGCGATTGATTTACCTTGTGGTCGAACAGAAGTATGAGAAATATTGTAGGTGTCTAAATTAAAACGTGATATTAGTGCAGACAATGCCGATCGTACACCGGCTGTCGCTAATTGTGACCATCTTCCTGCACTCACTGCATCGTCGCCTGCATACACTGCATGCGCATCGAAATGACTTTTTTGTCCGGAAGATGCAACTAAAAAATATGAATCTAATTTTAAATTGTATTTAACAAAAAAAAATCAAATATTCTCTGTTAGTTAAAAAAAAAAATTTTTAATTTGCAGGAATTAATTAATTAAAATTTTTATTAAATATTGCAATTTACCTGTTGTCGATGGATTCAGAACCGGCAGATGAGATTCCAGTTGTCCATTTGGTCTTGTATTTGCAACTAAACGAAGTTCTGAATGTAGTTCTCCTAAAAGTTGCACCACTTTTGGATCCGTCTAAAAATAAATTTAATTAATTTTATTTATAATTTCAATTTAAAATTATTTTTTTTAAACAATTTACCTGATTATCCGTTCGAAGTGACATTAAATCTTCAACAATAATCGCTTTCCCTTGACTCAATGAAGTAGTTAAATAATTTAATTTACGAGCGAGACTGTCTTCGGCATTAAATTCAAGAAAATGAGATGATTCCCCTTTAATATTAGATCGAGATTTAATCGGTGGTGTGCTATTGTAATAATAGCTAGTTGGAGATGAACCATAAAGAATTTCTTGATTGCAAAAATTATCTCCACCAAAATGTGTTTCATTCAGTCGTGAATGAGAATTATAACCAGACTCCATTTTCAGTCTTTTGGACGATCTGTAAGAAAAATTGTTTATTTTATTAAATAAATAATATTAATTTAAACATTTGTTTATATATAAATTAAATAAAATTATGAAACAGTTTTTTTTTAAATCTATTTCAAATTTCATTTGCTATTATAATTTATAAAAAGAATATTAGTAAATAATAAAATTTAAATGCAAGCTATAAAATATGGTTTCATGCAGAACAATATACAAGAATAAAATATTATCTACTTCTGGCACTCAAATTCGATTAAAAGCAAATTGAATAGACTAAATACAAAAAAACAAATTAGATAAACTAAAAATGAGAGAATAATGAAAACTGTAATTAACTTAAAATATCAAATTTAAAATTAAGTTCCTTAAAGTATATAAATATCGGAACATTAATTTTGATGCTGAATCTCATTTGTTTTTAAAAAGATCATAATTTTCTTTTATTAAAAAAAAATACTCGTAAACACAAGTATTTTTTTACAATAGAAGAATAAAATAAGTTTAGTGTTAACACCAAATGAATTGATTTGGCAAAAACTTATTTAATTTTTATCTTATCTAATCTCATAAAAATGTTTACTAGATTGTTACATAAGTATATTATTTTCATTTTTTAAAAAAATCTATTTTTTATTTCAAAAATCTATTTTCAATTAATAATTGTAATTATATCATGTGTAAATAAATATTATAATTTTTATGTGACGCAGAATTATCCTAATATTATTTTACCTAAAATTAGAGTTTACATTAATTCATTATAATTTTCATTTTGACCTAATTTTGTTTTTATTATAATTTCACCATAAATAGTTTACAAATTAGTTATATATATACAAAAAAAAAAGGTAGGTCATGAGAAGTTGATTAGTTTGGTTAGTTGAAAGTAAGCACGCATGGAATTTTTGTTATTATATTTTTTGACGATTAACTAAAATTTATATTATGAATTTTCAAAACGCAATAATTGAAAGAATATTTTTTTTTACCTACATAGAAACTCATAAGAGTTATAAATTTTTCCTGGTATCAATCGGCCATTAAATATTATCGCCTGAAACATAACGTTATCCAGTATTAGCCACTTATCAATATTAATCAACTCGAAACTTTATTAATTTTTAATTTCTATAAAATGAAACATTTTTCTTTTCTTAAATAATTATAATTATTATTCAAATTAATTCTACATTTATGATTCAATGTCAAAAATATTTAATTGAAATTTTTTTATTTTTATCTATTTGAATTATAATAAATATATGCATTAAATATTACATTTATATTTATACTTTAATAGGATTCTTTTTTTTTTTTTAATAATGCAATATTACAATAAAGCTTAACTTATGAGAAATGCTTTTTAATTTTTCCATTGCAAATTGAAAACAAAAATTGTTATTAAAAAATTTGCAACTTAATTTTAATTATTTTAAAAGTGTTTAAAAAAATAAAATATATGCATTTATTTAAAAAATATTTCTACAACAAAAGCTTAATGAATTTTATTTTTTAAATAAATAAAATTTAACGATTCTGTGCCAGTTAAAGATTAATTTATTACAGAATCAATTAAATTAATTAGTCATTTAAATATATATATATATAAGATCTTTTAATATATAATAAATTATACAAAATAAATAAAAGAAAAAATAAATGTACTATAAACAGATAATTTGAATTAAGTTTAAAATATCTTTGATAAAAACATTTTTTTTTTAAATAAAAAAAAGTTTTGATATTGCTTCAAACCTTTCTAGTTTCTAGCACTACGTGCTGTTGGGACGGTCAGCCAAAAGATACTTTTTATTATGAATATTTAAGTTCTTTATTGTAAATTTATTTCTTTTTTTTTGGGTAACATTACATTCGATTTCTCAAAATGTATATCGTTTTCTAATTTAATAAAATACAGACTATTCTTAATAGATAAGCAATATTATATAAAATTGAAATGTTAATGGTAGAAAAAAATAAAAAAAGAAAAGAATCGTTTTCAAATAGTTCTTGTTTGTAATTTGATATTTTAATTTAAAAAAAAAAACTTATTTTCTTTCATTTAAAATTATGAATTTCAATTTAAAATGTGTATTAAATTCATAAATGTAGAATTAAAATAAATATGGCTAATGTTTTAATAAAACTATTTTCATCGACGACAATTCTTATTTTTATCAAATATATTATTTGGTAAGATAAAAAAAAAATGTTGAATTTCTTATTGTAATTAACTAAATTTCTTTAACACTGCTAAAAGGGTCAATAGAAACAAAACTATTTTATCATAATATCTTAATTCATTGTCCGAAAGAAAATGAGAGGCGTATATTTTAAAGTATCTAATTAATTATATTACATCAGTTTATCCTTATTCTACAATTGTAATAATATACATAAATATATTTATGTATGCAGATAACGCATTTACTTGATTTGAAAAAAAAAAAAATTGAATCTCGTTTTAAAAATAACACGACACAATTCTATTAATAACAATATTTTTTTTTAAACTGCAATAATGCACAAATTTCTTTTTTTTTTATATCGGATATTCTTAAATCGAGATTTATAAAATTATCATCATTCTATAATATCTACACCATTAATAAACTGTCGTGAACAGTTTGAAGAACGGACAATCTTAATATACAAGAATTAAACGTAAACAGTCAAATATTGTTATTAATTTTTACAACAGTTTACAATATAACATAAATAAATGTTGGTCATTGGTGATGAAGTTTTTTTTTTTGTCCAGTTGGTGCTATTGATATTTTCTTCATCCTCCCAATATTCATTTCCGTCTAAATTCCATAATAGAAACCAACAGAATATCCTTGACGGTACTTTTTTTTTTGTTTTACTTCGAAATATTTCAACTTTGAAAAAGAAATAACTGGACTTGTATTATAATTCATTTATTGAATTATAATTGGCCAATCATTCGATTTTATATACATACATACATACATTCGTACACGGTAGAATATCTTGGAAAATATTACAATTTTGTGTACAATTCTTGTTTTTTTTTTTTTTTTTTTTTCTTTTTTTTTTCCTCTAAAGATTAACTTAAATAATTGTGCGTCATAAAATTAATGATCAACTTATAAATCGATTTTCAAAAAAAAGCCAAGGACAAGAAACCTATTTTTTTTAAGTTTGATTTAAAAAAAAAAAAATTACACGATCTGCTTTCAGTAACGCGCCAACACAGAATTTAAAATATATTATGCAAAGCGATATATCTAAAAAGTATATTTACTTATATTTGATATACTCTATTCTATTTCCAGGTATATTTAAATACCTAACTTACAGTTTTTCAGTAAAAAAAAAAATCATCTCAACTTGCACATTTTTTAAGTTGAAACGACAAAAAGAAAATAATATATCTTGAAACTAAGAGCAATGAAATAAAAAAAAAGCTCAACATTTTTCCCCCATTTAATCAGTTTTTTTTTTTTTTGTTTTTTTAAATGAAACTATAAATGTGCAAATTAAAATCGCCTACTATTATCTATAAATTTCAAAACTACTTAAAACGACAAACAAAAAGACACCTGGCTAAGATTTTATCTTACGTTTGAAAAAAAAAGTTACAGAGGTACATTTCTAAGTAATGTACATTTAAGAACTAAAATGCACTTTAATTTTGCATCAATTCTTTTTTTTTTTTTTTTAAATAATTCCGTTTATTTATTTACTTTTTTTTTTTATTGTGTTTTGTCGCAAGCAAATTCGAAAAAAAATATTAACTCTTCGAGCTGTGCTTTAAGGGGATAACAAAAGTTTTAAATAATGGTAAATATAGTAAATGCCAAGAAAAAAAAAAAAAAAAAAAAAAAAAATGAAAATTCAGCTACAGTGCGTCAAACCGAATATGTGTCACTTATTGTAGATGCAATAGCGATTTCAATAAAATTTATGAAAATCACGCAGACTTTTTTTTTTTGTTCTACAGCTACTCACCCCCCGACGTCCGATAATAGCTCTTCACTGATTCTATGTGGACCTCCTTCATTAACAAGTGGCGGAATTGAGACTCGTCCTAATGTTATCTCTTGATCACGCAAAAGTCTTCGACGTTTTTTACTCCACAATTCATGGCAATCCTGATCTTTTGGAAGTTTTGGAGCTGGTATTCTAAAATTGCAATTTACATTAATCAAGAAACATAAAATATTTCGCAAATTCAACTTTGAAATTGTATTATATATTAAAGTTTTTTGTCATTAAAATAGAATTTCGTGAATTTAAACATAAAAACAACATCTTTAAACGCAAATAAAGAGGTAAATGAAAAATTTACAAAATTAGTGAAAAAAAACCTATGAATATATTTAAACATTTATGAAAAATAATTTTTAATATGACAAAACAAAATAAATTGTTTACATATTATTATAATGAAAAAAAAAAAGGAAAACAAAAATAAATAATTTGATTAGACATACTGTTCGGGGTGCACATCTTTTAGCCAACTACTTTTAAGTGCATCAGCAGCTGTGATTCTTTTTTCAGGATCTAATTCAAGCATTTTATCAAGAAGATCAAGAGCTGGTCCTGGCATAAAGGAAAACTCTTCTCGAACGCATCGTCTGTATGATTTTTTTGGCTTGAGCGTATGCCAGAGGGGCAATTTTATCACAGAAGGCCAAACCGCAGGAGTTGGTGTCCCGCAAATTCGGGAAATCATTTCCAATTGCATCATTTCAACATTTGCCTATTGAAAGAGGATAACATTTTTTTTTTTTTATAAATTAATTAAATGAATTAAAAATCAAAGAAATAATTATTAATTGTATTTACTTGGAAAAGTGGTTTCTTTAGGAATAATTCTCCCAAAATGCAACCGCAACTCCATACATCAATAGCAGGACCATAACGTTCTTCACCAAGAAGTAATTCTGGAGGACGATACCACAATGTAATAACTTTGTTTGTATAAGGTCGCTGTCTATCTTCCGCATTGTAGAGTCTGGCAAGACCAAAGTCTGCCAATTTAACTTCACCTCTGTAAAAATAATAAATTGTGTACGTCCATATTAAAAGGGACCACTTTGTCGCTATCAATAGGGGTACACAATTATTTTCACCTATTGTATCACGAATAAAGCAATTAATAAAATAACATAAATATTTACCTATTGTTCATAAGAATATTAGAACATTTAATATCTCGATGAAGAAAATTTTTACTGTGACAATAATTTAATCCCTCGAGTAATTGTTTCATGATGCTCGCATTTGTTTCACAATTGAAATCTCCCATTCCAGATTCAAGTAAACCCATAAGATCATGATCCATATATTCAAAGACCAAGTAAAAAGAACCTTTATCTTTGTCCTAGGGAATTAAAATTTATTTTAATTAAAAATATTCTAATTTAATATAGAATTTATTAAAAAAAATAAAATACCTTTCGAAAGTCTTCTGGTTTCTTTTTATTGGTGACAATCTCTCTCAAATTAACGATATTTTTATGATTGAGTTGTCTGAGAATTTTTATTTCTCGCACAGCCGTTATTGGGAAACCTTCCTTTTCATTTTCTAAACGTACTTTTTTCAAAGCAACAACAACGCTTGCTCGTTTATCCCAAGCTTTATAAACTTGACCGTAAGTACCTTCTCCAATTTGTGTAATCAAATCAAAAACATCTGATCCCTTTCCTTCTTCTTCTTTAGTATACATGGGAATGAGATTTCGTGAACCGCGACGTTTTAAAATTTTAGGACGTTTTAATCGCGGCTTAACTGCTACACGTCCTAATCTACCAACAGTTGGAGGTGTTGCATTAGGATCATCCTCGCCACTTAAATCCTCTGAGCCTGGTACAACTGTTAATGAATGATAATAAATTTTTTTCAACAATTTTACATAATCATAAAAATCAAAAGAATTATTAGTAAAAAAAAAAAAGGGGGGGGGGGTAATAATTTTAAGTACTTTTTGGGCAAAAATTTGTTAAAAGAAAAAAATTTTTTTTTAATTTCGTTTGTGAATTTTATTTTTAAAACAATTACAAGCAAAACTAATTATTTGCAATCTCTATGCATTTTTATACTACCCGCATGAACTTTTAACCTTGTCACAATTTCATTTTTACAAATTTTCCAATAAACTTACGGAATTTTACGAAATTAAAAAAAAAAACTTAGAATTACTTTTTTACATTCAATTAATTTGATTAGTTTTCCAATGTAAAATTACAGAGGAAATTAAAAAAATTTTTAAATTATTTTTTTTATTACATTAATTTGATTTATGTAAATAGAATAATTAAGGAAAATAAAATATTAGTTTTTACATTATATTAATTTGATTTGTTCCTATAAAATTACAGTGGAAATTAAGTAAAAATTTTAAATTATTTTTTATATACGCTGGCGATAATTTTTATGATTTTAAATTCCCGGTCAAAAATTTTGTAAATAATTTAACTTTTTCACAAAAAAAATATGATCATTTTTCTAAAAAAAAAAAACTTTTTTATTTTTTAATATTAATTCTTCTAATAAATTTTAATAATGCAAAAAGAAATAATTAGATACTTATTTTAGAAATACATTTTTTTTTTTTGAGAAATGAATGCAGCAAAATGTAATGAACAATATCAGTTTTTAGAATTATCGCCACCCTGATAATATATATTAATTTTATTTCTGCAAATAAAATTACAAAGGAAATTAAGAAAATTAAAAAATTAGTTTTTACATGTTACAGGTCCGGGTTCGGATAATCAAAATTTCAATTTTTTTTTTATATATAATTAAAGTAAAACAATGTCACAGTTAAACTATATATACTGAAAAAAAATTTATTTTATTCAAATACTCAATGTATTATCAAATAAATATTTACTTGAATCAAATAATTTTTATTTGAATTAAATAAATTGTATTTGAATTAATAATTTCTGTATTTGAAACAAATACCGCATTTAATTGATTTAAATAACTAGCAAAATTGAGTATTTAATTGTTTGTTATAATGAAATTAAAGATTAATATTATCAATAATAATTTAATTTATTAGAATATTATTACATATTAAATGATAATAATGAAAATTATATGATTACAGGCCTCGAATTATACGACTTTTTTTTTTAACTAAAATGATTCTTCACTAAATTAATTATTTTTAATAATTTTAATGAAATACATTACAAATTCAATTATATCAAAATTATTTTTTAATTAAAATTTTTATGAAATTTAACAATTGTTTATAATTTAAAAAAAAATATCACAATAAAATTGAATTATTTTTTTAAAAATTTCAATTCAAAATAAACTAAAATTCAATTATTACACGAAATTTTAATTCAAAATAAATTAAAATTCAATAATTATCCAAAATTTTTAATTAAAAATTTAATTATTTACCAAGTTTTCAATTTAAAATGAAATAAAATTCGATTATTTTCTAAAATTTCTATTTAAAATTAATTATTTAAATTTTCAATCAAAAATGAATTAAATTATTATCCAAATTTCAATTAAAATTCAATTATTTCCCAAAATTTTCAATTCAAAATGAACTAAAATTCAATTATTTTCCAAATTTAAAATCAAATAAAATTTTATTATTCTCAAAAATTTGAATTCAAAATTAATTGAATTTTCAATAATTTGAATTTAAAAGCATCTAAAATTTAATTATTTCTAAAATTTTCCATAGAAAATTTTTTTTTTTTTGAAATTTAATAATTTCAATTATAACTCTAAGGGAATTCCATTATTTTTAACTATTTTAATAATATTCTTTGAAAATTCAACTATTTGAAACCATTTTTCAATTAGAAATGATTTTCAAATTATTGTATTTTGTCCGCATTTTCTAATGAATTTTTAGTGAAACCATTTAAAGTTTTAATTACAAAACACTTAAAGTTTCAATTAATTTCAAAAATCTAAATTTTAAATCTTTGAAAATTCAATTAAATTTAAAAAATGTTTTCCAAAAATTGTTTGATAAATTATTTTTAGTTCTGTAAAATTTAATAATTGTTTGAAAATTAACAATATCTTTTGAAATTTAATTATTTCTAAAAATTTTAACTTTAACCCATCGAAAAGGATTATTATTAAAAAAAAAATATATTTTATTTAAAAATCTGTAAAATATTTTTGTTAAAATAAAAAACAAATCCACTTTGTTTTGGAATATAAATCGATTGAAACGATTTTTTGTGTTTTTAAGTTGATTCGAGGCCTGTGTTTTTATAATTAATATTTAATAGGTATTCGTTGGCCCCTGGTACCTTAAAAATTAATTTTTTTAAATTACTATCTTGTACTATTAAAAAAAACACGTGAAATCAGAAAAGGCCAACTTCAAGTTAGGACAGAACAAACATTTTATTATTATATAATAATTGTTTTAAGTAAATATTTATTTGATAATAGTCAAAGAATTTTAATCAAATAATTTTTTTTTCAATGTATATTTAATTTAATATATTTTAAATGGACATAAATATTTATATTAAATTAAAATAGAGTTAAATAATAAGATATAAATACATTAATAAAATAAAAAGACAAAGAAAGTTTCGGATAAAATGTTTTACGGTTCGGAAAATCGAGGTTCCACTGTAGTTTGATTCGTTTCAATTAGAAAGAAAAATAATAAATTTTTTTAATATTAAATTTGATTTGTTAAATTGAGTTTTAAAAAAAAAACAACTGTTTTCCAATTCGATTCCTGAAAAAAATAAGAAACAAAATTATAATTGCCACTAACCTGGCGGCATGGGTAAATCCTTGATGCTTTTTCTCGCAGGTGGTTTACTCACAGTTGGTGTATGTGATAGTTTGATTTTTGGCGGTGGAGTTGGTGAGCGACTCGGCGGTGAGTCAATGCTTTCCAAATCATTTTGATTAATTCCAGGAGGTAGTGGTAACCTTGAAAGGCTTTTTGTTTTGAATGCAACAATTGGCGGTTTAGGTGGATCCGCCGATTTGATTTGTACCAAATTATTTGGCGTATTAAATTTGGATATTGCTGATGAATTTGGCGCTGGAACGGGAATTGGTAATGGTGGCGGTGGTACAGAGAGATTTGGTAGAACAGCAATTGTTGATGGTGTTGATAATGCAGCAGTGTTTACATTAATTGGAATGGGAGCCGGTACAGGTATAGGCACTAGTGTTGGAGATATTTTTTCATTTTCAATTTGTGGCAATGGTGGTTGTGATATTGGTGCTTGTGAATTGGAATTTGAAAAATTATTTTGAACTGGCGTCTTTGAGCCAGTATATGAAATTGGTGAATTTTGACCAGGTGATGATTTTAATATTGGAAGGGGTGGTGTTCTTGCTGCACATGGATTATCATCAATTGGAATATCGGAAATTAATTTTGTTTCAATTTCTGATTTTTCTAATGAATCTTTATCATCGGCGCCTTCAATTATTTGTACGTCATCTTGATTTATTGCTTTTTCATTTGCGGCTTGTAATTTTTTCATAGCCAATTCTCGCATATTGCGATTTTTTACTAATTCAGCAAATAAACTTGTTTCACTTATTTTAGCTTGTACGCGAAGATTTTTTGCAGTAATACTTGAGGGACTTTTTGGACGTGAACGATGAGGTAAAGGTGAAGGGATACGTGAAGGACGTGGACTTTTGGATTTATGTTTTCTGGAAGATTTATGTGACTTGCTTGGTGAACGAGATTTCTTTGGAGTTCGACTTCGACGACGTGAACGTGATCGTGAACGTGATTGAACTTTTCGCCAACGTGCAGGACTACGGGAACGTGATCGCGATAGGGGCATTGGTAATCGTACAGGAATGGGACTTCTGACTGATGTTGATTTTCTCTTGTCTCTTCTATCCTTGTCGTGATGTTTGTGTCTTCGATCGGATTCATCTCTTCGTCTTCGTTTGCCTGATGGTGAACAGGCACCGGTGGTGTTGATACCGCTGCCAATTCCACCACCTGGAATGTCCCTTCGTCTGTGACGCACGGGACTGGCACTGTATTCCCTTCGTCTCATATTGGAAGGACTTGGACTGTGCCTCATTCGTGACATTGGACCGGGACTGTGTCTCATTCGTGACATTGCATTTGGACTGAAATCTCGTCTTCTTGGTGGGCTATGATCTCTTCTCCTTGCTATGGGACTAGGACTGTGAGGACGTTTACGACTAGAACCATGAACTGGACTAACACTATTATTTCGCCTTACATGTCCCATTGGACTGTGTTTTTGTCTATCGGGACTGTGCTTCATTCCGTGGTTCATTTTATTAGAATCTGGAGATAGTGGTCTGGGAGGTAATAAGGGAGTGTGTGGAGATTGTGGTACAGTTGGGGATGGTGATGCGACATTCCGTGCCGGTGAATCAAGGTCCATATCACTTAAAACGCGATTATCCGTTGGAGTTGCGGGCGATATGGGAGATGTACTGTCCTTCAATGGTAATGGCGGTGATTTTGTCCAACTCTCAGCTCGTTTCATATGTTCCGAACTAACTGAATCAATGTCATCAACTCGCGATGGACTTATACTGCGCGAATGACGTTTAGATTTTCTCTTTTTCTTCTTTGCTGTATTTAAATATGGACTTAAACTTCGTTTCTTTTTCTTCTCACGTTTGTGCTTCTTCTCTTTTCGCTTAACATATCGCCTGGCGTCTTCTGAAAATTCCGGACTCTTTCTAATCATAGTTAGCGGCTGTTGCTGCTGCTGCTGTTGTTGTTGTTGTTGTTGTTCTTCACCATGTGAATAGTGTTTGCCTATGTGTCTGTGTTGTGCAGGTGATGTTGGTGATATACTAATTGGCGAAGCACCAAGATTCGTTCTGGGACTAACTCCACCATAATATCGTCTCTGTAACAAAGATTCAGGCACCTCTCCATCTGTATAACTATTACCCCTACTATCCTCCGATTGTATTTCCCCTGCCTCAGGTTCTGAAAGATCTTCACTACTTACATCCGAATACTCTACCAATGGTTTCAATGATGCAACTTTTGCCTGATTATCTAGCGACTTGTCCCTTGATCTCTTCTTCTTTTTACGACCTGAACTTTTACTCTTTCCATGCTTTCTGTGTCTCTTGTCACTAACTTCAAAATTATGTCGATTTCCTTCACTATTTGCACTGTCTCTTCGTCTTGATTTAAACCTTCCATTACGTTCAGCACGCACAGTGTCACGACTACTAGGCATGTCACCTACTGAAATTTAAAAATTCTCCATATTACCTTACAATATTAAGTAAAAAAAAAATAATAATATATCTTCTCTTAAATACTCTCAAAAAAAAATGTGAAAAATATTTTCATTTTTGAAATTTTGATTAATATTCCTTTAGTTACATTTACAATTTTCAAAATTTTGTTCAAAAAATATTTATCATTCTAATAATCAATCTTCAAACTCTTTTTAAACATGAAAATATCAAAAATTCTCATATAATAAAAATTGAATCCTTCATTTTTAAATAATGATGAATTAATCAAAATTTTATTTAGAAAATTTTAATTATTTTGACAAATGATATTTTATAATAAATAAATTACTTGACACTATCCGGTACTAAAACCACACATCCACAATAAAATTGAAATCGTTGAAAATTTCTCGATATTTCCTAATTTAAAATTAAAATAAAAAAAAAAAATAGAATTTTCATTAGTATTTAGTAATAATAAATATATTTAAATAATAAATTTAATATAAAAAAAGAAATTAAATATCAAAAATAACTTGAACTTAAAAATAAATTGTACTATTTCTAATTGGATTTAAGATCAATAAATCGATTTATATACAAAGAGAAAAAAATAAAAATTTCAATGAATATTTAAAATTGTTTGATTTTACTTTTTCAATTCAATTGGAAATATTAAAGGAAATTATTAACAATTGTAAAAATAAAATTCAACAAATTATGAATAAAAATAATAAAAACAATTTTTATACATAAAACAATTAATAAATAGTAATAAAGGAAAATATTGTAATATTATAGTTATAATATTCTCTATATATTAGACGATTTCACTTACTCATGAATAGGAAGAATTTTGACACGCGCAATACATCAAAGTGCAAATAAAAATTTTATCATTATAACTAAAATATTGAAAAATGTATTATAATGAAATTTAACAAATCAAAATTTTATTTTAAAATTAATGAAATTTTTTTTTAATATCCTTGAATAACAATAAAGCTGAAATAATAAAATTTTCTACTTCAAGATTAAAAAAAAAAAAAAAAAGATAAAAGTTTTTTGTAGATTGGTCGGTCGTAGCCGCCATTACTCTATAGAGACGAGCAATATAGAAAAGGGAGTAACCGCGAAAGAAATTTAACAAAAACACCCCCAACAAGTTATGAATATTCTACTTATTGACAAAATATAATAATCTGTTACTTACATGCAATGTTTGCCACGAAATGACGCACAGCGTATTGCAATCGTTCGCATCGGGCTGATCGTCCAAAGAAATCAGGATTACGTCTAACGTTCGTTGCTCCGTTGGCAATTTCAACACGTCTTTATGAAGTCGCGATTATAAAGTTCCATAAAAATAAACATATGCAGTAGCGGCAAACTACTCATGCGGTCATAATTTTATATTTCCGATAGTCGATGCATCATGTTCTTTATGCTTTTTTTAGATTTAATTTTGCTTTACATTTAAGCAAGTTTAGTAAAGCAAGAAGCAGCCATTCCATGAACCATAAACATTGACAGGAAGATCGAGGGCGAACGTGTTTGTCCGATACTGTGTGTTTCTTTGTCTCTCCGTGTTGTGGAGCTGCTGTAGCCAAGTAGTAGAATGTCTGAAATGTGAAACTTTTTATTGGACAATTTTCGAATTGCATCACGCAATTGTGTGATTGCACCTTTAAAATTTAATAGAGCGAGAGCGATAGTCAATAACTTTGTCTCACTTACTCTTGATCGTTTCTAAATTCACGCATCGTACCCCTAACTTTTCAAATAGTTCAAAGCTTTAACCTATAGAATATTCGATGTAATTCTATATAAGAGCCGTTTACGTGGTTTACAACACTGTTTTTAAGTTGAAAAGAAATTCTAAAGTGACACGTCAGTGAATAGAAAAGATTATAATAGTATATAGTTTTTAAATATAACATCAAGTACAAAAATAAATAAAAATGTCAGATGTAGGAGAATGGTTTAATTCTTTGCCAATATTTACGAGATATTGGTTACTTTTGACCGGTTGTCTGTCATTAATTGGCAGATTTGGACTTTTAAATCCAATAACATTAGTGCTTCTTTATGATCCTTTTGTACACAAATTTGAAATTTGGCGAGCAATAACAAGTGTATTTTTTTATCCCCTAAGTCCTGCGACAGGATTTCATTTTATGATTAATTGTTATTTTTTATACAATTATTCATTGAGATTGGAAAGAGGAGAATATGATGGAAGACCAGCTGATTATTTCTTTATGTTATTATTTAATTGGGTTTGTTGTGTTATCGCTGGTTTAATTGGAGATTTTCCTTTATTAATGGATCCAATGGTTCTCAGTGTATTATACATTTGGTGCCAATTAAATAAAGATGTTATTGTTAATTTTTGGTTTGGTAAGTAAATATTTTAATCTAAATATTCTTTTATCATATCAATATACAGATGATAAAATTTATTGTTGGTATTTTGTAAAATGATTTTAAAAAGCTTAATATTGCATAAATCACTTTGTATTTATATTTTTAATACGTATAATTCGTATAATTAAATGTAAATGAAATTCTATTTTTTTGTCTATCAGATACAATGATATCAGCAAATTTGATTTATTATTTTTATTTCATTAAAAAATAAAAATAATTTGATACAAATTTTTTATTTTTTTTTTTTTCAGGAACTAAATTCAAAGCTATGTATTTACCTTGGGTACTTTTTGGCTTTAATTTGATTATATCCGGTGGTGGAATGTTGGAATTAGTCGGAATTTTGGTTGGTCATTTGTACTTTTTCTTTAAATTTAAATATCCCCAAGAATTTGGTGGACCTGATCTTTTGAGTACTCCAAAAATTTTGGAAAATTATTTTCCACCACAAAGAGGAGGTATTAGAGGATTTGGAACTGCTCCATCACAACGAACAGCAGCACCTCAAGAACAAGGGAGAAATATGTTTGGTGGATATAATTGGGGTCGGGGTCAAGTTTTGGGACAATAGAGCTGTGCATAAAAAAAAAATTAATAATTGTGTATATTTTATCATATATAATACGAGTGATAAACTTTCGTTTTCATTTTCTCCGCTGTTTACGATTATTGTCACTTTCAAAGAATATATGATCTCTATTAAACATACAAGGAGTTTGTTACGAGTTCAATGTATGAGTGAATGTATAAATTATAAAAAAAAAAAAAAAAAAAAAATCTCAGCATAAATTTCATAGGATCAATTTTGAACCAAAGATTGAATATAATATTAATTGAATGTTATTTAAATCACGTTTTCGAAATTGATTGTATTTTTCTTTGATTATTAAAAAAAAATTAACATATCAAAATAATTTGAAATTGAAAGTTGATCCCAAATAATGCTAGATTGACATAATATTTCTTATTAATTTTTATATTATGTATTAAATGTTAATATTGAATATTTAATATATATATATATATTAAGTGAATACAATATTACAAAATGCCTGATGACTCTAAAAAATGTTTTCATAATTTCCTTTTTCGTTTGTCAAGTGAATGGTCTAATATGTAAAGTCCTAAAGAGTAAACAAAAAAGTTTTTTTTATGAAACATAACCATGTATTTCTTTCTCATAAACTGATTTATTTAAAAATAAATTAAATTTCAAAGATCTTTTTATTTCTTTATTTTTTAGGTATTAATTTTTATTTTATCGATTGTCTGTGAAATTTTTTTTAATAACATTTTTCATTTACGAAAAAAAAAAATAAATCTAGCTCAGGGTTTGGAATGTATATTTAGAAACAATTTAAGTTCACACGTAAAGTGAAAAGTTTTTGGGACAAAAAAAAATCGTATGAACTACATAGTTAATTGCAGAGGTGTGATAGAACATTAATATTACAGAATTCAAAACTTTTATTCGTTATTATTCATTGTTCTTTATTCTTTCTTGTTCTTTCTCATTCTTTCTCGAGGAGAGTTAACGATCAAAGAAGGTATATAAATTTATATTTTATAGTTTCTTTGCTTTTAATTTAATAAATAACAAAATTTAAAGTATTTTATAGTTAAAACTTGTTTCTTAAAAAAAAAAACATTTTCAATTGTTTTTGTAAGTCAAATGCTTGTCGGTCGAGTCGTCATAGGAAGTATTTATTATTCTCGTTTTTTCCATTCTCGCTATATTTTATTTAATTTTTATTTCCTTATTTTATCAGAAAAATAATATGTTTTGTTAATATACGGTTATAATTTAGATATGAATCATCTTTATGGTTAGCGTTGAAACTTTGATAATATGGATAATTTTGCCGTCAAAATGGAAGTTGAATCTGATGAAAAATGTCTTCTTCAAAAATCGTCAGAAGATATAAAAATTTCAGATAATTTAATTAAAACCGAAAAAGGTATTTAAAACTGATAAACAAATTTTTTCACTTTAAAAAAAAAAAATGTTTCAAGTTTAATTTTTTTTTTTGTTTTTTAATTTTAAATAGAATTCATATCCGAAAACAAAATTTTTGAGGAACAAATGGAAATAAACGTTTCTGATACAACGAAAATTTTGAATAATGTAGGCGAATCGTCTTCTTTGTCTCAAGAAAATAATGAAATTAATATATTCAAAAAAAACTTCAATGATAATAATAAATCTCATTTGGCTCAAAAAAGAGAGGAGAAGAAAGCCAAAAGATTGGAAGAGAGGGAAAATAAAAAAATAACCGAAGAAGAATATAATCGTGAAATTTCTGAACAAAGATATAAGCGTTTAATGCATTTACTCGATAAAAGTCAATTTTACGCTAATTTAATTTTAGAAAGAAAAAATAATCCTAAAAAATTATCACAATCGGAATTATCACCAAAAAAAAAGAAACAAATTTCTAAACGTAAATGTAGTATTCCTAAAGAAAATTCACCACCACCAATTAAAAGACCAAGAAGAAATGTTCGACCAAGAGAGGAAAATGATTTAAAAGATTTTGTCACTAGTACAAGAAAATTACGTGATCGAAAAAATGTTAAAAAATTATATTACGAAAATAATGAAGATGAATCAATTGAAATTGAAAAAAATGATAGTTCACATGATTTATCAATTGATGAATTATTACCAATAGCAAATAATGATAATAATGACATTGATTGTCCAACACCAAAATATTTTGTCGGCGAATTACGTGATTATCAAATAGATGGTTTAAAATGGTTAAAAGTTTTACATGACAATGGTTTAAATGGTATTTTGGCTGATGAAATGGGTTTGGGAAAAACAATACAAGTAATTGCACTTTTTGCCTATCTCATTGAAAAACATCAAAGTGGTCCATTTCTCATTGTAGCGCCACTCTCAACAATTCCAAATTGGCTAATGGAATTTAATAGATTTTCACCATGTTTACCGGTGGAATTATTTCACGGTAATCCTGATGAAAAATTGAAGTCACAACGAAAAATTAAAAAAAAATATCCTATTGATAATGAATATGAAACACAGCCAATTGTCATTACAACATATGAAGTGGCATTAAAGGAGAAAAGTTTTCTTAAATCACAAAAATGGAGATACATTGTAATTGATGAAGGACAACGAATAAAAAATCATGAATGTCAATTAGTCAAGTAAGTATTTTCTTTTTTTTTCGCAAATTATTATATTAAAACTTATAAATTATTTTAACAGAGTTTTGAAATCATTGAAATCGATGAATCGACTTTTATTAACGGGAACGCCACTTCAGAATAATTTAGCTGAATTGTGGTCATTGTTAAATTTCCTACTACCAGAAGTGTTTAACGATTTAGCTGTTTTTGAATCTTGGTTTGATGTCAAAGAATTGCAACACGAGCAAGGTACAATGAAATTTTTACAACAAGAGGAAGAAAAAAAAGTTGTTTCATCACTTAGAGAAATTCTCAAACCATTTATGTTGAGACGTGTTAAAAATGAAGTATGTTTAGATATACCACCGAAAAAGGAAATAATTGTTTATGCCCCAATAACTGAACTTCAACGTGATTTATATAAAGCGGTTTTAAATCGTGATCTTCAAACACTTTGTAAAATTGAAAATGAACCACTTATTATCGATGTTAATGGCAAAAGACCTAAGAGAAAGTGTGTATTGAAAAAGGATATTGATAAAATTTATTCCGAAGCTTTATATCATGATTCTGATGATAATGTTGAGAGTCCAATAAGTAATGATGATAATGATATTGATTGGAATCCAAACGATGAATTTTCAAATGATTTTAATTTCAATCATAAAATAATAGATCTACAAGGGCCGTCTACTTCTTTATCAAATAATATTGAATTAAAAAATCAAAATGTTTCTGATCTTGATATTGAAAAATTACATTTAATGAAAAATGAATCTTCAATGTCGAATAATTATAATGTAAATAATTTTAGCTCACGTAGTGAGGAACAAAAATTAAATAATTTAACATTATGGAAACAATATACAGATGTTAATGAAAGAAATCGTGATTTTTTCATACATATTACATTTGGTTCAAGATGTAAGTTTTATTTATATAATGAAATTCTAATTCATATTTTATTCTGGTTTATTTTTTTTTAATTTTTTATTTTCAGTGCCAATGTACAAAAAAATCGTTAATCATCCGTATTTAATGCATTGTCCATTAAATGCATCGGGTTTGCCATTAATTGATGATGATTTAATAAAAGCATCCGGAAAACTTATGGTATTGGATCAAATGTTGTCAAAATTAAAAGAAAGAAATCATAAAATTCTTTTATTTTCAACTTGGACAAGAATTTTGGATATTTTGGAGGATTATTTAACAATGAAAACATATTTATATGTTCGACTTGATGGTACAACGCCAATTGAAAAAAGAAAAGAATACATTGATCTTTTTAATAATGATCCTAATGTGTTTTTATTTTTGATATCAACAAGAGCTGGTGGTATTGGATTGAATCTTGCTGGCGCGGATACTGTTATAATTTACGATAGTGATTGGGTAAATTACCTTCTTTTTTTTTTTTAAACTGAAAATGATTTTTTTTAAAGAAATATAAATGTTTTTATTTTAATATTTATAGAATCCTCAAGTTGATATTCAGGCAATGGCGCGATGTCATAGAATAGGTCAAACTAAACCAGTTGCTGTTTATAAATTTTGTACAAAAGGTACAATTGATGAGGAAATAATGAAACGCGCTGACGCTAAGCGTAAATTAGAAAAAATGGTTATATCGCGAAAGGATATTGAACCAAATTTAAATAAAGAAACACTTTTAAAATTAAAACAACTATTAGAATCAAAAGATTGTCAAGTTGTATCTACTGAAAAAGATGGTAATAATTTTTCTATTCGTTAAGATTTAATTATTTTATCAATATATAATAATAATTAATTAAAATTATTTTTTTTAAACAGTATTTACTGAAGAGGAATTAGAAAAGCTACTTGATAGAAGTGATTTATTTCAACCACAACCATCAACCAGTAGTGGTGGATTAAGAAGACCTTTACGACAATCAAAATTAGAAAATTCACAGTCAGATTAAATAATAATTTCAGTTATTAGTAATTGACTTTATGAATTCAAAGTTCTATTTTTCTTTAAATGAAAATTGTTTTAATTATTATTCAATTAAAACATTCCTTCTAATTTTGTTTGTGTAAAACTTGTAAAAGTTTTCCAAACTAATATAATTACCAAAGAGGTGATTCGTGTTCAAAAAAAAAAAAAATATATATATATATATATGTTGCGTTTTTTTACCCTTGTGATATTAATGGGTCTCGTTACTTGTTTCATTTGTTTATTACGTTTAAAATGTGGAAATATACATTTATGTAGTAGTTATAAAAACACTTTGTAATAAACCAAAAATTATTTTTCTATAATTATCAAAGATATATATTAAAAAAAAAGAAGAAATAAATTGATTAAAAGATTAACCAATATTTTATTTTCCATTTTTTGAAAATAATATGAAATAACGGATTTTTATTATTAAAATTGGTTTTTATTAACGTTTTACAAAAAACAATTTAATTTAATAACATCAATATTCATTAAATATACAACATTTAAACACAATTTAGGAATTTGTCATTTTTTTTCACGTATTTAATTTATGAAAATTTGATTTTGTATTTAAAAATTGTTTTTTTTTGGTATTGAATCTAGCTGACTTTGGATAATCCATTTTACAAAAAGTACATTTAAAATTTGATTTTATTTCGCATTGAAATAATGGCAAAAACATTTTTATTAAAGATCTTTGGATTTTCTCTAAATAATTTAATTTATTTATAAATTTAAATTTATTGAAAATTATGTATCATGCGTATCTAACATTAATATCTGTTCATTATCAGTATTTTTAAGTTCCCCCTCATAATCATCATCATCAATAGAAATTTGCGATTCAAATGATTTATATTGAAATGCCGAATTTGATAAATCAACTTCAACAGGAAATAAAGCATCGGATGATAGTAAATTTTTTGTATTCGCATAATATTCAGCTAAGCCTGATGCAAATTTTTGTAATTGCCAAACAACATCCTGTACATGTTTATTGTCCAATAATTCTAATTTAACAAGAACATCTGAACGAAGTTTGGCAAATTTTGCCCTAGCCTCCTGACGACAACGCAATATTAAACGATATTCATAATTTCCTGTTTCAACACGATAAAATGGCTCTTGAACAGCGGCATAACTTTGTTCCTCATCATCAAGTTCTTTAACTTTTAAACAATATGAAAGATATTCAAATTTAGCGTCAGCATATTTACTAATTGTTAAACGAGTATCGGGAATTGCTTTATGAAGATATGTTCCTAAATCGTTTAAAATTGGCTTTAAAGTTTTTAACATGGTAACACCAAATTTTTCCATTTGTCTATGTTGATCGCCAAATTGTCGGAAAGCTTCACTTGCACGTGGCTGTGGTTCACGTACACCAATCGCTGCGAATGCATCGCCAAAAACTGAAATTATTAAATTGCATTCAACGAAAAGGAAATTGTAAATATTCCCTTTTTTTAAAAAATAACTTACCTTTATATATTTGTGTTAAATCAAAAAAAGCATGTAACGTAACTTTTGCATGAGAAAGTAATCCTCTATATAAACTTTCCGTTCTTTGTAAAGCAGTTAATCTTTGAACAAGTGCATCGTTACAAAGAATTGCTCGTGATAATCCTAAAGCATCAGCAGTAGCACTTCCCATACCCTCCACCAATCTATGTTTTACCTTTAAAAAAAATAAATATTAAAATTTTTTTTTTTTTAATTCAATTATTAATTTTACCTTTTTAAGTGCAATATCTAAAGTGTGTCCCTGTTTTGGATCGGCATGTAATTTATTATAATTAATACTGACTTGCTTTTCGCAAGCCTGTATCATTTTGGCAACTTCAACTTTTGTCTTTCCTTTTAATGAAGCTCCATTTACTGCAACAAGTTCATCACCAGCTTGTAATGTACCATCCAATGCAGCTGGTGTATTGTCAAATATTTGTACTATATATAAACATGGACAATATGGAGCGCCACCACCAATACTAATTCCAATTAAATTACTATTATCCTTTTGTATAACAATATTTCCCGACGTTATTGTCATTCCCCTGTTTATAAATATTAATTTTCATTATTAAAAATAAAAATCCTCAAGTAACTGCTTTAACGAACGTTTTTTTTCAAAACATTGCACGACACACTTACAATTGATAATAAGGCAACAATGATGACGATCTGTTAAATTGATCGATACTAGTATCTGGTCTAATAAATGTTCCAAAAGCAGCGAAAAAATTAGAAAAAAAAAATGTTCAAGAAAGAAATAAAGCATTATATAAAAATGAAAAATAAAGCATACATGAGATCATCCGTTTCAGTTACTTGATTTATATCGACGTTAGCCAAAGGCACGGTGGTCAGAGTATTTGGTAATTGTTGTACGGAAGAAGATTCATTTGTATTTTTTTCACATGCAGATTCCATAGGTGTAACTGAGAGATTCAATAAACTGTTCCACCGCACCGTAGGCATTGAAGCATGCATAAAAAGAAGAAAGAGAAGAATAAAGTACAAAAATTCAAAAAAAAAAAAAAAAAGTAAACTTACATTTTATCCTCTTCAAAGAAAAAGTCATCTTCGAATTCCATTTTCGATTGTTAAATCTGAAATTTTTTTATTTTACTAATATATCTTTATTATAAAGATATTAATAACTACAAATAATTTACTTACATTTAAATAGTTAATATTTAATTTAATTATTTTGACAGATTTGACATTATTTACTATTAGGGTTATGTTGGTTTTATCTGTTTATTATCTTGGCCATAAAGTATATATATAATAGAAAGGCGTACAGTCAATGCCCCTTAGCAGCGAACTTCATTCTGCTTCAAACGACTTCCGCAAAAAAAAAAAAAAAAATGCTGCAGTTTTGTGTGGTGGAATAGTGCATGGGAAAATATTAATTAAATTAATAACAATAATTATTTTAAGTGTGAAATGAATGGATTATTAGAAATGCAAAGAAGAAAATAGTTAAAAATGCAGGAGGACGTGTTTCCGGCAGCTGAAAAAATTCTTTCTGATATCGAAAATGTATTGGTGAAGGATCATAATCTGTAAGTTCCATATTACAATATTATATTTATCATGGGCGGTGTGTTTTAACAGATTTATTAAAATTTTTAAACAAAAATCAATTATTATTTTAAGTTACGTGTATTTTTTATGAAATTTGAATTTCCAAAAAAAAACAACTAGGTTAAGTTATGATGACACTTGTTAACAATTTGGTTATGTGTTCTCAATTTATTCCCGCGCGGTCTTTGAAAATAATATTAAAAAAAAAAAACAAAATTATGTAATAGAATTTCCAAAAACTTATTTTTAAAGAATTATTATTTTTTAACGTTGATTGTAAAATAGTTGAAAGTAAGTTAATTTTTAAGTTTAGAATTTTATGCATTTAGTTTTTCTTGTTTTTATTTGTTTTGTCTATATATAAAAGGGGGAAGATAACGTTCCAACTATATGAAGTGATCAATTTGAGTTTTAATTGAAAGCAATTAGAGAAAATTGACTTTTAAAAAGCTTTTTATAAAACTTCCATAAATTGTATAGTTAATTTTTTTATTTTTGATAACATTTTTTGTCAAATTAATTTTGTGTAAATATTTTTTCAACACTTTAATTAGAATATTTGAAAATTTCTTTTTTAAATTTTATTTTTCTGACTTTTATTTTTTTTTTTTAATTTCAGTATCGGTTTTGAGATTATTCCAGCTGAGGACAATGAAAATAAATCACCGGTTTTTCATGCTGAAAATTATTTAGGCCTCGCCTCATGGAGTGTACAACCATTATTTTGTTATGTTTACAATCGTCTTTTGGATCTTCGTCAAAATAAATATAGACGTGAGGATCCTGTAATAATTTCACGATGGCTGATTGGTGGTCTTTTATTAAATCCTGATATATCAACATTTTGGAATATGAAACGTGAATTAGTTAAAAATCAACGATTAGATCCAATGCAAGAATTACGTTTTTCAAGTATTGTTCTTTATTATAAATCAAAATGTTTTGAGGCATTTGTTTATCGTCGTTGGCTCATTAAATTTATAATTATGGACACAAGTCAATCGTCATTGTTACAAATTGAGACACTTGTGAGAAATGAGATAAAAATTGCAACAATGACGGCAAATAGATATTGTAGCAATAATCATGCATGGTGTCATCGTCAATATGCAGTTGGTCTTTTTGAGACTAAGGCTAAGGAAAATTTTTATTCATTCCTTCAAACAGAATGGGAGAATACAAATAATTGGTGTAGTCGTAATGTTTCTGATTACAGTGGTTTTGCCTATCGACAATATTTATTGAAAAAATTACTCTTCATTTATCCACGAAATAATGAGAATACATATTCGCCGGAAAAAATTGCTAGACATCGAACAATTGTTTTGGAATACGTTAAAAATTATGCGAAAGGTATTAAAAAAATTTGCCTTATTAAAAAAAGACTCTTTTCAAAATTATATATTTCTTTTTTTTTTTTGTTTCAGAATTATTTATTTTTCCTGATACAGTGAATGATGAATTTCTTGATATTTTACATGGTTCGAGAAATGATAAAAGAGACGTAGATTATGATCAGACAATGATAAATCTCTCATATTGGATTGAGGAATGTGTACTAAATGAAGAATTGATTAATACATTTCCTGGACATGAGGCTCTTTGGTGTCACAGAAGATTTTTGGCCTGTTCGCTTTTAGCTTTAATAGATTCATATAAAATTTATTCACAATATAAAATTGAAATTATCGATAATAATGAAGTTCGAAAATTGTCAAATGTGAATAGTGCAAAAACAACGACATCACGTGGACTTGTTGAGAACGCTTTTTGTAAACACAATCAAAATCTCATTGCACACGCCAAGAAATCCGGTCATCATCAAAATGCACTAGCTGAAAAGTTCATTAAATATTTAATCAATATGGATTTGGAATTTTGAACTTTTTGTTTTATAAAGTCGTATTTTGAAAAAAAAGGCAGACAATGTGTTACACACGACTAAAATTATATATATATATATATATACATACATTATATTTTGTAGATAGTCCAAATAATCCTCCGCCCAATATAAATCGACTAGTTCGATTTAAGCAAATTTTTGTCAATGATTTTAGATGACTAGGAAGATATAGTCAATAAAGCAATCTTTTAAAAAGGCAGTTGCTTTTTTTCAAAAGAAATAATAGATTGTAGATTTAAACAACGACAAGGATATATAAAGTATACGAAGGAAGAGAAGATTTAAACTACGTTAAGGTAAATCCTACTTAATTCCTAAAAATTCCTTTTAATTTGATTTATTTTTAAATTTATTTTCCTTCCACAAAAAGAAAATGAATTCTCCTAAGGAATATTTTTAAATTATTAAAATCCTTAATATATATATAAAAAAAAATAAACAATGGTTATTGCTATTTTATAATAAGATCGATAACCGTGCCTTAAAGAAGATATATTTTTAACTGACAATAAAATATGAGAAAACAAATGATGACCGTTTGCAGCCTACGCTTTCGCAGTGATCGCAACGTTATTTTGATTTAAAAATAAAACTTCAATTTTCGTCACTTGTCAGTCTTTGATTAAACTCTTTTATGATTAGTTTAAATATTTTTAAAATTTTTCACATTTTAAAATTCAATTTTTATTTTATTTAATAAAAAATAAAAAAAATTGTAGCATTCAAACTCCAAAATGTTTATCGTGAAAAGTTCAATGGTCGTTCAAAACGAAAAAATTAATTGTCGCTAATAATTTTATCGTGCCTTTTTTTTCTTGGTGTTTAAAAAGTTTTTTGAAATATTAATAAATATTATAATTAAAAATAAAGATATTATTATATTTGTAAAATAATAATAATAATATAGATTTGAAATGAAAAATAAAATAAAAATAGTTGAATGTTGATAATATAGCAATCGAATTTGATGTAATGTTGACATTGATTTAAGATCATTAATAGCTACTGATAGCATGTCTATAAAGTAAGCACGTGACTGTTTTCTTTTGTTTTCATTGGCTTTTAGAGTAAAGACTCTTAAAAGAGTTACGTGGGTTCTTCGCCGGTCACACACAGTGTTTTTCAAGATTTATACATGTTAGCGAGCCAACTTGCGGAACGTGCTTTTCTCAATTTCCAACTGTTCGGTGAGAAAAAACAATATTTATTCATGGACCGTGAGGAGGAAGAGGAGAAAATTCCATTGACATTGAGACGTGCAAGTAGTTTACGTTTACCATCTCGTCGTACATTTAAAGGTGAGAGATTTATTTATTATTTATTTATTTATTTCTTTTTTTTTTAATCTATAAAAAGTAGGTCAGTCGCGGATTTCGATCTTTGACATTATGACATTTTATTGAATTTATTTCAATATGTTGTAGAATTTTTCAACCTTTTTTAACGTCTATCAACTTCTTCTTTTCATTTTTATAATTAATAATTAATTCTTCTCTCGAGAAAAATATAATTACATTGAAAAGTAAAATAATGACTATTTAGAGTGATTATAATTAGAAATTTTTTTTTTATTTAATTGAAATAATAATCTAAATTTAAATTTAGCGCACTTGTCTACTTTGTCGACAGTACATAGATTGGAAACAAAGGTTTAATTTTCTACATGTAAAATTGAAAGACAATTTGTCGTAATTAATTTATTTTTAATAAATAATTTTTTTCCTTCTCTACATTCTCATCATATTTTTGTTTAATTTAAAAAGAATGCACAAAAAAAAATTAAATTGAAAAATGAAAATTAATTGATATTATTGAAAAGGCTTTCAAAATATAATCTAATTTTAGAAATCTTGTTTTGAATGTCATGATAAAGAAAATGAATCAAGTGCCATTTTATTATAGTACATATGTTGAACTCTTTATCTAATTAGAATTTCCTGGATTAGAGTAAAGATTTCTCTTGGAGATGAGAAATGGGTACAAGGGCAGGCGTGTAATCAGAGTTCTATGATAAATCAGGTCACAAGGAATATATAATATATATATTTTTATAAAAAATATATTGTCATTTTTCTATTTTGCACTAAAATTTAAAAATCCAAAAAATAATTCAGTGAAATAATATTAAAAAAAAAAAATGTAATTACAAATTATGTCGTAGAGATTTTTAAATTTATTTTAATACCTTATAAATAATAATTACATCCAATTGTTTTTCTAATTAGAAAAATTTATTTATTTATTTATTTTTTGGTAATAAAATTCGCTAAAAAAAATGAAAGAAAATAATTTGATTAAATTACTATTCGTATTAAATGAAAAGTCAGTGAACTGAAAATTCGGTTAAATAAATTAATGATTAAGCTGAATAAATGAAATTTTAAATTTCTTTATTATTATAAAAATATCGTATTTTGATGTCTGAATGCGCGGCAAATTGCCAAAATCTTTGAAACATTGAATCTATTACAAATTTTCAGTCAGTATAAGAACGAGTCCTTTGTATAAATATATTTTCCATTTTGTTGAAGTTGTTGTTTTTTTTTTATTAACACATTTATGTTAATATTTAAATAAGATTAATTTTTCTTTCTAAAAATTTCAATGAATTTTTAATTAGAAAATTATTGTTTCACACTTATTGTATATTGTATGTCTTTGCAAGAGTTCCAAGTCCAAGGTAATGCCACCTGTAAAATATGCGCGTTCAGTACATTCATCTATATAGCGTTTGTAATCCTCTTGACAATTTCCTGACGTAATGGCAAAAATAAATTAATCAGACTATCCTTTTACTTACACATCTTATTATTTTACTTTCAAATCACTTTATATTATTCAATATTGAATTCAAATTATTTAAAACTACTTGTCAACTCAATCATTCACCTTTCATATATTAAATTATTTATTATTCACAATAATATATTCATATAATTTATTATTAATTAGTTTTAATTAACAGTCGTATATTAAATTTATTTATGTATCAATCGATTACTTTATTATAAATATTTATTTAAATAATTATTATTTAAATCAATTAAATATTTGTTTCAAATACAAAAAATATTATTTAAATTAAATTTGAGTTTATAAAAATATAATTTACAGATGGTGAATTAAATTCGAAATTACAAAGTGGAGGATCGCTGAGAATTCCTGAATATTTGGCAAAAAATCTACTTCAACTAGGATGTCCTATTGTATCAATACCACAGTGAGTATAATTAATTTTAATTATTTAATAATAATTTGTAATTTACAATTTTGTTAATCATCAAGACGATGGCAAATAATTTGTGTAAATTTGGGTTACATGCGAGATATCCATTCATCTTGTATTTTTCCACAGTTCATCGATAAAACTGAGTACCTAGCAAATTTCATTGTCAAGCTGAACTTCACAGGCATCGTAACCTAGATTCTCAAAAACCTCTCCCCCTTGTCTCCTTGTCTAAAATGTTATTCAAATCAATGCATTTATTGTTAATAGGCCATTGTCAAACATTAGATGAGATTTTACGGGGTTTCACTAATTTTAAATGTCAGCTTTTTTTTTTTTACATAATAAAATAATATTTAATAACAGCGATGAAGAAAATTTATGACGTAACTTGGAACCGAATTATTAAAAATTTTTAATGGCATATTCTTTGATTCATTGAATTTTTAAATAATAATTTTTATTTGAATTAGAATTTTCATCTCGATTTCCATTAAACTAAATTTTTTCTTATATGAATTTTTCAATTTTGAAACGGTAGAAATTTATTAAAATCTATTTTCTTTTTCGCAAATATATAATAATATATTTATTAATTTTCATTTATTTTCGAAGAATATGTTTTTCTTGCAAAATTAAATGCACTTTTAATGATAAAAATTTTACGATTTGGTTTATCAAAGTGATTTCCTGTTTTTTTTTTTTAAATTTCATTTATTATATAGTTTAGTTGTTTGCCTAGACAGTCGAATATCATATATATAATTCTTCATGAGCTATTTGCAACTATTCTTGCAACATTTTTTTTTTTTTTTTTGATATAGATTGGAATTTTAGTTCAGTTAAAAGATAACGAAACTCGTGCCAATACTGACCTACGCAATAATTTTCTCAAAATAATTCTCTGTTTAAAACTGTCATTAATGTTATTTGAATTCTCTAAAAGAAAAATTCCCTCAAGTCGTTGAACCCCTCATTTATTTTCTAAATCCCCTAAGAATTTTTATTATTAAAATTTAAAGTGATTTTTATGTTCTGGATTTTTTTTCCATTATTAATATAATAATTATTGTAATTAAAAAACAATTCATTTTGAATAAATGAATTTTATTTTATTTCAAAATTTCATGAAAGATAATGGATGGAATTAAAGATAGATAACAATATAAATAAATTGAGGCAAATGTATTTTGAATGACTAGCTATTGCTCGATTAAATGTCTAAAGTGTCACACAGTAAATCTTCGAGTATTGAATTAAGCATTAAACGTTGCACAATGTCATTTTCTTTTAATAATATAGTTTCTTTTGTTTTAGAATTGGATAATTTTTTTTTTTTTTTTAAAGAATATTTCTCACAAAATATGGATTTTGAAATTCAAAAAAATCAAAAATGAATGCAGAGGCAAAGTTGGAAGAAAATTTTAGAGAAAAACACAAAATAGTGGATGCTGTGATGAATGAAAAAGGAGAAAGGATAATAATTTTCTGTTTGGACTTTGAGATGACACTATTTATAATTTCTATATTAATTTTTGATTCTCAATTTGCGGTATATAAATAAAGTTCAATCGATTAATATCAGTTAAATCGGACATAAAAGTAAATAATGGAGAATAAATCTGTGGGAGAACAGATTGTGTATTGCTAGATCATAGATCGTCAGGGGTCGGGGTCAAAAGTGATAGATTCACCCTCTATAAAAGTTGAACATGTAGTCGGTCAATAGGTGATCCGTGCAGCGCATGGCAGCGCAGTCGCAAATACGTTAACGAGCCCGGCCGAGGGACCGACGTCAGAACAAGTAAAACGAAGGCGGAAAAGTGCAGTCAACATTGATTGCATATCATTTTTTTTTTCTTTACCGGAAATTAAAGTGCAATCTACTTCTTTTTCATTTTTATGTCTTGTGTCCAAGAGAAAAAAAAAATTCCAAAAAATAATTCTACCTTTGTAATTTCAAAAAAAAAATCTTTCCTCTTAAACAAAAATTCAAGAAAAACACGTGACGAAACGAATAACACAACTTGCCAAGACTTTTCAATACTAATAATAGTTTTCTGTCTTCCTCATCATTTTTCCATGAGCTCAGGAATATTTTAAAAGAAATTTCATATTGTGACAAGTTCGTCGAAACGTTAAAAAATCAAAAAGAAAAAGTGTAAATTTTTTTTTCTTTTCATTCGGAGGAAATAAGGCAGGACAGTGGCGCCTCTTTATTGGACCGCAAACTACAATAGCCCAACGTAGGTAGAATTTTAGTTGAATTCAATTGAGACAAATAAGGGAAATGATGAATGGTAAAATAAATGAAATTGACGAAATAAGAACAATTTACAAATGTCAAGGACCCGTGAGAAGATTTAATAATTTCTTCGATTATATTCCTTAAATTTAAATTTATTATTCACATCTAACAATATAATATGAGTTCATTAACCGAGAATTTTGTTTTATACAAAAATAGTCAACAATTTTTTAATTTTTTCAACAATCAATGACCCGCTTTGAAACATTCAAACCGGAAGTGCATGCTGATCAGTCATCTGTAACCATTATTATCATAATAATAACAAATCATTATTTTCCGTTAGAAAAATATTATTATTATTATTCTTTTTGATTTGACATTTTTTATTAAATATTTAATTATTTTTTTTCCAACATAAAAGTGTAAGAAAGTTTCTTCTTTACATTATTTTCAATGTGTTCAGGAATATATTAGTGAAAAATATATTTTGCTATTTTTAGATGCACTAGCTGAGAATCAAGGTCAGAGAAGTAACTAATGTTTTGTCTTAAAAACATATTGTTACATAAAATCAATGAACTTGTGAAACATAAAAAATGAAATATGTGCAAGCATTATGAGAATAACAAATACATTAAAAATAATTATCAGTATATTTTTTGTAACTAATTTATTATTTTTTTTTTTCATTAAAATAAAAAGTAATCTTACTGCAAATGGGAAGAAAAAATTTGAAGAAAAAAAAAAGGATTTAAATTTTATTTTGGGGGGAATTTTTCTCTGAAGAGTTGCGATTTGAATTAATTTGCCTTTTGTTTCAGACCTCGTGCTGGGGTCGGCACGGAGAATTTGCCAAGTAGCGACAGCGATGACTCTTCAACAATGCAGAATCGACATGTAGGTCATCATCAAGGTCAAAGTCTAGGGCGTAGTCAATCTCAGCCAAAGAGCACCGGTATCCCTAAGGTAGAAGTTTCGGAACCGGAAGATTCATCCGAATCTCTAACCTATGTCGATGGGTAAGTCATTTTTTTTTTCTTCATTTTTGTTCTTTCTTGGTTGAGATTTTTGTGATATTCACGAGGAAAAATCTCTTAAATTACAAAAAAAAAGGAAAATTTTTACAAAAATCCAGATTTAAAGTCTATTTCAAAATCTGTTGATCCAAACATTTTTTCGTTCACAACTACCGGGTTTGATGATATTTCTTAAATTTAAAAAAATGGAAATTTTTTTTTTCCAAAAATCGAAACTAATAATTTTTTTTTTTCAAAACAAGAGTAGCCCAAAGTATAAATTAATTAATAATTTGTAAAATAATAGTCGAGTTGAAATTTTTAGAAATTATAATTTAGGAGTAATTTTTGTACAAAAGGGCGCTTGTTCCGTCAATTTATTAAATAAATAAATAAATAATGAACGTGAAGAAGTAATTTGCAATAGAGAAAAGTTTGTTAATGTACAAATCTATTAACCTCATTTCTCTTTATATTCTTTATTAAGAGTAATACTTCAAATATAATAACTAAAAATAATGTTTAAAAAAAATTATGAATATTACGTTTTTTGAAAAAAAAAAAAAAAAATATAATAATTTCTTTTTTTGGAAAATTAAATTTGTACGATTCTTCTATTGAAATGTTTTTTTTTGCAATATAATTAAATAAACTTCGGAATTTTTCCAAAGAATAATTGAAATAATTTGAGAAAAAGGTTCCAATACTGGTTGTAAACGAAATGTGATAGGAAGCCAATTTTATGTGACGTAAATCCTCCAACTGTCGAGCTAGGCTTCCATGGGGTCACGTTATCTGTCAGATATAATTATAAATGTCGTTCTCCACAATTTTTCTAATAAAATAGTCATGTAATCATTTAATTTCAAAAATTAAAAAGGCCTTTAATAATTATTTCTTATACTGAATTATTTTCTATTAACAAAATTAGCAAAAAAAAAAAAAATTTTTTTTTTATTTTGCTGAAAATCGTTATATAATTTTCATTGACACTCTACATTTTTAAACAATGCAATCATTTCCATTTGTTAATTAAGTATAGACATTTGTAATGCGAATGAAATTAATTACGTAATTAAGTCGTTTACAACAAGTCACTTTAAATTAATTGACGATGTAAAAAATTTATGAATCGTGAAAAAAAATTTTTATCATATTTTCATATCGACATATGGAAGTGACGAAATTTTTATTTTGTTACAGGGGGCGTGAATAAAAATCATTATCATTCCACCGTGTATGAAATAAAATGATAAAATTATTTCAAATATTTTCAAATAAATAAAATATAGAAATTTATATCTTTCAATTCTATATATAGAATAAATGAATTTCATTCGAATAAATTTTTTTTCTATCTTGTTTCGAAGGAAGTTAGTGAAGAGGGTTAAAATATTTGGTTAGATATATATATAAAATAGTTTTAATAGTGTTGTTTTGTGTTTCTCAGGAAACGGTAGATTAAAATTTTTAAAATGAAAATTTGTCTGCTGTTAGGATAATGGTGAATTTATTTAACCATTTGGGGAAACTGATATCAGAATGTAAAATCCGTGTTCAACAGTGAGATTCAAATCTTGAGGAATAATTTTTCGGTGAAAATTTATATCTCTTTCTAAACCCTCCATTAATTCATTCCTAATGACGCAAAATAAGTATAGCTTTTTTAAAAAAAAAAAAACCTGAATAATCTTTTTTCCATTGGAAAAATTTCTCAAAAAAATCCACATATAAATCAGCTTTTTTTCAAATTTTTATTAAAATATTTAATTAAATCCTCTGTTTTTTTTATTAATTTTGTCAAATTTGAATTTCCTTGTATATTTTTCGCAAATATTGCGCAGAATCAAAAGACACTTATCCCACTGATTAATTCTATTTTTATATTAGATATAATCTATATTTCATCATTATTCCATACACGCAAATATTTTGTGTGGGATGATTCACTCTCTTTCTTCCCCTCATCATCATGAGGGTTAAAACTAAAATCTGACTCAGCATCTTAGGGGAAATAATAATAAAAAAAAAGAAAAAGAAATTCTACTCAGAATTTACGAAAAATATTAAAGAATTATTGTTTTCTATTTTTCAAATTAAGTAATTTTTCAGTTAATTTTTCTATTAATTTTCAAAATAAAATTAGATTATTTAGTGTTTCGAAGAGATTTTTATAATTTTAATAATTCAGAATAAATTCATAATGAGAATTTCCATTTACTCATCTGCTTTAAAATTTGTGTCACTTGTCACATAAAAATGTCTCGTGCGTGACAAATATTTATTAGACTTCCCAGTAGTAGTTTAAAAACAAATTTCAAATGTTTTCTTGTAAATATGGAAAAATTGTTAAATGATCAATTTTTTTCACTCGTATTTGTACGATAGGTTTCATTTTTTTTTTTTTTTTTATAATAAAACAACTTTTTGAATCTTCCCATTTTATCATTAAATTCCAATCCTTTGGTCTGTTTTCCAAAACAATTATCAATAGGAAATTCTTCTTCTTTAATAATTTCAACTTTGTAATTAATAACTTTTCTAAAATTACATAAAGAAAAATTAAATTAACAAAAGTAGTTGCACAATATAATTTAATACTAATAATAAAAAAACTTCCTTATTTTTATTTCTCAATTATATTTTTCAGATAAAAAGTATTTTATACCGGAAACAAAGTTTGGGGAAAATAAAAATTTTTAACAAATGAAGAAAATAATTTTTTTCCCCTAAAAATCAGGTGATAATTCACAGAATAAAAAGAAATATTGTAAAATATTCTAAGGAACTTTTTTCTATCATCAGTTGATTGTGATTTCTCCATTGGCTGAGTCTTTTAGAACTGAATGGCCGTGTAAACAGTAATTTTCAAACACATGCGCATTGTGAAAGTTTAAGTTAAATCGAGAGCAGAGAGCCTGCTGAATTTCTGATGCCAGAGCAGCAGCAGTGTTGAACAAACATCCACACGAGAGACATCGATTCGCGCCGTCATTTCTTTGTCTCTCTTTCTATTCTCTTTTTTCTCTCTTTCTCTCATTTCCTCTCATCAAGAAATATTTGAAAAATATTTGGTGTTCAGTTTTCTATTCATGTTTCAGTTGTCTAATAAAACACAATGGATTGGAACAGATGACATCATCATTCATTCATAAAAAAGAATTTTTTTTTTTTTTTTTTTTGATTCAGCCTACAAATATGGAGGAAACACTTCCTGATTCCCCTTGAGAGAGAGAGAGAGTGCCGACTTGCCCATCTATATAGCAAGGAGCCAATCAATAGTCTGATAGTCTCGCAGGATATTCACATTTGTGTGTGCTATTGTGCCTTTTCATTTAGTAAATGAAACAAAACAAAAATCAAGAAATATCACAGAGCAAAAAAAAAAAAAAATCACAGAAATAAAAAATAGAATTCATGCCAATGTCCTCGGTAAAATTTGAAATAGATTTTTCATTCTGTGTACAAATTTAGACCTGTGAAAAAAGTGAAATTTATTTCCCATACAGGGAATTATTAATTTTTAACAGCAATCAATTTTTTTTTCAATATTGAAATTATGAAGCGGTTATCGAATATATAGAAAGGATTTAATTTCTTCTTACCTTAAGGATTGTTATTCCTGATGTATAATAGTTGCCAGGACGCCATTTTGGAACAAAACAGACTTTTTACCATCCACCTGTTCCCAACAGGTTTTCTCAATTAATAACCGTAAGAGGAGAATATTCTTTTTATACAAGTGTAACCGATGTGCCATTAATCTGCAGTTAAACCATTTATTTGTAAATGGTTTGTAGTTCCTGTAAGAAAAAAAAAAAAATTTGTTAATTCATTTTTCATTTTAATTATCAGAAAAGAAATTGAAAACAATTTTTTTTTTTTTTGTACAATTATGACTGGAGAGACAACGAAATTCTTTTGCTTTGGAATAAAAAGTGTGTCAAAAAAAAAAAGTGTCGATTTGTGAGAAAAAGTCCGTGCACGTTGACGTGCCGGGCAAAAAATTTGACTCAATTATTATCAGTGAAGAAATTATTTCGTCTAAAAAAGAAAATACAATGTTGTGCTTTGTGCAAGCTTTTGGATCACGTGAGGATTCAAAAACCCGACGCTCCAAAAGGTAATAAAAATTTAAATGAAGAAAAAATATTTATGGAGAAATTATGAATTAAAAATTATTATAATTTCCGTTTATTGATGAATTTTTTTTTTTTTATGTTTTTGGAAACAAGTGAATATCATTTTGATGGTTTGTTCTTCTATCTGATACTATCAAGTTTCATCAAGGTTTCACTAATAAAATTAGTTGACCATGATCTAATTTTTATCATCACAACATGCATTGACAGTAAAAACCAAAAAAAAAAAATTTTTTTCTAAATTTTGGTTGTAATATTGAAAATTGCTTATGTCAGATTTATTTTAATCTAGATTTTAAAAAACACACCTGTATTTATTAGACAAAAATTTAGATTAAAGAATATGATAAAATTTTTGCACCTGTTATGACGAGCGATTATTATCTACTTTGATAAGATTTTTTTGGCTTATCAATTAATAGCTAAATGATTAAATTAAAATATTGTATAAAAATGTCGACTAATATTGGATGCCTTCCCGAAAAATCTTTAAACCGGTTTAACGAAATAAAAGAAAAAAAAAAATTTGGTATTATATCAACCTCGTGTGTAATAATCGGCATTTTAAAGAAGTACCGCTAAACTAAAGTTATACTGGTTGTATAGAACGACGACCTCGCGCAGACATAAGCATCTCTCGCAGCTGTCGGTCGTTTCACTCTTGCTCACGTGCACTTATAGTTTATTCCACTAGAACGATATAACTTATTATTATTGACTATATTTTATTACTCATATCTTCGTCATTATGTGACAATTGTAAATCGAAAAATGGAAATTTCCCAGCTTCTCGCGTTTATTTTTCCATCATACTTTCCATTATTATTATTATTATTTTTTTTTAAATACAGTCCTCGGATCGACTTTATGACACAAAAAAAGTCGATTTATATTTCAAAAAAAGAATATTTTCAAAACTTTATTTAAGTAGGACAAATATCTAAAAAAAAAAATCCATTTTTATAATTTTTTGAAATCTGATTTATTCGAATTAAAAATTTTGTCATAGTTTTTGTGGTCAAAAAAATTTCAGTCAATACTTAATAAAGTTTTACTGATTTTTAAATAACATTTTTTTAAAAATAATAATAATTTTTGAAATTTTAGAAATAATTGAATTTTAAAAGATTTTGTTCATTTTCAAAACAAAAAAAAATAATTATATTTTACACACAACTAAAAATAATTTATCAAATAATTATTTAGATAACATTTTTTAAAAGTAAAATTGAATTTTTAAAGATTTACAATTTAGATTTTTGAAATTAATTGAACATTAAGTAATTTTTAATTAAAAATTTTTTTTTGATGATTTCACTAAAAAAATTTTTTTTAGAATTTCGCAGACAAAAAAAAATACAATAATTTGAAAACTTTCTAAGCGAAAAATGGTTTTAAATATAGTTGTATTTTCGAAGAATATTATATATAAATCATTCAAAATAATTAAATTTCAGATTTATAATTGAAATTATTAAATTTAAAAATATTTTTAAATTGAAAATTTTAGAAATAATTAAATTTTAGAATTTTTATTTATTTTTTTTTATTTTTTTTTATTTTTTTTTATTTTTTTTTAAATAATTGAAATTTTTGCAAATAATTGAATTTTAAAAGATTTTGTTCATTTTCAAAAAAAAAAAAAAAAAAAAATTATATTTTACACACAACTAAAAATAATTTATCAAATAATTATTTAGATAATTGATATTTTTTAAATTGATATTTTTGAAAATAATTGAATTTCAAAAGATTCTGTTAAATTTCAGACAATAATTGAAAATGAGAGACAATAAGAGAAATTTTTAATAATTTCTGTTGATGAAGAATTTCTTAGAAATCATATAAAAAAAAAAATTGTATTCCAAAAGTTTTTAATTGAAAAAATGCTTTTAAATAATTGAATTTTCGAAGAATATTATAAAAATCATTAAAAAAAAAAAATAATTGAAATTTTTGCAAATAATTGAATTTTAAAAGATTTTGTTCATTTTCAAAAAAAAAAAATTATATTTTACACAAAACTAAACATAATTTATCAAATAATTATTTAGATAACATTTTTTAAAAGTAAAATTGAATTTTTAAAGATTTACAATTTAGATTTTTGAAATTAATTGAACTTTAAGTAATTTTTATTTAAAAATTTTTTTTGATGATGATTTCACTAAAAAAAATTTTTTTAGAATTTCGCAGACAAAAAATACAATAATTTGAAAACTTTCTAAGCGAAAAATGGTTTTAAATATAGTTGTATTTTCGAAGAATATTATACATATATAAATCATTCAAAATAATTGAATTTCAGATTTATAATTGAAATTATTAAATTTCAAAAAATTTTAAATTGAAAATTTTTGAAAATAATTAAATTTTAGATGCTTTTAAATTGAAATTTTTGAAAATAATTGAATTTCAAAAAATTCTGTTAAATTTCAGACAATAATTGAAAATGAGAGACAATAAGAGAAATTTTTAATAATTTCTGTTGATGAAGAATTTATTAGAAATCATATAAAAAAAAATTGTATTCCAAAAGTGAATTTTCGAAGAATATTATAAAAATCATTAAAAAAAAAAAAATAATTGAAATTTTTACAAATAAAATTTCAAGAGAATTTCGATTTTGAATTAAAAATTTTTTGGGTAATTTTATTAGCTAACTTTTTTTCTTTAAATATATAAACAATTATTAAATTTTATAAAAATTTTAATTGAAAAACAATTTAATATAATTGAATAGAATTTTTCATTAAAATTATTAAAAATAATTAATTTAGTGAAGAATTTTAGTTAAAAATTTGTTAAATAATTGAAATAATGAAGATCTTAAGATCTGCATTGTATGCTAAAAAAAACGTATTTTGTTTAAAATTTTTTTTTTTTTTAATATAAAAAAAGTCGCATTTTATTAAAATAAGTCAAAAAAAAGTCGTATTATAATCCGAGGCCTGTAAATATAGTTTCCATAAACTTTCCTCTCGAGGAAAAATGAACTACTTTCTACTATTGACCTCCTAGATATAAATTTTATTAAACAATTTCTAATATAAAACAGATTTTATTTTTAAATTTTGATTCTAAATTTTGGATTTTGTGAAATCTTCTCATTTTGATAAAGCATTTAATAATTTAATTCATGAAAAATGTGATATTTGAGAAAAATTATTCGACTGATAAAAATTAATTTTATTAATAGTTGGAAAAAAAAAATTCATTTTCACACAATTCAATTGTGCTTTATTGCTGATTGTAAGCTTTATTGGATAAGGTATAGCCTTGCCTATTTGCTGACCCCCTTTGCTTAATGGACACTGTGAAATCACCGTAAAGACACCAGCAATCACGTGATTGTTATTCATATACATAACATTTATAAGATCTGGTGTCTAAATCTTTCACCTTTTCTTTCATTTGATCCCCTTTTTGTATATTTATGTCCGTTATTATTAGCTTATTCTTTTCTTTTCTCGACTCGAAAGTCGATAAAATGTGTTCTCATTCTCTTGGATTTATTTTTGACTATTGTTTCTCTTATTTTTTTTTTTTAGAAAATAAGAAAATAATTTTCTCTGTAATGCTCCAAGAAGGGAATTTAAAAAAAAAATTTTTTTTTAATTTCTTTTCAATTAGGCAAAAAATTAGTTTTTTTTTTTTAAAGAATAATAAGTCTTGCGTCAGAAATTGATAAGTTTGTTTAATTTCACGAATATTTAGAAAATGATAAAAATGAGTTTGTTCTGTCTTGAATATTACGATTGAATTTAGTTAATTAAAACATTAAATTTTATTTTATTTATTTTCATTATCTGTAGTATTGTAAAATATAAAAATTTCAAACAATGATTGATTCAATATATTCTCGAACGAGATGAAGTGAGAAAAAAAAAAAAGAAAAAAGATGTCACAGTGAGAGGCAAAAGAAGCATTCTTCAATATATACACAAGTCAAAGTATTGAACAGATTTTAGAGGTCGAGTGCAGACACGTGTGTAACTTATAAAGAAATATACTTTGTATATCTCATTCTAGATTCACTAATTTGACTTTTCAGAATATTGAATGCTTTATTAAAAAATTATCCTCACTACAAACATTCCTCTAAATTCTCACATTATTATTGTAATTGAAAAAATTTAAAAAAAAAATTATTTAAAATAAATTTTTTCATTGATAAAAAATTATATTTATAAAAATTAATTATTTATTTATAATTATTAATTTAAAATTCAATTTTTTTTTATTTTTTAATTTAAAAATTTAAAAAATTTTTAAATTGACCCACTTTTTGTTAATAAATAAATTAACAAACCCCTATAATTAGATTTTAAAATTCGATATTATCTTATTCAAACTTTTTTTTTGGATTCTCAATTCTGTTTTAAGAATTTTCTGTTATTCGATAATTTTAGATTTTTCAAATAAATATGAAATACAATAATTAATTTTATATCACCTTGGTCGATCCACTTTTTTTTTTTTTTTTTTTTTAAAACATGTCACAGGTAAAAATAATATAGAATCAAGTTTCGTTTTCATTCTTTCAATTTAAATTAATGATATAATATTATAGTGTTTATTAAAATGCAGAAAAACATTTATATATGAGTCGCGGAAATTTATTGTTTTAAAATGATGTCATTAATAAATTATTTAACTTGATAATTTATGAATAATAAAAAAAGTAAATTAATAAAATTTATTTAAATTTTTTTTATAAAATTGTACAATGACTTTAATCGACAATATATCAATAAAAGAGGATCGTCTGACCCTTTCAAGTGTCAAAGTGTAATGCGTCGTCAATATAACGCATAATCAATTGATGTTAATGTCAATAAACCCTATATGAATTTTATCAATCAGTTAAAACTTTTATTTTATTATTAATTTTTATCAAAAAAAAAAAAAATATGCATTACTGAGAAAAAAAAATTTATTTGGTTCAAGTAATCGGTTACTTTATTATAATCAAATAAATATAATATAATTTTTTACTTTAATTAAATGAACTATATTTAAAACAAATTCCATTTAATTGACTACCAAAATTTATTATTTTAAATATTTATTTGATAATATAAAATAAAAACATTGAAATAATTTTTTTTTCAGGCTTTAATTTTTTTTTGTTTTTTTTTTTAAATAAAATTTTTCTTTAAATTACACATTTAATATGTTAAGTTAATGATAATTTAAAAATAATCTATATAAATATTTGACAAACGTAATTTTAACCTCCGTTTTTGGTATATAAAAATTGATTACTATAGCATAAATAATTATTGCGTGTTAAGCTAATTAACAATTCTATTATCAAGTGTCGAGGAACTCATTCCACTTGTCATTGAAAATAAACTTCACTAAACTGTATAAAATGATACCTATATAATAATTATACTTTTTTAATTACACAGCTGTAAAAAAAATACCTATAATTAATTATCTATTAGATAAAAAAAAAATTCTTTTTTTTCTCAAATATTTTTCAATATTTCTTAATTTTTAACAGAAAATTTTTTTATCCATTAAATATTATTATTAATTTTTTTTTTCTTATTAACAATGAATAATAATGTAATTAATTAATTAAATTTTTCGAATGAATTTTTCATTTGTAATAATATTTTTTTTTTATTGTCACATAAAATTTGTTTGAATTTAAATATTTAAGAATCGAAAAAAAAAATTGTGAGATTAATGATGCAATACAGGTTTTGAAGAGCAGAAAAAAGTTAATAATCAACGTGTTCCATATTTTGCTTACGTCAGTGCTTGAAGAAATTTGTCTACATTTATCGTCAGAGATATTTATTGATTACACACACGTTACTTTTATTGCAGGGAATTTGAACGTGGGTGCGCTATTGTACAATATTTCTAATATATAATTATTTAAAAAAAAAAAAAAATTCATTAATATAATTAATTATTTTTATTTATTATTTTTTTTGAATTTTATTCGACACGTGGCAACAAATAAAAATTAATTTATTGACATGAGATACATCATAATACTTGAAGGCAGATTATTTATTTGATTAAAATGTATATTCTACAATGGAGTATAATTCGTAACAAGGTCGTGTTAAATTTCTCTATTCCTGAATTTAAATCACGTGATTTTAAAATTTTACATTAATATAAATACAATTTAATTTAATTTATACCTTTTTTTTCTATATTCCAAAAGAAAAGGAAAATTGTATTTTATTAAAATTTTCAATATTAAATTTTCTTTTTTTAATAAAAGCAAATCTCGTTTACGACTTGAATAATATAAAAGAAGTTATCGATTTCCTCTCCGGTAACTTTTTCTCTTTTATTAAACAAGAAATATATAGAAGTAATTAAATAACATCGTTTGGCTTTATTCCAAAACACTTTCTTATATATATATATATATATATACTCAATATTTCCATTTTCTCAGTGAATCTGCCATGGGAAAAAAAAGAAATTTTTTTTGCTGTATTTTTATTTCAAAAGCATTTTTTGCTTTTCGATTACAAAAACTTATTTTTTATATTAAATTGCAAATTCTTTTGGTAATTTTTTCTTTTATTAATTAATTATTATTATTTTTCAAAAATTTTATCGTCTCGTTAAGCGGTCAAATCGATAATTTTAAAGTTCATTAAACATTTTAGTGCTGAGAGACTAGACGGCAGTTGGAGAGGTGATTTGAAATCGAATTATCTTATACCAGGTCATAGACTCGACCTAGAACTTGAATAAAAAACTATTCTTGACTAAAAGACTAAAGCTCAAAACTTTTCTCTTGCATTCACGTTTTATTATTATTGAAAGGAAAAAAAAAAAAAAAAAAAAAAAATGCGCAAATTCTGATTTTTCCGAAGGACACACAAAAAAAATTCCAAACACGTCTTATAGACAATAAAATGATATTGATATAAATTAATTGACATTTCCATTGATTACTGTCAAAACACGAAATTTTTTATGAAATATTAATTAAAAATTTCTCCATTTTTTAAAAATATAATTTAAAAATATTTTTTTTTTTTGACAATATTTCCAATGGAATATTTAATTTTTTTTATGAATACTTTTTTTTGGATTTATTTTTGAATATTCGACTATTATTCGAATTGTAATTTCCAAAAAATATTATTTAGAAATATTTCATATTATTTCAATGGAATATTTTTTGAATTCGATAAATATTCCGAAATTTTTCTTTTTTTTTTATCATTCCAATGAAATATTTCTGATATTCCAAAGGAACATTCCAGAGTCTTAATCGATGAGTATTTGAAACGTCACATTATATGGAAAATGTCCTTCGTTAAATACCACCAATCAAATGTGACTTATACTCTATATTATTTATTCACAAGTCCAGAAGGTCGTGTGACGAGGGTAGTGAATTCATTTTGAATTCATTCAGTTCAGTTGTACCCAGTTGGTTCGCGAAATTAGACTCTTTTTTAAAAAAAAAAAAAAAATTCTCCAATTTTCCCCAGGGGAAAAAAAATTGTCAAAACGTAGAATTATTTTCGTTATTTTTTTTTTTCTTTTCAAAAACCGGTTTTCGAGATGAGTATCTTTTTTCTTGCTCGACTAGCAATGGAATCTTTGAGTGAAAAGTGTCGACACACGTTACGAGTAATTTTAAAAAAGCACAAATACCAACGAGGATTTTATCAGTGAAAATGTTTATATCTTTTCACTATTTCAAAATTGTCAAATTTATTGAATACTATTTTATTTAAATAAAAAAAAAACAAATTTTACGAGTAGTTAAAAAATGTTTTTTTTATATATGAAAAAAAACTGGTAGCCAACTAAATACGGTTAATTTTGTTCGATGATATATTTTTTTTTTAAAGTTTACTGTCGCATTTTCTTGTTTGCGTAAGATAACGATAACACCAGTTTTCATTAAGGAAAACATCTTTCTTTATTTTTTTTGATTTTGCATTAGTTATCGTTTTATTACTATTGAAGTAGTTTAAAAATTTTTCTTCAAAAAAAAAAAAAAAATAATAATTAAAAATGGAAATTGAAACTCGAGGTTTAATACAAATTTGCTTTTCACCGAAACCTGTTCTAAGAACAAGGTAATTTTTATCTTGATTTATTGTCGAGAAAAAAAAATATTTCGATTTTTTTTTCAAAAATTCTTTTTTTATTTCCTTTATTTATTTTTTTTTCTTTTCTAAATAATTTTATTTGCTTCTAGGTCGGCTGGATCCATTGGAGCCCGTTCAGCTCCAAATACTCCTCTTCAGGGAAATGTAGTGGGAACGCCACCAATTGGCCAAACTCCCATTTCCGGAATACAACTCGCGATTCCACCATCTCCGAAAAGTCCTAATCATTCAGCATCAAAAGGCAATGAAAGGTGATTAATTTAGAAATTACTGAATTTAATTTTTAATTTTGTTTTCATTTTTTTTTTCAATATTTCGTTTTTAAAAATTTTTTTTTTTTTAAATACACTGGACAAACTTGAGGTCACAATAAATAAACTGATAAATTAGACTAGTTTTACAATTGTTTAATAAATAATTATAATTTTTTTTTAATCATAATTAATGAATATTTAATTCTTGATTTAATAAATAATCTCCAAAAATTGTGATCTTATAATTAGTAATATTTTTATTAAACAATTTTGTTCGTATTGATAATCATGATTAAACGAAAGAAACACGTGAATGATTGAGATGGATTTATATACAGATTATAATAATTGTTCTTATATTTTGTTCAAAATAATTCATCATTTGTGTATTGTTTGAAGAAAATGTGAAAAAAAAAATTTTTCAAAATAAAAATGTGTGTCTTGAAAAATATTTTAATTTTTATATTTTTGATTTATCAGTTTTTTTTTTGTCCACCAAATTGAAATTCCAGTGTTTTTTCTTTAAGTAAATTTTTTTTTGACAATTATTATAATATAATTATTTTTTTTTTTTTTACAGCCAACTTTCAAAACCCTTGAGCAAAAGTACACCATCTATGACCGCAGATGGAAACCAAACGCCAGCATCAATCAGTAGAACTTCATCAAAATCATCGCCTGCTATGTCCATAAGTAATGCACGACAAAAGAAATTTCACAGGCATTTCAGTCAGGTATTATTAATCTCCAGATAAAAAAGACAATGAACAATTTATCGATTCTCGAAAAATTAAAAACTTTTTAATTTAACTTTTCTTTCGTTGAATAATTTTTATTCTTCATGTCAATTTCTTGAAAAGTTTAATTCAAACTTTTAATTCTAAATTGAGTTTAAAAGACCTTATCAAGTTTATGACACTAGAATCTCTATGTTATAATATTCTTACGTCACTTTATAAAAAGACAATTCAAAAGGTTTTGTTATTTTTTTACGAGTTAAATGCTATTTTTATATATTACGAACGGGTCGAGGATTTTATAACTTGTTTTTTATTAGTTTCTTGACTAATTCTTTTAATTAATTTTAAATGAGCCAAAAATTTCGTTCAAATAAATGAAATATTTTTTTCAATCTATAAAATTAATCAATTATAATGTAAATGTAAAATAAAATAGTAAATTAATAATTTCTTTTTAGATATTTAAAAAAATAATTTATTTTTTCATTTTTTAAACGTTCGCAAAAACTTTTTTTTATCTGATAAAATGAAAAATATATTTAAAATAATTGTGAATATGAGGGCAGATTCGAACTTAATGGTAGTCTTCAAAATTTTGTGGTCAGGTGGCGTCGGACGAGAGGGTCTTGAATTATTACAGCTGCGCTTTGGTTGGCGATATTTTACTTCAGGGTCATCTTTACATAACGCCAAATTATTTTGCCTTCTATAGTAATGTTTTTGGTTATATTACAAAACTTTTAATACCAACAATATCGGTTGTAAAAATTACCAAAGAGAAGACTGCAAGAATTATTCCTAATGCCGTGGCAGTGTCAACGGAAGAAAATCGTCATGTATTTTGTTCATTATTATCAAGGGACACCACTTATAAATTAATGATCGAAGTGTGGGAAGCGGCAATGGAATCGTTATCTGTAATTGATGCACTACCACTTCCTGTCACTGAAGACAAAATTGTTGTGCCAGAGGTGTTACTAGTTGATGAAAGTGAAATAAAAACTGAGGAAGACGATTCAAGTATGTCGGAAAGTGGAACTGACATTACATCCAGATCGCCGACAATTTGCACCGATACCGATGGTCATTCACCTACAACTCCAAGTTTGCAGAGGTATAGAATTTTTTTTTTTTTTTTCATTTATATAAAATTTTCCTTTAGGAAATTAGAGAGATAAAAAAAAAGCAATTTAAGACTGGCGTTTTTTTTTTTTTTTTTTAGAAAAGATTTTTTTTCCCTTAGGTTGGAACAGGAGCCTTTATTGAAACAAAAAGTTTTGAGATCGTCAATGAAATCGTCATTAGGATCGATTATTTGCGGAAGATTTGAAGCCGGAACTATTATTGCTATTTTAGTAGCCCTTTTGGCAGCCCTTTACGTATCAGCCGCTCTAATGATGCTACGTATTGACAAATTGCACTCGGCATATGTCAATCATCCTCTTTCAACTTCAGAACGATTCACACAGGATCGACTTGTACAGTATCTTAATATAAATTTAGAACAAATTACTAAGGTAAATTAATTTTTTTTTATGTACTCCTTTTTTTTTCATTAACCTTAAATGGGCTAAATATAAATTTTTCATTATCAGTTAAATTAATTTTGTTTTTTTTTTTCACGTAAAAAAAATCTCTTAGAAGAAAAAAAAAAAGGAAAATTTTCTATTACAGGTCCGACGGAGTCTACAAATACTGTCACAGCAAATTATTTCCATGAATCCTGACAGCGAGAGTGAATCAACAGTTACGAGAGGGCCAATTGAACCGGAAGAATCGCCAAGTTAGCCTTCGACAATGCCAAATATTAAAATTTTACCAAACAGAAAAAAACTTCGAGTTCCCCCGCACATCACTAGCGTATGAAGCGCGTCGTACTAGTAAATAAAATTTAAATAAATTCATGCTTTCTTCTCAGCATCTGTGAATTTATATAAAAAAAAATACTTGTTCAAAATTCACATCTGCTTTAATGTTTTAAACATTGACAAAAAAAAAAATTAACATCTAGAGATGTAATTTTGAATTTAGTCTCATAATTCTCAAATAATAATTGATTGAAGCCTTTATACTAATTGGAGAATAATTTTAGACTTTAAACAGAATTATTTTTAGATTCTAGAATGATAGGTTTCGAGAAAGAAATATTTTTTTTTAAATATTTCAATATTTTTTTTGGACATTTATATTTTTCACAATTTAATTTATTTTTTTTTTTTCTTTTAATGTTCAAAGAATTATTTACCACTAATTATAAATTTCTAATTGTAATATAAAATATATATATATAATATTTTTAATTAATTAAATTAATAGTAAAAAATATTTACCACTAAAATATGAAATTAATAATGGTAAATAATTACTAAGAATTTAAAAAAAATTGTTATTAATTATTGAAATATTTGAAAATATATTTTTTCCCTTGGGCTTAATACGCAAATCATGAAAGAAATTAATTTTTTCGAAAAAAAATACATTGCAAATCCTAATTATAAAAGCAGGGCGAAAATCTATGAGCGCAACTCGCTAGCTGAGGTGTTTCAACTAGTCACAAAAATCTCTGCCCTTCGCACGATTGTATAAATGAAGAATAATTTTATGTATAAATAATATTCTATGAATTTCATTATACATTCGCGATTATTCAATTGTTGATAAGTATTTTAACAAATCTCTCTTTTTTTTCTATTTTTGCTTTCTCATAGAGGAAGTATTACATTATTTTATTATAATTTTTTTTTTTTTTACATGAAAAAGAAGTCTGTGCCAAGGAGTTTGAATTATTCGGGGAAAATTGACTAAATTCCACGTCAACTTCCACGAACGCAAAAAATTTTTTCATTCTTAATTTTTTCAATTGAAAATTGGATTTAATGTTTTTATTTTTCATTTTCTATTATTTATTAAAATTTGGCGAAATTAAATACACGGCATTTTTTTTTTTTATTATTATTATTTTAAGTAGAGAATTTAAAGTGCCGTCCTTTTTGTAATTTTATATAGGCTCACTGTGCGATTTTTTAAAAACAAAAAATACTAGATTTTTGTATACCGATGAAATTATGTGCACGCAAGGGAATTACGTTATCGAGGCCTCGTGGAGGGTGGCGTGATTAAAGACGATACAAATTTTTGCATATTTTCTCGGCAAATTTATTTCTTGAAAAAAAAATCTACAGTCTTCAATTTTATATTATTATTTTTTTAATTTATTGTTGAAAATTTCTTTTATTGGATTTTAAAAAGAATTGTAAATTTTGAATTTAGAAAAATGTAGAGATTTTTTAAAAAGTATTTTAAATTTTGTTTTATGTTTTAAATTAATTCAGTTTTTATTAATTGATTTACAATTAATTTTAATCTTTTAATTTTGGTTTTAATTTTTTTTTCTTTTTTTTTTTGGTTCAAGGATAATGATTTTTGTAAAAAATGTAATTTTTAATTATTTTTTATTGTTAGGTTTTAATTTTTATAGTTTATTTGGGTATTTGTTTTTTTTTTAGCGGATTCATAATATATTTTAAATTGTTAGTGTTTTAATTTTAATTGAAAATTGTGAATAAAATGAAAAGCTGTATGATTATTTTGAATGAAATATTTTATACTCATGCCAAGATAAATGTAAATTTCAATCGTTTCAATCAAATTGCATGATGAGCTGATGTCGATAATGTTTTGATATCCGCTCTTGTATAATAATTGTGATGAATGTGATAATTTTTTTAAGAGAGAAAGAAACGAAAGCTATTGGGAATGAAATATTTTTTGTATTTAAATAAAAAAAAAAAAAAAAAAAAACAAAAACAAAACAGTAAAATATCAATTCTTTTTAAAACAATTGGCTGTTTAGTTTTCTTTTAACACCGTTAATATTTATTTCTAATCCAGGAATTAATCTTGAATACAAAATTTCCAAATATATTTTATATTTTTAAATTTCAAATTTTTTTTTAATTACAACTGTAATTCATGTTAGTAATTAAAAAAAAATTTTTAAATAGATTTGATATTTTCTTGAAGAAATTATGAGTTTTGTTAATTTTAATAAAAAATAGACATAAAATAATCGAGTGCGAAAATAAGAATCATATTTCTCGTAGGTGTACATAATTAATTAATTAATCTGTCCTATCTGTTGTTTATACTCGAATCACTTAGATTGTAAAAGCTCATTCTAAATAAATTTAACTGTTATTATTTATGGCCTCGTATGTAAAAAAAAAAAAATGTCGCTGTTTAAAAATCTCATGCAAAAATGAGATATTTTCAAAAGAAACTTTATTCTCGCGAGACAAAACTCTATATAACGAAGAAGCAAAAAAAAAAAATGATAATAAAACAAAAAACAAAAAAATTGTCAAAATAAATTTAAATGATCAAAAAACAATTTTAAAAATATTAAAGATCAAATGAAAACAAATGCAAAAATTATGTAGATTTATAAAAAAAAAGAGAGGCTTTTTTAACAGTGTAATTATTCAATCTTGTTGAAACAAATTTTTAAAAATTTGGCTAATATTTTTTTATTTTCTATATAATATAGAGAAATGTGAAAATTTATTATCTATGCAAATCATTGTACAGATTTCTTTCTTAAAGCAGAAAAATATTGTTTTTTTTATCGTCGCCGCATTTTATGTTTTTTTTTTTTTTTTTTTTTTTTTTCTAGATTTTTAATGTGCCAATACACACGAGCCGAACAAAGTGGATTAAATTTGTGTTCGTCTTGCACTTTGCACACATTTTCAAAATAAACGTTTCACAAATCTTTTGTATAACGACAAATTTTGCGTCTATCCACTTTGCATCGATGTTGTATACGAGAAACATAAAGTTTTTTATAGACAATTTAGTAATAATATTAGTCCTATATTATTATTTTATTATCTTATTTATTTCAATTACAACAGTAATCGACAGCAATTTTTTTTTTTTGAAATATAAAATTAAAAAGAAAAGTGTCGATTACCGTTTTATTATTTTTCATTAAACGTCTATTATCGATTTAATTAGACGATTTTTATTTTTTTTTTTTAGATTTATTGTGGTGCTCAATAAGCGATTTGAAGCTTGATCCTTATTTTTTATTTAGTCTGAGCTATTCGTTTATCGCTGATATTTTTTTTTATTTTGTAATATATAAATAATAGTTTAAACTACAAACAGCTTTTATAATTAATCATTATTTTATTTCAATTCATTAATATTTATTTGAAATTGTAGTTTAATAGACATTTTTCATCTTAATCGCATCAACATTTTTGGATAGCAAGTTGTTCTCTGTCCACGACTGAAATAATATATATATACAATATATATATAATATTGTTAATAATATATTGTAATATATAAATATTCGTATTGATTACTTTTTTTCTTTTTTTTCCAATTTCTCAAAATATCCTGATCGTTTTCATATTTATTATATTGACAATTTTGTTCTAATAAATGAGCGATGAGCTCCAAAATAAATACAGTTAGACAAAAAAGAAATCTCTTCAAATAAAATCAAAGAACAATATATTGTTAATCGTGATTAAAATTGAGAAGCGCGAATGAATGTGAGAATGAACGAGAGATTAGTGAAAAAAAGAAGTTTAATGTTGAAAACCAAAATTGCAGACAGACCAATAATTTAATATGTAATTTGTGTAGCTAATACACAGAGTACAATAAAGAATATTAAGAAATTTGGAGGAATATCAGTTGTTTTTAATTGAAACAAATTGAATTTATTTAATAAATTAAATATTAACTATATGCAGTGAGGATTTCTAATTATAATTCTTGTATATATATATATACATTCAGATTTATATTTATTGTTAAAAATTAAATTTTCTTCTATAATCTGTTAAATTTTTACTCCTTAACAATTTGAAATACCATTTTTAACTTTAACCACTTTATCAGTGATCAAAACAAACATTGCGGTAAACATAACCTTAAAATTCCACCCCATTTTAAATTGCTTTTATAATATTATAGTACATATAAGTTGAAATATTTATTACTTAATAAATAATTTATTCGAAATTTAAAAATAGTAATACGTCAAATTCGATAAATTTCAATTATTAAAATTTATAAAAGTATAATTAATTTACCTGGTACTACCGGTGTGTTTACGCCTCTCTTTTTTTCATATAAAATAGCAACAATTACATTACACAGCTTGACACACACACACACACAATTATTTTTACAACAATAAAATCAATTAATAAACAATTTAATATAAATAACTTGTTAAATAACTTTTATTTGTTTTTTTTCTGACTTTCATTCTAGTTCCAGATTTAAAAAGATGTCGCCACAAACAATAGTCCTCATTGGCCAATGAGAGTAATAGTTTTTGAAATGTTTGTTTCCCGCTTAAAATAAAATTAATTTATACTTAATTTATTATATTAAAATGTTTATTAATAGTTTTTATATTATTATATCATAGTTTACTTTGAATTTCAATATTGTTTTTCTTTTTTTTTAAAGTTTGTCAGTAAAATAGGAAATGTAAATTTATAATTTTTCTCAATAGATGGGGACTCTTGGCAAAATAAACTGTTTACATACACCTGTCACAATTTTCACGAGCTGTCAGAACTGTCAAAAATTATTTAATTTTAATTAATTTAAAAAAAAAATGTATCGAGAATCTGTTAAAATTTTTGTAGAGAATGCTGAAGCTCCTTCTGCAGCTTTTGCTGCACATATTAGAATGGAGGATTTATTAGAAAAACTAAAACTTCTAAACTATGATACCGAATTTCTACACAAGCTAAAAATGAAGGATATTAATAGGTAATTTATAATTTATATTCTTTCTTTAGTATTTTAGAATATTTGAGAAAGATTTTAGTAAATTTTTATTTATCTTCATAATAAGATTTTATTTTATTATTGATTTACAGTGGAAAAATTTGTTCAAATAACCTATAAAAAATATAAAAATTTTTTATATTGATCTTATTAATATATTTTTCATTCAAGGTTAATTCTATATTTAGTAATATTTAAAGTAAATGAATTAATCAATAATTTTTGAATTTATAATAATTTTTTTTTTGTTTGGTTTTTATTTTAGAATTGTTTTTTTAATTTAGTAAAAATAAAATTAATTAATTTTCTCAGACATTATTTTGTAATACCAACAAATTCTGGAGAACAATTTTTCATGTTCACATCATTAGCTGCGTGGCTTATAAGAAAAGCTGGTAGAAATTTTGATCTACCTCAAGAGTCAGATGATCCAAATTCAACAATTTCGGGAATTTTGGAATATCTTCGAGAAATTGAAGTTCCTGTTGAATTTGCACCAAATAAATTAAAACAAGGTGTCGGTGAACATGCCGTTTATGTTCTCGATAATTTAGCAGATCATGCACTACAAGCTATTAATTTTAAATGGAAAAAGTAAATAAAAATTAATGTTTAATTGCGCAATTTTAATGGGATAGAAAAATTAAAATTAAATTTTTTTTTTAAATGTAGAGTAAATATTCCACCTGATGAACCAACTCCTGAACCCGAAATCGAAGATGATGACGCGGAATTAATTTTAGAGAAACTTGAAGAGGAAATAAATGCCGATTTTGAAGAGGAAGAAGAAGAAGAAGAGGAAGATATAATTCATGTTGATGATATTACTAAATTATATGGAGAGAATTTAGTAAGAAGAATATTTAGTTATTGGAAAATAAATTTTTAGTAAATATATTGAATATGATTGTAAAATTTTGTAATTTTTGTTTTTATAGAATGAAATTTATAGACCTGAAAATATTTTGGAATCAAAAACTGATGCAGAAGAATGGAAATTGGAATTGGAAAAAGTTTTACCACAGTTGAAAGTAACAGTTAGAACAGGTATTTTACGAAATTTTCACTCAAACAACAAAGTAATTAAACATTGATTTCAAAATTTTTAATTTTGAAAATTGAAAGATTCTAGAGATTGGAGAGCACATCTCGATCAAATGAAGCAGCTGCAAACAGAAATAGAAAATAATTTAAGTGGCACAACTGGACAATTGGAAAAATTACATTTGGATATTGGAAGTACACTGGACAAAATAAATACAAGGGAAAATTATCTTAATCAACAATTGGAACCCTATCTAAATGACTACAAATCTTTACAGGTTCATTTTTTTTAAAATTAATTTCTTTTATCATTTTTAATATTTCTAATTTTTTATAATTATTAAATTCAATTTTTTTTTAAAGGAGGAATTGTCAAAAATAAAGGAACAATATCGAGAAGTAAGTGGAGGAGTTACCGAAAGAACAAGAGTTTTAAACAAACTTACGGAAGAATTAGATCAAATTAAAAAAGAAATGGATGAAAGAGGATCCAGTATGACAGACGGAAGTAAGTTTTTAATTACAAAATATGAATTTACTTGTGAATTAAAATTGTTATTTGACTTTGTTATTTTTAGCTCCTCTTATAAATATTAAAAAGACAATAACAAAAATGAAGAATGAAATTTCGGAAATGAATATCAGAATTGGCGTTTTGGAATATAGTTTAATGTGTTCGAGAATTCGAGATCGTACTCAATTGCAGGAGGATATGAACAGTACGAATAATGGAAACAATTCGTTATTGGCATAACAAAAAGATATACTCAATTTGCAATGTAATTAATCACTTCAAAAATAAGTGCAATCCGTCCAAAGAAATCTCAGTGATTAAATCAAAGTACAAGGTGCGTGAATTTCAAGAAACTTTCTTTTATTTATCAAAAAAAAAAAAAAACATATATATAATAGATAAAAAAAAAATTAACTTTAATCTCAAAGCGTTTTTACGGAAGTGCCTTGAATAGAGTTTAAAATTACAAAGTTTTGAATTTTGTAATTTTTTTATTTATTTAATATAATATAATTAATTATTTTATTAAAGTAATTTGTAAACTAATTTAATTGTCATTGTGGAGTTAAAAGTTTAGAACTAAAAAAACTTATATGAAAACAGAAAAATGACTTTTTCAATAAAAGTTTTTCTTTTTAAATAAATTTTCATAATTAATTAAGAATTATGAAAAATTCTTGGTCGATGAACCTCCCCTCCAAAATATGTTGAAAACTATTTGCATCAAGCCAATAAGTAAACAGGCAAAACAGTCTTCTCGCGAACCGCGAACCTAAATTCCACAAATCTACACTCCCATTTTATATATTTCCATATTTATAAGTAATAACATACAGTTAATCGATTTGTTTAACTGATCTGTTGATTTAATTACCATCATTTCAAAAGATTACATACGTCATGTATATGTGTGTTCGATTTTAATAAATTCTTTTTGATGAATACATATATATATATATAATTTGATAAAATACTTAAACTCTGAATCTAAAGTGAGATATAATATATCAAGGTGAGATCTTTAATTATATAATTTTTCGATATTTTGATATTAATTACATGAAAAAATATTCGTAGAAAAAAGAATTTAATTATAGAAAATATTTTTTAAATATTCAAACTTTTTTTTTTGAATTGAATTTATTTACATAAATAATATTAAAAATATTACTGTATTGGTTGCTTTAAAAATAAAACATTAATATTTGCAAATTAATAAAGATAAAAGAAATTCATTTTTTTTGTTTAAGTTATTTAAAATTAATTTTCTTTTTTCTTTTATTATGTATGTGATCAATCATCAATTATACAAAAATGAAAGTTAATGCTCACGTGTCTTTCACTTACTTTCACTGATGCCTCTTAGTTCTTATTCTTCGCAGTTACTGATGATGATATCTGCGTAAATTTTTAATAATCACACATTTGTCAAATTTTTTTTTTTTTTAATTTAAACAAGATTTATATTTGATTTTTGTTCTTTTATTTTTTATCAATTTCTTTATATATTATTGCAAATCGTTTAACTTTTCAATTCATAAAATTTTGTCATTGTTGTTTTTATTTATTACTAATTTATATATTTAAATTATATACAATTTTAAATTCAATGCTCTCATATTTTATCTTAATTATTAAAAATTTCTTTCATCGGTACTTGTGATTAACAATAAATTCACTTCCTGTTTAAATTTGAAATTATTTTAACGAATTATAATATTTTTTTGATTATTAATAATTATTTTGGATTTTAATTAATGTCAGAATTTATTGTAAAAAATGGTTTCTTTTTCTTTCGATATTTGTATTTATAATTTATAATGATACAATATTTAAGAAAGAAAAAAAAAAAACTTTTTCTGATATCAGTTGCAAGCCTATCAAACGGAAATACATTTCTATGTATCTATTCATTTAGCTCTTTTTAATAAAAAATTTTTATTTTTCTTACATTTTGTTATTCACTTCTTGAATATTATAATATTACTTATTTTGCTTCATTAAAAAAAGTTATTAAAAGTTTTTTTTAATCAATTTAAATTATACTCATACATTTGATGAATTGATTAATAATTTTATTTCAAACAAAATTTCATTTGAAATATCATATTCATTTAATTTTGTTTTTTTTCAAATATTTATCGCTTGATTGATTTATGTTGTAATTTCAAAAAATAATATAAAAAAAAAATAACGATAATTATTTGAAAAATTAAGATATTGAAAATGAAATTATTTACACTTAATGGAGAAGAATTTTAAAATTATTTTTCATTTTTTGTTATTTATGGGGAAAAGTAATTTATTAAATAATTATTTTAATACAATTTACGTTTTATATACTGCCTGTACTAATTAAATTATATAATTGAAAGACATTTATTATTACTATTATCAAGGACTTAAATATTAGTCATCATTTTTTTTTTTTTTCAATATGCAAACCACTTTAAATTATGAATGTAATAAAGTATGATTCAATTAATGTGACTAATAATATTTTTTTATATTCATCGAAATAGAGGACTTGTTTTTTGTTCTGGAAAAAATTTAACATGACGTTTATTATCAAAAAAAATGTTTTTGATAATTTTTTTCTTAAAAACAATTTCAATTGTGACAAAATATTTTTATTAACTAAAATTATTATTTCCAAATAATCATTATTTAATGATAATTAAAAATTTTTACTTACAATAAAAATTGCGATTAAAAAAAAAAAAAAAAAATCTACGCTCGAGAAATTATAAAATGATATAAAAATAATTATTTCAAATAGGAATTTTATAATCAAGTGAAACTTATGTTTGATGTGTAGACAAAACTAATTCTCATTTACTGGACTTTGTTCAAATTGCGAATAAAATCGTTGTTCTTCCTCATTTATGTTATTCCTCTACGTTCGTTTTCCCTTTCCTTCTCTTCATTTTCTTACTCTATTCACAACTTTGAATGGATTATAATATTCTTATAAGCCTCAACAGTAATTTTAATCTCATCATAACGATTAAACACGTTTCGTTGATAAATATTTGTGTGTATAAAGTGCGAAATATTTTTATGATAATGAAATTTTTTTTTAATAAAAAAAAATATCAAGAAAAATTAATTTACAACAAAAATTACAATATTTCTCACAAATTTTCCATTTTTGTGCATTAAATAAAAAAAAATAAAATAAAAAATAAAAAAAAAGAAATAAATAAATAAAAAATCCTTGATGTATAAAATATCGAATTTGAAAGGAAGGTTGTGAACTACTTATATTATATCACAATTAATCTAAAGTGTGTGTGTGTGTGTGATCGAAATGGAGATGCAGAAAGTTAATTCAGATGATAAATACATCTATATGTTAAAGTAAGACCTAGAAAATTTAATGTGAATTTTTTTTTTAATTCAACATATGAAAATTAAATAATACTCAATTTTGTCAAATTCGTGAAAAACAAAATAATATCTAGAAAAATCTGCAATCCAATTACTAATAAATTATTAATTTATTTTATAATTATTAATGAAAAATAGTACATTTTTCTTTTATATCTAAATTATTTAAAAAAAAAGATTTCTTCTTATAATATTTTATTTTTGAATACTTCTTTTAAAATATTAATTCTTAACATAAATTTACATTTCACACACATTTACAATTGTAACAAACAGTTCTTTTTAAACTATTTTTTATTAGAAATAAAACACACGTCACATCTGATGTAATTTAGAAAGAAAAAAAAAAATTTTATTTTTGTAAATTATTTTTTTTTCTATTTAAATTAAATAAATAAATTTTTTTTAAATCAAATTACACCATAAAGAAAGATAATTTTTAATTGATAATATAAAAAGAGAAAAAAAATTGATTTTCACTTGAAATTATAAAAATTTTTTTTTTTTTTTTTTTTTTTTTTTTTGCCTAAAAAGGAAAATATTTCTCTTATGTCACATTGTTCCTTGACTTGTGAACAATAATTTACTGATAAACAGACACCAAATTATCTCGTTAATATTCTCTTATCGTTGTAAAGAGACGCGGTTAAACTGAAATCAAAAGGTATAGGCATTTCACTATGCGTTTGTAATTCATTGTAAAAACTGTTGTTGGCAAATTCAATCAAGTTTATTATTTTTACACCTTTACTAATTATATTGTTTTCATAAATCTCAAATAAAAACAAGAAGTGTAACAAAAAAAATGGATGAGGTGAAAAAAAAGGATATTTCCAATCCAAAAACACAGCAAAATGGGTGAGATAAATGTGCTTTTTTATTTAAAAAAAAAGAAAAAAATTTAAATAATTATTAATTAGCGAAAAATTAATTAATTATTTTACACTATAGTGTTTGAAACAAATTTAAAAAATATAAAATAACATTTTTTTATATCCTAAAAATTTATTTAGGATATTATTAATTATTAATAATAACTTTTAATTAATAATTTTTACTTATTAAAGTAAATTTATTATTATTATTTATTACCAGAATTTATTATTTTATAAAATATTTTTATTTTACCTTTAATAAATAAATATATGCATATATGCAAATTGATTTTTTTAATTTGCATATTTCATGCATAATTTAAAAAGAGATATATTAAAATACAAATGTTATTTAAATATAATAAATGAAAGGAAGTAATTTAAAAATTTCCCGCTAATAAAACTTGCGCGTAAAGAATGCGCAAGACAAGTGTCAAAAGTCAAAACATATTTGCAAAATATCGCAGAAATAAAATCTTTTATTTTTTGTTTTTGTTTCTATATATTAAAATTAGAAAAATATATCAAATGTATATTTAAATAACATTTAATATTATATTAAAATCAAAAGAAATGTAATGTTTTACCTCTTTTTCTTTGCTTACATCAATTTTTTTTTACATTCATTGCTGATTTTGAGGTTAACTAATTAATTCATATTCATGGTAAGCATTTGTATAAATTTGTTTTTTTTTTTTCTTGTTAAATATAAACACTTTAGTGTCATCTTTGTTCGTGAATGTACAGTTGTTATCTCTTTACTGAGAAAAGAATTTTAAATTTTTACAAATGCGAAAAGGATAAAGATGAGGCGCAATAACTTTTTCCACATTTAGTTAACATCCGGCACAGTATAACATATAATTTATTTATATTGTTTAAGTCACTTTATTCAATTTACTAAATTTAGATCGTCATATGTGTTAGTCGTGTATACATTTTAATATTAAGTGAACTTTTTTAAGAACATGAACAAAGAATGCAAAATTAAATTTGGTTGAATTATATTATAAAGTTTATTAAAAAATTTTTGTAAAAATAGATAAAATATTTCTCAACAGGTAAAATTTTTGATTTGTTTCATTGAATTTCTCAACAGGTAAAATTTTTGATTTGTTTCATTGAAAAAGATAAAAAAAATAGTTTAAGATTGTTTTGTAATTTGAAATTTTTAATTCTTTCATTATAATAAAAAATATATATATTATTTTTTTTTTTTACAAACGAATGGAAAACTTTTTATCTGCAATGCAATGATTAAATATAATGAAATAAATAATACGTACAAAAGCAAATATATTTATATCTATATTTTATATATAAATCTGTTTTATTTATATAACGAAACATTTTATCAGATAAATAAAATATTTTATTGCAGATATATATATATATATATATATATTGCCAAATCTAAAGTCTAATTTTATATCATATATCATAATTTTGATTATTGAATTATAAATTAATTTCTTCCATGTAAATAATTGTAAGTCAAAATTTTATTTGACAACAAATTGAAAAGAAAATAATTTTAAATTGAAGGAAAAATAATTAATCATGAATTAATGAACTTATGAGTCATTATCATTGATTACTCATTGTTAATGATTTGCCCGACATAATTGCTATTGACCCCGTTAATGAATATGGTTTGAGATTAATAAAAACAAGTATTGAATTTATTAAATCAGTTAAATCAAAAAAAAAGAAAAAAAAACTACAAACAATTTAATGCATTACAGTATATGAAAAATCTTTAAATTTCGTATTTATTTTTTTTTAGAACTGGACCTCAAACAAAAAAAATGAGATCAAACACAAAATTGTACATTGTTCTTGGATTAGGAGTCATTTTAATTATTGTTGGAATTACGGTTGGAGTTTTATGGGGAACCATAGTTGATTATATTTATAAAAATGTAATAAATTTTTATTAATTAATTTAAAAAGAAAATTAATTTTAATTATTTTTCTTATTTTTAATAGGAATTGACATTAACGCCAACATCAAAATCTTTCGAAATGTGGAATGAAAATCCAATACCAGTGTTTTTATCATTTTATATGTTTAATTTAAGCAATGCAGTTGAATTTCTACAAGGTAGAAAGCCTAAATTCACTGAACACGGACCTTATGTATTTAGGTATATGATTTTAATTTTCTTTTACGAAAAAAAAAATTTTTTTAAATTTAAAATTTAAATTTTACATTTTTTTAAAGTGAGAAATTTAACAAAACGGATAAAGTTTGGAATGACAATGGTACTGTGACTTTTCATAGACGTAGATATTGGACATTTGTACCTGAATTATCAAAAAAAGGAGTTTCATTATCTGATGAAATTACAAATTTAAATCCAATTGTTGTGGTAAGTTTAAATAATATTTAACTCAATTATTTAAATTATAATAAATTTTAACTATTGTTATTTTATTTTTCAGACTCTTGGTAATATTGTGAGATTTCAAAAACCTCTATTACGAAAATTTGCTAGTTTTCTTATGAAAGCCGTTAAGGAAAATGTTGTAATAACAAAAAGTGTTTCACAACTTATATTTGATGGATATGAAGACAAATTATTGGAGATTGCTCGTAAACTCAATATCACAACTCTTCCATATGATAAATTTGGATGGTTCTATGGTGTAATTAAATTTATATTATTTCACTTAATGAAAATGTAAATAATAAAATTTTTAATAATTCTTGTAATAAAAGTTACAATATTTAATTTGTTTTTCAGCGTAATGAATCGGACACGTACGAAGGAACGTATAACATTAAAACAGGAAAAAATTCAATTTCTGAAATAGGCGAACTTGTAGAATGGAATTATACTAATAAAACAATATACAATAATGGAAAATGTAGTAAAATAAAAGGCACAGTTGGAGATTTATGGCATCCTTTCACGGCTAATGAATCTTCAAGATTATCAGTTTTTTCATCCGATATTTGCACGTGAGTTAAATATTGAAAAAAAAAATTAACTAAATATTTAAATTTTAATTTACTTCCAGATCGATTGATTTAGTGTATGGAAATACGACAGAATTATTAGGAATATATGGAACGAAATTTATCTCACATGAGAATATTTTTGATAATGGAACGAACGATCCATCTCGTAAATGTTATTGTTCTAATGTTGAATGTCAACCTAGTGGAACTTTAAATGTTTCTTTGTGTAAATTCGGAGCTCCTGCCTTTATAAGTTTACCACATTTTTATTTAGCAGATCCAAGCTATGGAGAAAAAATCGAAGGAATGAATCCTAATAAAGTGTTACATGAAACGCATGTTGTATTGGATCCGGTAAATATTTTTTCAGATATGTTTAATATATATATGTTAATATTTTATTTACTTAAAAAATAATTTTCTCTATTTTTCAGGTGATGGGTGTGCCAATGAAGGTTAAAGCTCAATTACAATTAAATTTATTAGTTCGACAAGACGACGAAATAGAGTAAGTAATATTCTTTTTTTTTTTTTTGCAAAAATAATAATCAAAAAGATGAAAATTAAATTTTATTCTAATTTTTTAGACCGTTTAAAAAAATAAATGACACGTTTGTGCCAATGCTGTGGTTTAGCCAAACAGCAGAATTAACTTCACAATATGCAACTCTAGTTAAAATTATCCACATTCTTCCATTATTGGGACATGCAACATTTTATGGAATTGGAGCTATTGGTGCTCTACTTGTGTTTATTGCTGTTTTTGTAAGTCTGAGAGCAAAATGGCGAGAGGAAGAAAATCAAAATTTGTTGTCAAATGACAGAGACAACAATAGTGTAATAACAAATGATGGATGACTGATTATTTCTCATAAATAATATAGAAATCAATTTAGCTTCACGTTTGCGATATGCATCTCTTTCACATCTCAAACAAAAAGATTAATATATCTCCTGAGATGTGTGAAATTCAAAAAGATTCATTACTAATATTTAAAATTTTAAATGACAAAAATCATTTTCATACGCTGAGAGTGAAAAAGAATTATTACTTGCCATTGATATTAACAGTCTTTCGATTATTCATTATTCATTGAATCTTTACAGTCATGTGATATATATTTTCATTTTTAACATAACTATATAATTTTTTTTTAACCATTAGATTTTGTTTTTCATTTAAAAAAAAAAATTAATTTTTACAAATTTTTAAAAGATTATTTTATTTGTTATTATTTTTTAAAGAAAATCATTAAGATAGACTATTATTATTTTTCATTGAAATCAAATACTTAAATGTAATTTTAATGTTTTATAAGATTACATATATGATTTATATTTTTAATGTAATTGTAATTAGAATTTTTTATTATTTAACAAAGATAATTTTTAATTATACTTAAAGTTTTAAATTAAATTATACAACTGGAATTAAAATTTCAATTTTAAATTAAATTTTAATATCACAGTTAAAATACTGATTGTTTTTTTTTTTTTTAATTACATGATTAATTCTAAATTATAATTGTTATTTTAACTGCATTTAAAATAACTTTTAGAAAAGTAGAACAATCTCTCCTGTACATATTTTGTAAAATATATATAACAAAACATATGTTATATTATTATTGTAGGCATTATAAATATATAAAGAAAAAGTAGGAAATTTTGCAAAGGTCTATAAATGTATGAAATTATAAAATGTTTGTTAAAATTTGAAATTGATAAGCATTGTAAGTATTTAATCAAAATAATTTCCTTTAAGATAGCGAATTATTAGTAACAAAACTAAGTGCCTCGTCAAGTACTGTTGAATAATAATAATAAAAAAAAAAATTGTTATAATTATTATTATTATTAATGTAGAAGTTTAAGTCACTTTTTAACTATTCCACTAAACCTATTAGCGATTTTTGAATAAAAAAAAGACTTATTTTTGCTCAATTTTGTTTTATCTTTATTTTGCATTAATATTTGTAAGTCTTTTTACTGTTATACATAATTATTATTATTATTATTATTTCTGGTAATATTAATTTTATTACACTGATTTCTATTTTCCCCTATAGCACAAAATATTCTCAAAATTTTAGAAATATCTTGTGCTGTGGACATTTGATATATTTTTTTTTTTTTTATTATTGCTCTTATTTTAAAATTAAACATTGTATGAAGTGAAATTGAAATAGTATTAATAAGAAAGAAAAATGTTTTGCAAATCCTATTTTTCATTTACAATTATGTAAATTATATTTCATTGTACATAAATTTAAAACGACTTATGATCATATAAAGTTACATTTTAACGATTTAAAAATAATCTGTGATAATTGTTGCAATTGTCTATAATAAAAATATTTTTCGAATTTAAAAAATTAATAATTTTCACTTCTTTTACAAATGAATATTTGATATTTATTAAAATTCATAGAAAAATTTTAATAAAATTTCTATATTTTTCTTATTTTTGAAGAAATTATCTCTTGTATTTATTCAATTTTTTTATAACAATAGTAAACATAACCTTAAAACTCTATTCTGTTTATTTTTATAAATATTAAAAAATTAATAATTCTTACCTGAGAAAATGCAAATATTAAAAATTTGTACTTTTTATACAATAAAATTAATATTTTTACTTATCCAAAAAAAAGTATATACACACACATATTTATACTTATAGTGGTCTCCTAACCTAAAAACTTGAGCAGACGGCATTTCAGCGGTGCGCGTAAATGACGCATGTAAACAATTATTTTTGTACACTTATTTATCAATTATTGTGCAATTTTTATTAAAAAACATTGAAGCTTGAAACTAATTTTAACAATTATATTCATAGAGCACTAAATAAATTGAAGATAACAATAATCTTTGTGAATTTTCTAGTCGTGTTTTAAAAGGTATGTGTGTACATATTGACAATATGATTTTAATTTTGACAGTTGTTTGATAAGAAAAATAAATTTTAAATACAAATACATATATTAGAAATAATAATTACATATTTTTAATTTTTATAATTTAAAATTTAGTGTTAAAAATTATATATATAGTAAATTTTGTACAATAAAAAAGTTTGTCTAATTTTCAATAAATTAGTAAATCTAAATCAACATTATTTTTTTTTAAATGTTTGGTGTAATTTTCTGAATTTTATATATAATTTTAATAATATTTGAATGATAAAAGTCATGTTATGATATTACTGACATAACCTCTAACTGAAGAATAAAACATTAATACATTAGTGGTTATTATTATAGATTTAAATAATAAAAATGTCGGGACAACAGCATCCATTTCCATCAGGATTTCCAAATACTCAACAATCGACTATGCGCAATCAATTTGGAGGCGGTCAAATGGTTTCCAGTTTGATGGGACCACAACAAGGAGGTTGATTTTTATTTATTATGTTTCAAAATATTAAAAATTTCTTTTTTATTTTATTTACTAGATATATGTATATACAAATTAATATTTATTTTTCAGGAATGGTGAATCCTCAACAATTTGGTCCTGGAGTTGGTACAGGAGTTAGTTCAAATCCAATGGGGATGCTTAGTGCCCAACAAGTCCTAGCACAGCAGCAACAACAACAGACAAATGCTCTGCAACAAATGCAACATTTACAACAACAACAACAACAGCAGCAGCAACAGCAACAACAACAAATGCAAATGCAACAACAACAGCAACAAGTTGCTTTGGTTCAACAAAATAGTCAAAGTGGAAGTGCAGCCTCAACTCCACAAACTCCAGTTCCACCTACTCAACCACCTCAAGCACAAAAACAACCCGGTAAAGATATTAATACTGCCAGTCTTTGTCGATTTGGCCAAGAAACAGTGCAGGAAATTGTTAGTAGAACACAGGAATTATTTCAAACTTTAAAAGTTCTTCAACCACCAAATGGTAAATTATTTCAAAATATTTTACAGTTCGGGTCAATCCATTATATTTCGACTGAAGTCGTCGCTGACTAATTTTTAAAAATTATAATACTTTGCAGGAATGATTTTGAAATTATCAAGTTCACGAAATGAAAAGAATTTTATTAAAATTTTAATTATTTATTGCAAAATATGAATTTAAAGTTTATGAGGTGCTGAAAACTGTCAATTTTTTAGCCATTAGAAAATATGCAAAAAAAAAAACAGAATTTAAAATAAAAATAAAAAAAAATTGTTGTAATTTACTAAGAATGAATAAATTTATCATTGGGGCGCTCTACGTGAAGCGGACAACCACAACCTTGTCATGTAAAAAACGTAATTTTTGCAATGCTGCTATTTCCATTAAAATGAATGAAATAAAAAAAAGTACGGGTGTATTTTGTAGTAAATTTAACGATCTTTAAAGTAGTGGAGTTAGTTTTTAAAATAACTTTAATTTTCATTGAAAAGAGTAAAAATGAAATTTTCAAATTCATTTTTCACGACGTTCGACCATTTTAATTTTTTTTTTGTAAATTGCTTAAAAAATTGTTTAAAGTATGTTGATTATGTGTGCCAAATTTCAGAATGTCATCTTTTGTCGTTTAATACTTATTTAATTTTAAAAGCCGTTGTGTTTCAAACAGAAAATGAGTGAATGTCAATTATGGGTTAGACGATTTCAATATATGCAACTGAGTTCACGCTATTGTTAAATTAAGAGACAAGAATTTACTTCAGTTTATAACCACAAAAAATCGTATTATATTTTAAATTTCATCTTTTAATATGAAATAATATTTATAATTAAAAGATGAAATTTAAAAAATAATACGATTTTTTGTGGTTATAAACTGAAGTAAATTCTTGTCTCTTAATTTAACAATAGCATATATTGAAATCGTCTAACCCATAATTGACATTCACTCATTTTCTGTTTGAAACACAACGGCTTTTAAAATTAAATAAGTATTAAACGACAAAAGATGCCATTCTGAAATTTGGCACACATAATCAACATACTTTAAACAATTTTTTAAGCAATTTAAAAAAAAAAATAAAAATGGTCGAACGTCGTGAAAAATGAATTTGAAAATTTCATTTTTACTTTTTTCAATGAAAATTAAAGTTATTTTAAAAACTAACTCCACTACTTTAAAGATCGTTAAATTTACTACAAAATACACCCGTACTTTTTTTTATTTCATTCATTTTAATGGAAATAGCAGCATTGCAAAAATTACGTTTTTTACATGACAAGGTTGGGGTTGTCCGCTTCACGTAGAGCGCCCCCATTATCAATTGATATAATTATTTAAATATGTGAAATAATATATAAAATATGATTTTCAAGTTCACCTGTCAAATAACCTAAATTTGCAAATTTCATCTATTAAATGTGAGAAAGAGAAGTCATTAAATTGAAAAAAATCTTACCAAATATAAAGTACCTGTGACTAACTTTTAGTTTTTCTTAGCACTTTTTTCCTTTTTTCTTCATAAATGTGAAATAAAAAGCAATAAAAATTGGCACTTTGCTTATTTTCACTATTTTCAAATGTAAATAACTTTTTTGGAGAAAACTGAAAAATTACAAAACTTGGGCAATATCTAATTGATCACTAACTACACACACTGGAAAAAAATTCGCTTTGGTCCCGAAGATACTTTTTGAGATAATTAAGTTTTGAACTTTTCACAATTTTTATCAAGTTAATACATTTAGTTTTTTAAGGACGAAGTTAGGTTTTATTGGTTAAACATTTTGAACTAACTTCAATTTTATAAAAATCACATGCATTAACCTGATAAAAATTGTGAAAAATTTAAACATAATTATCTCAAAAAGTATCTTCGGGACCAAAGCGAATTTTTTTCCAGTGTGTGTAGTTAGTGATCAATTAGATATTGCCCAAGTTTTGTAATTTTTCAGTTTTCTCCAAGAAAGTTATTTACATTTGAAACTAGTGAAAATAAGCAAAGTGCCAATTTTTATTCCTTTTTATTTCACATTTATGAAGAAAAAAGGAAAAAAGTGCTAAGAAAAACTAAAAGTTAGTCGCAGGTACTTTATATTTGGTAAGGTTTTTTCAAATTAAATAACTTCTCTTTCTCACATTTAATAGATGAAATTTGCAAATTTAGGTTATTTGACAGGCGAACTTGAAAACCATATTTTATATATTATTTCACATATTTAAATAATTACATCAATTGATAATGATAAATTTATTCATTCTTAGTAAATTACAAAAAAATTTTTTTATTTTTATTGTAAATTCTGTTTTTTTTTGCATATTTTCTAATGGCTAAAAAATTGACAGTTTTCAGCACCTCATAAACTTTAAATTCATAGGGGCGGCTCAAATACTACCAATTTAAATTCTACACCGTTAAAACCCTACACGTCAAACTCTACACAGTTAAATTGCACACCGTTAAACCTTATACAATTTATTTTTTAACTTCTACACACTTAATGTGTACAATGTTAAACTCTACACAAATTTATTTTGTAGTGAAAAATTAATTTCTTTAAATTCAACACGGTTAAATTCCACAACGTTAAACTCTACATATATTTCTTTTGTAATAAAAGATTAATTTTCTTAAATTTAACACAGTTAAATTCCACATCGTTAAATTCTACACATATTTATTTTGTAATGAAAAATTAATTGCATAAAATTCTAAACAGTTAAATTGTTCACCGTTAAACTCTCCATAAAAATCAATTTATGAAAAGTTTGGCGGTGTGCAATTTAACGGTGTAGAATTTATTAAATTTAATTTCATATTATAATATTAGTTTTTGAAGAGTTTAACAATATGCAACTTAACTGTGTAGAGTTAAACAAATTTTATTTTATAGTACAAAATAAATTTATGGAGAGTTTAACGGTGAACAATTTAACTGTGTAGAATTTTATGCAATTAATTTTTCATTACAAAATAAATCTGTGTAGAATTTAACGATGTGGAATTTAATTGTGCAGAATTTAAAAAATAAATAGTTTAGTATTTAACAGTGAGCAATTTAACTGTGTAGAATTTAATCATTTTTATTTTCTATTATAAAATCAATTTGTGAAGAGTTTGGCGGTGTGCAATTTAAAGGTGTAGAATTTATTAAAATTAATTTTATGTTATAATATTAGTTTTTTTAGAGTTTAACAATATGCAACTTAACTGTGTAGAGTTAAACATATTTTATTTTCTATTATAAAATAAGTTTGTGGAGGGTTTAACGGTGAACAATTTAACTGTGTAGAATTTTATGCAATTAATTTTTCATTACAAAATAAATATGTGTAGAATTTAACGATGTGGAATTTAACTGTGTTAAATTTAAGAAAATTAATTTTTTATTATAAAAGAAATATATGTAGAGTTTAACGTTGTGGAATTTAACCGTGTTGAATTTAAAGAAATTAATTTTTCACTACAAAATAAATTTGTGTAGAGTTTAACATTGTACACATTAAGTGTGTAGAAGTTAAAAAATAAATTGTATAAGGTTTAACGGTGTGCAATTTAACTGTGTAGAGTTTGACGTGTAGGGTTTTAACGGTGTAGTATTTAAATTGGTAGTATTTGAACCGCCCCAATTCATATTTTGCAATAAATAATTAAAATTTTAATAAAATTCTTTTCATTTCGTGATCTTGATAATTTCAAAATCATTCCTGCAAAGTATTATAATTTTTAAAAATTAGTCAACGACGACTTCATTCGAAATATAATGGATTGACCCAGTTAACATTGTTTTAAATTTTAAATTTTTTTTTACATAAAAATTATAATTTTAGGAACTGCACAGGGTTCGACAATAGCAAATGAAAAGAAAGCAAAAGTAACGGAACATTTAAGAACATTAAATTTATTATTTAATCGATTGAGATTAATTTATGAAAAATGTAATGAAAGTTGTCAATCGGGAATGGAGTACACACATATTGAAAGTTTGATTCCACTTAAAGAGGAATGGGATATGAAATCAGATGAAAAAAAATCATCAGAAGCTTATCGACTTGTATATGAAGAAAGTAAAGAAGTTATGGAGGTTTGTTGATATTTTATCAATTTTTTTTTTTGACAAAATTTTATTTGTACTATAATATATATATATTTATGTTGCAGCAAGTCATCTTGAAAAACAGGCATCTCAAAGAGATAATTGATCATTTAAGGCGCATTATATCCGAAATAAATACAATGTTAACTATGCGACGATCTTAGAAATAATTTATATGTATATGTATGTTAAGTATAATTGCTTAAAGATATTTTACTGCCTATTTGATATAATAAAAAAAAATAATCGTAAATATAATTTTAACTTATTTTCTCATGGTACATAAAAGAAGAATTAATTTACCTTTCGAATATATCCATTTTTTCTTTAAAATGTTAATTGTTCAATTTCCATAAAAATAATATCTGTTGATCTAAGAATTGCTGCCGGTATTTTACCAAGAGGTGTTGTTAAATTACGAACAAATATCTCGAGACAATCGGTGTCACATCCTCGAAATTCTGCAGAAACTTTGGTATTTTCGTGCATAAAAAATTTTGTTTCTTTACCTATATAAAAAATAAAAATTTTTAATTATTAACGAAAAATTGAAGAAAAAAAATTAATTGGGAAATAAATTTTGTTTATTATTTACCAACGACACCGGTAATTACTCTCAGGAAACGTTCACGTAAAAGTGAACGAGCTTCTTGTTTTTCTTTTGTAGCAAAATTATATTTCACATCAATTATATTTTCATTTAAATTAGATTCATGATCCTCTTTCATTTTGCTATTTGCTGTTTCAACTTCAATTGTTTTTGACAGAAAAAGTAAATACTTATTTGAGGTTAGGTTAATGTGTCAAGCAGGGATGTGAAGGTCATGGTCTCTCTCTCTCTCTTTTGTCCTTTAAAAAGGTATTAAAGAAAATCAAACAGGTAATTTTATTTTTTTACTATTTTATTTCTATTGTTAATATTTTTTTTTTTTTTTTAATTATATTCAAGTAGATTCCAATGTCACTGGATCTTTGGAATATTCTTTCGATAAAGATAAATTTTAGTGAAAACTTAATTGCCCACAAAAAAATGTTGTTTAAAAGGAAGAAGAAAATTAAGGTAACGTTTTTAAAATTTTTATTTAAATTTTGTTTTATGAATAATATTAAATAAGATGCTTCCCATTAATTTAAAATAAAAGAATATTTAAATATAAAAGAAGAAAATCAAATTCTGTCGCCAAAAAAATTCAATCTTGCGATAAATTTTATTTTAAAAAAATTATAAATAATTCTGGAAATTTTTTTATCAGACTGATTAAATTATTTATAAATTCAATTGCAATTTGTATTTAAAAGTTTTTGTATATCAATGAAATGAAAATCAAGCTGAATAAACAAAATCTGCATCAATTTTTTTATACGTTGGAATATTTAATATTTTTGTTGACTATAAATATGCATCTAAATTTTGGAAAAAAAACATTTTTAAACCATATTTTCAAAATGAAATTACATATTTTTTTCTGTTTATTTCTCATTTTTTTTCTAACCGAAGGAGGTGAGAAATTTATTTAGAAAACATTTTTTTCAACTACTGTGTAAAAAAGAAGAAATAAATGAATAATTTTAATAAATTTTTTCAGATTCTATTTGTTATGATAAATTAGGATGTTTCGATATGAATTATCCTTGGTTTACATTACTTAGACCATTTCCATCACCAATGTCACCGGAGAGAGTTGGAACAACTGTTTATTTTGCCAATAGGTAAATTTATTAAAAATAAAACAGAATATTAAATCATTCAAGTTTTAGAATTTTTTTTTGTTTTATTTTAAATTGTTTAAAATAATAATTATTGATCAAGAGAATAAATATATATTTTTTTTTCAGAAAAAATCGAGAAAAAATAAAAATTCAAACGTGGCCTCACATTAAAGTTGCTTCTTATTATAAAGCAAAGAGACCAACAGTAATTTTAACACACGGACTCAGCAGTGACGCAAATACAGAATGGATGAAAAATCTTACCGATTCTTTTTTATACAAGGTATAATATTTTAGAATTAAATTCTAATTCCCTTAAAAAAATATATATATAATAAATAATTATTATAGAAATATATTCGATTAAAAAATGAATAATTATTTTCAGAATGATTATAATATTTTTCTAATTAATTGGGAAGAGGGTGCTTCTTATTTGTATTGTCAAGCAGCTTCAAACACAAGGATTGTTGCTGCTGAAATTGTGAGGTAAAATATTCAATACATTTTATAGTTACTTCATAATTCAAAAATTATTTTTTCTTTTTTTTCAGATTAATTCGTCATTTAGAATCACATTATTTTATCGATTTGTCAAAATTCCATCTAATGGGTCATAGTTTAGGTGCCCATATTATGTCCTACGTTGGAAAACAAATTAAAGGAATTGGTCGACTTACAGGTGACATCCCTTTTCTTTTTCTTCTTCTTTAAAATATAATTTATCGTTTGCAATAATTGTTTATTTAATTTTACAGCTTTAGATCCAGCACAACCTGGTTTTCAGGGAAAAAATGCTTTAGTGAGATTAGATAATGCTGATGCAAAATTTGTCGATGTTATTCATACTGATGGAAAACCATTTTGTCCATTTTTGGGCCTTGGAATGGAAGTCAGCGTTGGAAGTGTTGATTTTTTCGTTAATGGAGGATTAGCACAACCTGGTTGTATATTTGATGGAAAAATTTACAATATTACATCAATAAAAGATATTGTAAACATTACCATGGACGGTAAGAAAAAAAAATAATCTTAACTTTCAATTTTTATGAAAAATTACAAGAACGTATTTTTTTTGCCAGTTATTTACAATTTAGCCACATGTAGTCATTCGCGAGCTGCTCGTTATATGGCTGTGGCAATTCGGGACGAATGCAAAATGTGGGGATATCGTTATAATGCGACATATTCAAATCATCGTTACGAGAATTTTATTTTAAAAGAATCATGTACGCCAGATCATTGCAATCTTATGGGCCTTGATACTCATAAATATCGAGCTCGAGGAAATTTTGCAGTAAAAACAACTGGAAATTATCCCTTCTGTGGTGAGTAAATTTAATAAAAGAGAAATTTCTTTTTAAAATTAAAAATGAAAATTATTTCAATTGAAAGTTTATTTTTCTAATTAAACATTTCAAAGTTGTCATTAAATTTAACTAATTACAATTTTTCTAGTTAAACTTTAACTAATTACCATTTTACTAATTAAATATAACATTATTTAAAAGTTCAAATTATTATTTAATTATTGATTAAAAAAAATTTTTTTTTTAAATGTTTAATAATTAAATAATCAGATAAGAAATTTTAATAATTAAATAATAATTTAAACTTAAATTTCAATGAAAAAAATTAATTTTAGTCCAAGATGACAAAGCGACGAAACTAATGGACAAACCAAAATGGTCTCCATGGGATATAATTTGGGGCAAGTGAAAGAAATTGTGAATTAAATTTTTTAAATTATTAAAAAAAAAAAAAAAAAAAAATTAAATTAATTTAAAAATCTTAGGAGACAATACGATATATTTCATAAACATGAAAATTGTAAAAGCACGATTTAAATACATTAAATGTATAAATATAACTAGATTTATGAGTGATTTGTACTTCTCAGTCATTGACAACATACACTCGACTCGACTATGAGTTTCCATTGTCGTTAGATTTTTTTTTTTTAAATTGTTTCTTTTTAAAAGGAATGAGACGTGAAACCGCGAATCGAGTGACGTTAACGATTATCATCGAGCTAAAATTTTCTGCTTTAACGAACTAAAGGGTTCACTAATCAATCTTCTACAATTCGAGTAATGTCGTAAATCAACGAATCTGAGGAAATGGAATAGTTAATTATAATTAAAAAAAAAAAAAAAAAAAAATTGCAATTAAAACTAAAAAAAAAAACAAACAAAAACAATTCATGACAATCAAAAACAAAAGTCTCTTGTATAAAAGCCATAAAAGCACTAATCACACGGTAAGTACATAGTAATGACGATTGAATATTATTTGAAAAAGATTCATTTTTTTTTCTTAGCATTTCCTGAGACACTACCGAAATAATTATTTAATACTGGCTCACTTCTGGATCATCATTACCAGAAACACTCGCCTGTTCAAGAACTTGCAACAGTTTCTGCATCTCCAATGAATCCGATGAATTGTCCAATGTTCGTTCCAAAGCTCGCACATACGACATGCATGTTCGACCCTCGTGATCTAAATTTTGTGGATTCGCTTTGTGCTGAAAAATTGTTAAAAATTTAAATAATTGAAAATTTTTAAATTGATAATGGAAACAAAAAAATTTAATACCCAAATTAATAATTGAGCCATTGCTAGATTTCCAGTTGCACAAGCAAGATGAAGAGGCGTTCTTAAATCTTCAGCACTGACGGATGAATTAATGTCCTCGTAATTACATCTAGTTAGGCACAATGTAAATGCTGTCATATCTCCCCTAAAATTTTTATTTAAAATTTAATATTTACAAAAATTTAATTTATTTCATTCATCATTTTTTACCTGCAAACTGAGTCGATTAGAAGTTTTCCAAGAGAAATATTTGGATTCATTGGAGGTAAAAACAATCGTTCCTCATATTTCCATCTTGCCCATTGTTCTTTTTCCTCTCGTGTTGATTCTGTATTTGGTTTTTGCTTTCCATTTAGACAAAACTCCCAAACGCTGTTGGCTATATCATTTCCAAGCGCTAACATCACACTTAATTGGCCGGCGCTAAAAATTGAAAATAAAATAACAAACACATAAATTATTAGTTTCTAATTTTTTTTTTTCTAATATACTTACGACCAATCGTCCAGATCTAGGGATCTGACTTTGGATATATGAGATCCTAAATTCCTGTGAATTCCAGAGCATTCGATGCACATTAAAACACCAAGATTTAAACTTGCCCAATCTGGATCTAATTAAAAAATATTAGAAATTTTTTTTTAATCGGTAAGTTCTTTAAATTTATTTTGATTTTAAATAATTTTTCTTACTTGGTGCTCCACAATCAACACAAGCATCATTACCGGAGACTTTATTTTTAATACAATGCATTTTAAAGGCGTCAGTCTCGTTTTTTCGATCGGCATCACTGTTTTGTAAACTAGATAAAATTTGCTGCTCAATCGCTGCAATCCAACAGTCCCTGTCCTCAATACTGCTCGCTTCAAAATGCCATGTTTTATTTTCCAATGAAATTATTGAAAATTCAAAACTGTCTTCTGTAAACAATTTTTTCATCAAGACTTTGCATTGGTGAAATTCAAATGTAAAAGTAATTCAGTAATTTCAAAAAAAAAAAAATTACCAACCATGACTGCTCGTTGCCTTGGAACCTTTTGGAGTTTTTCCTGGTACTTTAACAGTCACATATTGTAAAAGAATCTCCTTGCCATTGGAATCTTCCATGTAATCCTGGTAGAAAATAAAATTTTTAAAATTCTAAAACTAAATTTAATAAAATTGAATTAAAAATAAAAAATTACATGTAAACTCGAATGATAAGTTAATCGTCCATCTTCCAATAAAGTTACGTATTTTTTCTTCCATTCTTTCAATGATTTACTACTTCTTTTAAAAAGATATCCTTGCTTCACTGGAATCTCACGTCCAACACCCATTTCTCCCATGTACTTTTCTTTTTTCGATGGCGTAAATAAATTCGATTTTCTACGAAATTTTCTGTTACAAAAAAAAAAATTTGTATTTTTAAAAAAAACCTCAATATAAAATTTAATTTTTTTTTTTTTCAATTTTAACAAACCTGATCGTTGTTGGAGTTAAAATAGAAGATCGAAATTCCGTGTGAGAATTTTGTGCATATTGAAAACTCTCATTGGCAACGGGCGATTCATTTTGCGGTGGATTGTGCCGTGTCACTTCAGGACGTAATTCCTCACTTTTTTCCGATATCTAAAAATTAAAATTTCATTTTCAGAAAATATAATATTTTTGTTTATTAAGAATAAATTTTGTTTTCTTACATGAATTTTAATAGGACTGTTTGTGTTCAATTCTTTGGCAGGTAGCTGAAAATTTTTTACATTCGCAGGCGAGCAAAAATTTGAGTCACTTTCGATCATATGCTGTCCATTCGATCGTGACTGTTTTGTGTAAACTTTTTGGATAATCTTCTCACATACTAAAAGAAAAATTGAATGAGAAGTATTAAAAAATTAAAAAGAAAAAAAATTTACTCTATATTAATTAAATTATTACCATCTTGAAAAACTCGCTCAACATTTAGGCCATAAATCGCACACGTCTCATAATACGAACATCTCAAATCGCAGGCAAGTTTTCGCGGCCTCACATCTTTTATGACACGCGGATTGCTCTCATTTATTGAATCTGAAATTTTAATTCACGATTATTTTAAATAAATTATTTTAAATATTGTAATAAAATCAATAATAAAAATTGTTTTATTATTTGATAATTAATATTGACTATATATATATGTAAAGTACCTTGTACACCGACAAGAATTTTCGGAACGTCAACCATATTTCGAAATGAACACATTCGATTATAATAGCTACATGCTATAGAAAAACTCTCTTCACTCTCGACACTAAAGACAATTAGTACAGCATCAATCCATGAAGAAAACTAGAATTCAATAAAAATATATAAATTAACGGAGTGGCTATTTCACCCGTCGCGGGCGAATTAATTCATTTCTCTTATTTCGCCCACGACGGGCGAAATAGATGCGCTTGTGTGAAGTGGCTATTTCGCCCGTCGAAATAAATGTGTTTTAAAAGACGGGCGAAATAAGAAAAATAGATTACTTTGCCCGTCTAAGAAAAAGTCGAATATCTGCAAGACGGGCGAATATATTATTTCGCCCGTCAGGTGATAAAACAAAAACGGACGAAATAATTAAAGTACAATATTTCGCCCATCAGGTATAAATAGCTGTTGGATTTTTGTTATTAAAAATTAATTTTACAATTAATTTGAAGTTGTGAAAAATAATTATTATATATTCAATAATGACTTTATTTAAAGAAGGTTATAAAAATATGGTTTTTTAATACATATATATATATGTGTTGTTAAATTTACATGCACTGAAAAAAGATTTATTTGTTTCAAATAATCAATAATAATTTATGTATTTGAAAAAAATACCATTTAAGTGACTGAAATAATAATCATTTAATATAAATAAATATTTATTTGATATTTTAGTCAAGTGACTGATTATTTGAATTAAATAAATCTTTTTGCAGTGTGTCTTTAATTTTCGTATTTGAATAAATAAAACAAGATACGAAAAAACTATATTCAATTATAAATTAAAAATAAGCGTACTATAATAATTAGGTTAAATAAATTTTAGACAATAGCTTATAAAAATATTTTATTATTTAAAGTTCTGCAAAAATTCGATTATTTTATGATTCATGTCAATAAAAAAAATTAAATAATTATTTTTATAAAATATCTTTAATACACTCAGATCTTAAATCAACTTTAAGGGAAAAAAAATTTTTAATCGTTTTACATTACAAAAAATGTCAGAAACAGTCGATTTTTAAATTTATTTCAACGGAAGGGACCAGTAAAATTTTAACCTTTCAAAATTTATATTGTCTATTTAATTTTTTTTCTGGCATTATTTAGAGTTTAAAATTATTCTAAGTTATTGAAATTTGAAAAAAAATATTTTTGTCAATTTTAGAATTAAAATTTTTTTTTGAAAGTTACAAAATTTTAAAAACCAGAAAATTATATATACGATTGATTATTCGGAATTATAAAAGAAAGTATGTATAAATATTGCCGATGAAATATAATATAAATTGTCGAAGAAGTTTAATTTTAAAAGTATTGACAGTAAAATTTAAAATATATTAATATAATTTTATTTTTGGCCAGAAATTCAAATATTTTTTAAAAAAATATTTGGATTTCCGGCCAAAAATGAAATGATATTAATATAATTTCAAAATCCAAAAAATTTAACAATTTTGAAAAAAGTAAAATTTAAACCATAATAAAAATTTAAGTTTTTTTTACAGTTTTATAATTATTTTATGAAAATAATTATGTAATCTTTTTTTTACTTACTAGTATCATAAAATAATCAAAATTTTTTTTCAAAATTTAAGTAATAAAATATTTTTATAAGCTACGGAATATTGCGTCTAAAATTTATTAAACCTAATTATTATATGTGTGCTAATTTTTAATTGTACAATTTATAATTGAATCTACTTTTTTCGTATCTGATTGTTATTAATTCAAATGCGAAAATTAACAAGTAAATTTAACAACACGTTATATTAAAAACCTTAATTTTTTATAACCTTTTTTAAATCAAGTTGTTATTCAATATAATAATTATTTTTCAAAACTTCAAATTAATTTTAAAATTAATTTGACAAATATGCAACAGCTGTTTATACCTGATGGGCGAAATATTGTATTTACAATTAGATTATTTCGATTGTTTTTTTTATCACTTGACGGGCGAAATAATCTATTTTTCTTATTTCGACCGTCTTCTAAAACACATTTATTTCGACGGGCGAAATAGCCACTTCACACAATCGTATCTATTTTGCCCGTCGCGGGCGAAATAAGAAGAATGAATTAGTTCGCCCGAGCGGGCGTAATAGATGCAGCCATAAATTAAATTATAGATTTGTCAATAAATTTACAATTTTTTTTTTTTATTTAAAACCAAAAATTTTCTTTTACCTGAGATTCGGGAACTCCACCTTCGTCTCTGATCAATAGTAAAAAACTTTGATCGTTAATGAAAATTTCTTTTTTAAATCGACCACCTTCTGGAGATTCTTCATGCATAAATGAACCTGTTAAGTACCTATGTACTAATGCTGATTTTCCTGAATCGGAAGAACCGATTATTCCTAAATGTAATTCCGGCACGTCTCTTGCAAGTGTCCATTCATGGCTATTTACAAATGAATCTAAAAAAAAAAAAATAAACGGTATTTTATAATAAAGAAAAATCGTTTTAATAGAAAGTAAAAAAAAAAACATCGAGTAATTTCTCTTTTCACATGAATTTTAAATGAAATAACTAGAAAGTAGAATGCCAAAAATAAAACATTTTTAAATTTTCCTCTGACATTTTATAAAAACTTTATTTTACAAATTAGCTTGAAATATAAAAAGCACAAGTTTTCCTTAACCCAGATTTTATATCTCTCATACACGTCAGGCAAAATTCTCAACAATTCTATTAATAAGTCAAAACAATTAAACGCTAATTACTATATCATTATTCGTAAGTTTTTTTTATTTCGCATTCAACTCGAGCAAAATATTTCGGCTGCGTATGTATATATATATATGCATTGTTATTTTGAAGGTGAAATTTCTAATTAAAAATTAGTTATATAAGAAAAAAAAAAAAAATTGAAATGCAAATTCTAAATATGGTGAGGCGTAAATGAAAATGAGGAGTGTCTCGTCAAAAAGATAATTACGTGGGACTGAAATGACTTTTAATTAAATTGATGACAAATGCTTACCTTCAATAGCAACAACATGCTCTCGAATTTGTTTGGCAATATGTGTATCTGTCAATAGATCAATGAGATCGTAAATCGCATAAATTGATGGATGAACACTTTCGAAACGTTGAATTTCTTGTCGAATCGCGAGGGAATTGTCGTGGCCACTTTGACCCGTTGTCATTTTTAAGGCTGAGCAAATTTTTTTTTTTTTTTACAATAAATAATTAATGTCAAATATAAGTTGTTATTAAAATGCAACTTGAAGGTGCATTGTTGTGTACGTGGCTTTTTTTTGTTTTTGCAAAACACACAATTGTTTCTACATCATATCGTGAAGAAAATCAAACGGTCGATATTGTACGTTTGTCAAATATTTATAAACATAACTAATTGAGAAAAATAGGTTATGTGTGTGTGGTTATTTCAACTTTATTTCGCATATGAAAGCAAAACAAGAGATGCGCCTATTTCCGTCTCCTTTTTTTCCCTTTCTTTTTTTTCAAACAAACAGCGCATATATATTGCGCATGTTGTAATTGGTCTATGGTCCTTGTTTTTTTTTCCTACCCAACCCTGTGAACGATATTTAGTTGATAGTTATTCCATCTATGTTATACATTTTCCTTGACTGTTACTGACAGTGACAGCTGACATTTGTATTTTTAATCTTTTGTTAATTTTTTCAATTTATTAAATGAGAGAAAAGCAATAAATGAACGTATGTTTTGTAAAATTTCGTGTAAAATTGGAAAAAATTATTAGAAACAAATTTTGTAAATTTTGAAATTATCAAAAATGTAACTTTTTTTTTGACGAGAAAAAGAAGGCAAAATGCAAATAATTCCATTGACAGTATTAAAGGGATTTATCTAAAAATTGAATCATGTAAGAGTAATTTTAAACATGAATTGAAATATAATTTTTTCATTTTATTGTTATAAGAGAAAATTGAATATATTTTTTTAGATCTTGATAATTTAACTTTAATTAAATTTTATTGATTTATTAATAGGTTGTACATGATGATGCGTATCAATTTTAAAACAATTCTTTTGATACTTGTTGTTGCTGTATTGAGTTCAATATTAACATCTTGGAATAATTGTGGAAATAATTCATTTGAAAACAATGTTGAATGGAAAACACACTCGCAGCATAAAGTGAGTATTTTTATTATTTTTTAATAGGAAATAATAATTTTTTATTGAAATTTTTTCAATGATTAAATGTGAAATAATATTTTTAGGATCGAACAAGCAACGAATTGGGTTATCAAGAGATTGATTGTTATATAAATGGAGGTTATTCCATTGGTTGTCGTAAAGAGGGGGATGAAGTTTATATTCCCTTTTCTTTTATTCATAAATATTTTGAGGTATAATTTCTTTAAAATAAACAAAAAACTTATATAAAAATTATAATAATTATTAAAATTTTAGATTTATGGAAAATTAGCCACATACGATGGTTTAGAGAGATTCGAATGGTTTCATAGCTATTCGAAAATAGTGAATCCAAAAGGAAAATACGATTCAAGGGGTGTGTTTATGACATTTGAAAATTATAATGTCGAAGTTAGAGAACGAGTTAAATGTGTTAGTGGAAGCGATGGAGTTCCAATATCAACACAATGGGAGAGTCAGGGCTATTATTATCCCACTCAAATTGCACAATTTGGTTTATCACATTATAGTAAAAATCTTACTGAACCTGAACCATATAAAAAAGTAATTGAAGATGCTGAACGCGTGAGACAAGATTGGATTGTCCCTCAGGGTTCATTGATTACTCGTATTTATGATAAAAATGTAAATAGTTATGTATTAAAATATGCAACACCCGAAACAAGTGCATCGGGAATATCATTAAGGCTAGAACATGTTCTTGATTTTGTATTTAAATTTGATCTTTACACAAAAGACAATGGAAGTATTACTGTTATATTACAATCGAGAGAGAAGAAAGACGTTTATTATTTACATTATACAACTAGCAATATTGTTTTGCAAGCGTTTAATAATCATGTTCATTATGGCATTGGCTTGTTGAATAATCAATGGCGACGATTGACGAGAGATCTCGTCGTAGACTTACACAAAGGACTGAATATTAGTGATAAAACCCGTAAACAAATGTCCAGATCAAAGTTGAAGGTAATTTATTAATTTTTTCCTTTCATTGTTCCGAAAAAAAACCAATTCTTTGTTTTTCAGGTGATAAAAATTATTTTAAGCGGATCTGGAATGATAGACAATATAACATTATCAACCAGTGAACATATGGAACAATTTTATGATGCCGCTCGATGGTTTGTTGCAAATCAAAATATTACATCAGGCGGTTGGCCTAATCCAGTGAGAAGAAAAGTTTCCAATGGCATGGCTATTCTTGAACCCGGCTGGTTAATAATATATTTATATAGAGAAAAATTTAATTTAAAAAAAAAAAGTAATGTAAAATATTTAACAGGTACTCGAGTATGGGACAAGGACATGCAATTTCAGTATTGTCACGTGCTTATTATCATTCTGGTGAGGATAAATATTTGAATGCGGCAATTAGGGGCTTGAGACCATTTAAAGTATCATCAATTAAGGGTGGAATAACGGCATCATTCTTAGGTAAATATATTTGGTATGAGGAATATCCAACAACACCGCCATCATTCATTCTCAATGGATTTATATATTCGCTTATTGGATTATACGATTTAAAAAGTATTGCATCGGGAAAAGATGCAAATGATGCGCTAAAACTTTTTGAACAAGGTATGACATCTTTAAAAAATATGTTAACATTATATGATACCGGCTCTGGTACAACATATGATTTACGTCATTTTACATTGAAAACTGCTCCCAATATTGCACGTTGGGATTATCATTCAACACATATCAATCAAATACTTTTACTCAGTACTATTGATAATGATCCAATTTTTACGACAATCACCGAAAGGTGGATTGGTTACATGAGTGGAAAAAGGGCCGCACATAATTAATTATGATTTTTGTTTATAAAGCACAAATTTAAAGATATTTAATTTATTTATTTATTTAATTTTCATATCGCTGAGGTTTTTCATTAGGAATTCGATTTAAAAAAAAAATGGTTATTTACCATTGATTGTGATATATTAACATTCTCGGTAAAAAATTTTAAAAAAGACCTTGAATTTTTTTTTCAATTAAGATTAAAAAGTAATTTTTATTACTGTAGTTAATTAAATTAGTTATCAAATAAGTTGTAAATATTTACAAATCTAAGTTATTTCTCTCATTAAAAAAAGGCACAAATATGTTGTTAATATATGAAAAATCTAGCAAAGTACATAAAAATGCCATTTAAGTTTAATTATTCCATACATTAAAAAGGTAATTCTAATTTATGAATTTTATTTAATTTTTCTAATGAAAAAAGACACTGTTAGTAACTTAAAAATATTGAAAGATCCAATAAAAAAAAAAAATTAAGGGATCCATATAAAGCGAGAATTACTAAGAGCCGCGCCTTATTGTCATAGAATTTTTATTAAAAAAAAAAAATAAATATATTTCTCCCATTGTTTTCTACTTGAAACGTGAAATCCGTAATAATAAGAAATTTGCTCAATTTTTATTACAAAAAAATGTATTAATAAAATGCAATCTGCATTCATATTTAATATTTCTGAAAAATCTTTTTTTTTTCGAGACATCGTAATTTATTTAAAAAAAATATTTAGTGAAACAATTGGTAACATCATGAGTCAATTTCTAATATATGGAGTGCTTAATAATCACATTATACATTATGTAAATAGTAAATATCTTCTTTTATGCGTATTTAAATAGTGCCTAAAATATTCTGCAGGTACCTGTACTTGTTGCTATTTACTTAACTTTCTTCATTAATAATAATTTTAGCAAAGACTTTAAAAAATGTCAAGTCTAATTTTCTTTATACGTTTCTAAAACGTTTTATAAAAAAAAAAAAAATTACTACCACTTGGAATAGACTATTTTTTAATTATCCATAAAATGTCAGAATAATAAATTATCAACATAGAAAATTGGGGACAAATAATTATATAAATATATATATCTATAGAGAGAAAAATAATAATTTTCATGAATTTTTCTATTCCTCTTATGTAGGAACAATGTAATCTATTATAGAGACTTTTCATCTCAAAAATTGTAAACATTTTCTGAGCAAACTAGTTTAAAAAGTTTGCACTTTGATATGAAATTAATCAACAATTTTGAAAAAATAGATAAATAATTTTCAGATATGTATTTAACAATTACTAATATTATTAGAAACAATAATTATTACATAAAGCATGAATACAATATTTGAAAATATTAAATACTAACTTTCCTTAAAGTTCATTTTTTTTAATGTTTTTATCACTAAAAAATTGTTTTATTACACCATTTTTCATTTAGTATTTTAATAATTTACTAATTAATTAATTTAAATTTAACTCTCATTGAAGTTTATTGTTATTGATTATCATTAAATTTGTCATTTAAATAGTTTATTCTACAGTTAAAGTAAATAATAATCTCATAAAGAGAATATGTAAAAGAAACTTAGAAATATGTACAATAAATTATTATCTACTTACGTCACTACTAAACTTCAGTAATGAAATCGTAAATACTTATCTCATAGAGGCCGGTTTTTCTTAAATTAAGAAACTTAATTTAAAATCTATTTTTTATTATTATTACACAATTTTTAAGTGTGTTTAAAAGAAAAGAAAATTATTTATAATTTAAATAATATTCAAGAAAAAATAGAAAATCACGAATTTTTCGAATTTCTTGTATAATTTAATTTATTAACTCTCATTTTTTTTTTACATTATTCGTTATATATATGCATATTTGCGTTGTGAATTCTAGAATTTAGTTTTAATTTGACGCTATTTTTTTTATAAATCGCATTATTCAACGATAATTTAAAACAATATAATAAAATATATAAGAGTTAAAGAATCAACTTTTGATAAATATAGCTTGGAAAAGAGAAATATTAAAATACTTACGATAATGATGTGTGTGACAAAAATGTATTAGAATTAGAGAACGAGTGATAGACTTAATAAGTATCAAAATAATTAGACGAACAGGGTAGTTTGTAATATATTGGTGATATTAGGTGTTCATTAGATTATCAATATATTGAATACCTTCGCATGATTTATATACTATGATGCTCATTAAGAAAAAAAAACGTGAAATTTCTTCTTTGAAATCAGTTTTTTTTTTCTTCATTAAAATAATTCGAATATTAATATTTATTGCAAATAGGGTTGTGAAGATGATTAACATTTCTAATAAATTTGCTTTTAAAATTTGAGGAAATTAGTTTTGTAATTATATTATTATATTATTATATAATAAATAGTAATAATCATAAAAAAAAAATTTAATTACAATTATCATAAAATAATTATTTTATTCCTTAATAACTTCTCAACCCTAATTGATTTTAATATTCTTTTTTTTAAACATTCCACTAGAAATAAGAATTCTTTTTTACAAAAAAAAAAAATAAATAAATAAAATTCAAGTGCTTCGAATATTTTAGTAGACGTCAATAATAATTTGTAAAACTGTATTAACTGCGAAAAAAAGTGAAATGTAGTATTTTTACACGTAAAGTATTTTTTAGATCTGTACATATCGAGATTTTAAAACACTTTAATTTGTAAAATTTGTAGAAGAGTGACAAAATATATTTAGTGTTAATCTCGAGTGGTACAGAATTATAAACATGAAGCTATAATGAAATCTTAACTCTTCTTAAACATGTAATCATTCATAATAAATATTATATGTGCACTCATAAAATATTTATCACTTTTATCAGAATTATACTTATAACTTGAATGAAATTAATTTTTTTTTATTAAAAAATAAAAAAAAGCTTCACTTATTAATAGCTAGAATATTTATTAAATTTCTAACAATTAAATGCAAGGAATAAAATTTAAATGTTTTTTTTTTTTAGCAATATTTAACAAAACTCAATCATCCAAATCACAGAAAAATCTAAACGAACGAACAATAAAAAAATACTCTTTACATATAAATTATTATTGACTAGTGAAAATAAATCTTCCATGTTATTTTAAATCTCTGAATATCAAAAATTTCCATTATCTTTCAACTTTTTTCTTCCATTATTTTTTTTTTTCTATGAAATGTTTACAAAGTTGTAAATTGTTTGAAAATTTGATATTTAAAATTTTTTAAATTGAAATTGATTACTTTTGTTTGCCTAATTTAAAATCGTTTGAATTTAATGACAAATCGCCGGTACTGCATGGGATTGTCGGTATATTTGAACCTTGAATACTGAAACCATGATAATCTTCGTGAATTGAGGTAGTTGGCTTAATTGGTGATGGTAAATTTGAATCGGCAATTTGTATTTCATCTAATAAACTGTCGGTGGAACTTTTTTCTGCCAATGGACAATCGACCATATCATTTTGTGAATCCAAACTAATGAGACTTGTCTCATCATCTCCCTTGCCACAATCGAGAGTATAATTACTTGCGAATGGTGGGAAATCGAATGTTGGTGATGGAGTCACAAAATCAAGTGATACTTTCGAACTATCCGATTGTATATCTTCTTTTAAATCAGCTGATTGTGAATAAATCTGCAATATTTTTAAACTATTTTCACGAATACTATTAATTAATTATATATCATTATTATTAATTATTATCAATAGTTCATGTTTTAAAAAATAGTAAATTTTAATTTCACCTGAGGAACAATAGGAGGAGGTAATTGGTAGCTCTCAATATCCTCGCAATCCAAATTAGTTGGAATTTTTTGACTTCTCGTTATTATAAGAGGCGTTTTTGAAATAACAGCATTAACCTCTGCTTCTATTCTTTCTCTAAATTTAATCATATTATTTTGCAATTCATACGCTTCATTTACAATATTTTCGTTCTTTTTCTTCAATTCATCCAATAGTGTTACGTCTTCACACATTAAATGAAGATTCTGAAATTTATAATATTTTATTTCAAAGTTTATTTTTAATGAATGAAAAAAAAAAAAGAAAAATACCTCGCATATCATTAACGCGGAATCCCAAGTGTTTGCTGGTACTCGTTCACCGGACATATAGGCATTAAAATCCTTTTCTGTCATATTTAAAGATTCAGCTGTCAAGTTTTCAATAAACGAAACAGCGCAGCACTGAAAAAAAAAATTCATCATATAAATTCAAATTCGTTATAAAATTAAAAATTTTTTCTTTATCAAAAACATACCAAATTGGTGAAATAATAACCCGCTTCGCCTGTCATTAATCTACTTGCATTGCAAAATCTCGTTATAAAATTGATATTACTCTTTAGTCTCACTGGATTTGCTTTTAAAACAATAAAAATTAATGCTGGCAAAAATTCATCAGCCGAAGCGGGACCACCGACCGATTGTTGTAAAAGTAGAAAAATATTTCGACAACAACGTACAATGCAAGCTAATTTTTCTTGCGGTGCCTTCGATGCATCCATATTCAAAAGATCTAAAATTAATTAAATTCAGTAAATGTTTTATTATTCCACTATCAAGGATAATTAAATAAAAAAAATTATCAACCTGTTATAGAAGTGTAAACCAATTCGCGAACTTCAGCGCTTGTTTCATGAATTCTACATTCCAAATTCTTGCCACTCACCCAATTTAGTTGACGTATTCTGTAGGTAAAAAAATTTTTAATTTAAATCTTATTTTTTTGGCTGCATCTATTACGCCCGCTCGGGCGAACTAATTCATTCTTCTTATTTCGCCCGCGACGGGCAAAATAGATACGATTGTGTGAAGTGGCTATTTCGCCCGTCGAAATAAATGTGTTTTAGAAGACGGTCGAAATAAGAAAAATAGATTATTTCGCCCGTCAAGTGATAAAAAAAAAACAATCGAAATAATCTAATTGTAAATACAATATTTCGCCCATCAGGTATAAACAGCTGTTGCATATTTGTCAAATTAATTTTAAAATTAATTTGAAGTTTTGAAAAATAATTATTATATTGAATAACAACTTGATTTAAAAAAGGTTATAAAAAATTAAGGTTTTTAATATAACGTGTTGTTAAATTTACTTGTTAATTTTCGCATTTGAATTAATAACAATCAGATACGAAAAAAAATAGATTCAATTATAAATTGTACAATTAAAAATTAGCACACATATAATAATTAGGTTTAATAAATTTTAGACGCAATATTCCGTAGCTTATAAAAATATTTTATTACTTAAATTTTGAAAAAAAATTTGATTATTTTATGATACTAGTAAGTAAAAAAAAAGATTACATAATTATTTTCATAAAATAATTATAAAACTGGAAAAAAAACTTAAATTTTTATTATGGTTTAAATTTTACTTTTTTCAAAATTGTTAAATTTTTTGGATTTTGAAATTATATTAATATCATTTCATTTTTGGCCGGAAATCCAAATATTTTTTTAAAAAATTTTTGAATTTCTGGCCAAAAATAAAATTATATTAATATATTTTAAATTTTACTGTCAATAATTTTAAAATTAAACTTCTTCGACAATTTATATTATATTTCATCGGCAATATTTATACATACTTTCTTTTATAATTCCGAATAATCAATCGTATATATAATTTTCTGGTTTTTAAAATTTTGTAACTTTCAAAAAAAAATTTTAATTCTAAAATTGACAAAAATATTTTTTTTCCAATTTCAATAACTTAGAATAATTTTAAACTCTAAATAATGCCAGAAAAAAAATTAAATAGACAATATAAATTTTGAAAGGTTAAAATTTTACTGGTCCCTTCCGTTGAAATAAATTTAAAAATCGACTGTTTCTGACATTTTTTGTAATGTAAAACGATTAAAATTTTTTTTTCCCTTAAAGTTGATTTAAGATCTGAGTGTATTAAAGATATTTTATAAAAATAATTATTTCATTTTTTTTATTGACATGAATCATAAAATAATCAAATTTTTGCAGAACTTTAAATAATAAAATATTTTTATAAGCTATTGTCTAAAATTTATTTAACCTAATTATTATAGTACGCTTATTTTTAATTTATAATTGAATATAGTTTTTTCGTATCTGATTTTATTTATTCAAATACGAAAATTAAAGACACACTGCAAAAAGATTTATTTAATTCAAATAATCAGTCACTTGACTAAAATATCAAATAAATATTTATTTATATTAAATGATTATTATTTCAGTCACTTAAATGGTATTTTTTTCAAATACATAAATTATTATTGATTATTTGAAACAAATAAATCTTTTTTCAGTGCATGTAAATTTAACAACACATATATTAAAAAACCATATTTTTATAACCTTTTTTAAATAAAGTCATTATTGAATATATAATAATTATTTTTCACAACTTCAAATTAATTGTAAAATTAATTTTTAATAACAAAAATCCAACAGCCATTTATACCTGATGGGCGAAATATTGTACTTTAATTATTTCGTCCGTTTTTGTTTTATCACCTGACGGGCGAAATAATATATTCGCCCGTCTTGCAGATATTCGACTTTTTCTTAGACGGGCAAAGTAATCTATTTTTCTTATTTCGCCCGTCTTTTAAAACACATTTATTTCGACGGGCGAAATAGCCACTTCACACAAGCGCATCTATTTCGCCCGTCGTGGGCGAAATAAGAGAAATGAATTAATTCGCCTGCGATAGGCGAAATAGCCACTCCGTATTTTTTTATTTAAAAAAAAAAAAAACGTACCTATTTTGAATAGCTAAATCCTTCTCCTCGTCAGTTGTATAAGCAGAGCAAAACAGAATTCTATACAAAAGGGTCATTGTATACCTTTCAATGTAATCCAATAGTCTTTCTTTAATTTCCACCGAGAATTCTACAAAAAAATAATGTAAAATTAATTTATCCCTTTTTTTCCCCTCATTGTTCTTAGTAAATTTTTTTATTAATCGACATAAAACTTCTTTTTTATTTATTTTAATCAATTTCATTAATTACCATTATAATCAGAATTATTTTCCATTTGTTTAGCAAAATCTTGATAAAAATTTTGTGTTATTTCCGATAATTCTTCAATTTTTTTGTCTTTATTTTGAAGAATTTTGTTGACAAAAAAATTCATACACTTTTTTAAATCTCTCTCGGCACGTGTTTTATTAATAACAGAAATAAGATCACGATTTTCATATTTGATTTTATCAAGATCCTGATTATTTTTTAATAAATCCCTTACAAGTTCATCATTTCCAGTTGCTGGAAAAAAAACATAAAAAGAATACAAATAATTTTATCTACATAAAACTAATTTATATTAATTTGTGCGTCATTAAGAATTTAATATAAAAAAATATATATTTAACTACTTTAAAATTACCTTTGAATGAAGGTTTACGAAATACTGAAAGATTAATTAACTTTTTCTTGTCTTGTTGACGTTTTTTCTCTATCCTGCTAGAAGTTTCACTGAAAAATATTAATTTCATTTACATTCCATTTTTTTTTTTTTTTAAACAATTTTCTTTTATTTTTTTATTGAAAAATACTTTGTATTTGAATAATAATTACCTTTCACGACTTTGTACTCGTTGAACATGTTCTCTTTGGGCTCTTTGCTTTTGCAAATGTTCCCGATGACACTGACTGCAATATCCTTCCCATTCAGCATTTCCAAAAAAGTCACAACCATTTTTACATTTTAAATCCGACTCATCAATACGTAGTGTTGGCGTTTTTGTCGAATACATTGTTTAAGTTATCAATATTCAAAGCAAAATTAATTTTAATTTCGATAAAGCTTCATTTAATTAAATTAAACTTTTAATTATGACATTAATAACCTCATTTTTTCTAAAAAAATAATAATTTTGACAGTTCTAAACACGGTTGGGGATGTGCGATATTAATCAAGGGATCGGTAGGTAGAAAATTTAAAAAAGATGTGAACGTAGGTTTATGTACAGTGATGGGTACGTATAATACATGACGTATAATACGTGGTTTTCTACGTGTATAATACTACGTATATTACGTGCCAAGTTTTCTACACGATGTATATTACATTTGATCACGTGATTTAAGAGCGGCAATTTTAAATTCTTCATTAAAATACATTATTCATTACACTTTCCCAGGGCAAACCCTCTTTAAAAGATTTTCTTTTACTTTTTCTGACCATTTCTATTTTATTTTAAGACTTTAATTTAAATAGAATGATAAGAAAAATTCGTTATGGCAAAAATCAGAGGATCATATATAGATGTCAAAATGTCAGTGGTTTCCTACATGGTTTTATACATTTTATACGTATATTATGTCGAAAACGTATTATACGTACAAAACTTCGTGTGACGCGTCACAACCCATCACTGATTTATGTATCAATACAGCAGGGTTGGGTTAGAAAGTCGTCAATAACGTATGCAATTTCACCTACCCAAGTCTGCATTTTGTTGATGGTGGCAACACTGTTTGATCTTCATTTTGTCGTATGCTAACGTCTATTTTTAAAATTAGTTAATTAGTTAAATTCTGTGAGAAATTAACAAATCAGTGATAATAATTAAATTAATCTTGGAAAAATATGAATTGTTTGCGATTAATAGAAAGTTTAGATCAAATTGGATATACCGGAATGTGCATTGGGGCGGAAAATTCTCAACTTCTTCAAAATTCTTTAATTATTCTCCAACAGGAAAATCATTTTGACAAATGTTATTATTGGGGTAGAATTAATGGTGTTAAAAATGATTATTATATCGCTTTTGGCCATGGAAAGGATTGTTTAAAAAGTCAAGTTTATTACTATAGGTAAGTTTTTTTTTTTATCAAAGAATTATTTTTTTGACGTCACGATGAAAATGTTAGCCATATCAAAAGGATTTTTATTATTATTATTATAAATGTATTTTTTTCTGAAAGCATTGATTGTTTGAATTGGTTGCTTATGCCAAAACCAAATACATGGGGTAAATGTTTAGCACCTTTTGCAACATCACAATTCCAAGGAATTTCATCTTTCGTCACTAATATTTACAATTTGAATCCTCCATTTCCACTAGATGAGAATTTAAAAAAATACTACGAAGTAATTTATTGTCGATTTTCTTTTCTTCATTGAATTTTTAGTGTAAAACATTTTTTTTTTTTTTTATAAGAATAATTTAAAAAAATATTTAAGGGTTCGAGTCCAAAAGAATTAAAAGAAGAAGATCGTTTAGCTGTTATTGTAGATAAAATAAATGAAGATGCAATGATTATTCCTCGTGGTAGTTGGCTTAAAAATTCAAATGGCGATATTATTGAAAATAATAATTTTCATGGATTATCAATTAATGAATCTGAACAATTGAGTTTTTATCTTCATGCGAGATTACCGCAGAGAAATTGGAAGATCAATTTGCTGACAAGAAATGATTATAATTATTCATTTGATTTTTTAGATACTGCAGATGTAGACATTCCAAAGGGTATATATAAAATAACTAAATTTTTGTTGTATATTTAAATTCTTTTTTGAAAAAATATTTTACATAATTAAATTAAACGTAAATGATAAAAAAAATTTTTTAAAAAATTAAATAACAGCAAATTTTTCATAGGATCTTGGTGTTTACAAAAAGAATTAGGAGGTCGTTTAGTCATTTTAACCAATGCTTTTTGGCCTGGTGCGGTATTTTATCATAAAATAAATTCATCGGATTTTGGATTTATGTATATTGGTTCAGGACAAAAAAATATGGATGTTCCATTTATGATTTAATTATTTAATAAAACAATCAAATTTTGTTTCAAATTTATTTAAAGTTTAATTGTATTTTTTATTTCTTCAATTTTGATACATTTTTTTTTTTATTATTTTAATTTTATTATTATATTTTTTTTAAATATTTTGAAATTATTTTATTTAATTATTCTCTTTTAAAAATAATTTTTTAATAAAAAAAAGTAATTAATTTTTTTTTATAGAATTTGTTTTTAATTAATTGTTTTGTTAAAGGAAAAATTATTTTTTGAAATAATTAAAATTTGAATTTTACCGCTTTTTTTATTGTCAGTTGGTAATGCAAAGCTGTTTCTTTACTGCCTATAGATGGCAGCACTGACGCTTTTCCAACATTGACAAGAATTGTTTAATGGCGGAACGAACGCTCGAGAGCCGGCTTTGAGAGAAATATCTTCAACATTTGGGAAATATTTCATCATAATTGTGAGTAGATATCTTAATTTTTGTATTATTTATATATTTCTTTTGTATGCTTTACATTTTTTTTAATATATTTATGTCAATTTTTTGTGAAGACAATGTTTAATGAACGATTGAAATGTCAAGTGGCAACGCCGGCTTTCTTTCGATTTATGCAGTTATATATATTTTTGACGCCAAAAAAGAACTTTCAATCGCGTATTTTTTTTCTGTTTTTTTTTTCTTTTACAAATATTGTAATAATTTTCCTCTTCATATTAAGTATTCGTCTTAGTGTAAAAGAACAATGATGGGGTTCTTGATTCGTAAATACGAATTGCGCATTCTTTTTCATGTCATTGACAAGGTTGAAAAAAAATTTACTAAGAGACAAATTTTATCAACGAATAACGTACGTTTTTGAAATTAAATAAAAAAATTTTGCGAATCTTTTTTTTCGGATTATAAAAAAGGTTAGTTTTTTTTTTATCTCTCTCTCACTAATGATTCTGTAAATTTGAAAAAAGGAAATGATTTTTAATCAGTACTTTGCATTCATAACCTAAAATTTGTTATCGATTTTTGACAAAGAGACTTTTCTTCAATTATATTTATATATATATTTTTTTTTTGGTATTGAATTTGAATTTCTTTTTTTGGTTTAAATCAAAAATTTAATCGGAATATTATTTTTAAATATATTATATTTTTTGGAATTTTTTTTTTAAATTTTAATATTCGATAGGAAAATGTGAAAAATTAATATTTTACCAAAATAGATATAGACATGGTTTAGAAATAATTCTTGTGATGATAAATTAATCTCATTGTCGTCGAATTACTTGAGTGAGTTCTTCTTAGTTAAATCCATTGTAAGAAGAGACTTTCAAATAATTCTCGTCCTTTCGTCAATTAATTCCTTTATTTAAATTCCACCGCTATTATTTTCTCACAACAATTGAATTTTTCATTAATCGAGAATTATTGAGACGTGACATTCAAATTTTAATTTTCAATTTATCAGAATATTTATGAATTTTTGTTATTTTTACACTGAAAAAAAAAAACATTTATTTGATTCAAATATTCGATTACTTTATTATCAAAAATAAAAATATTTATTTGAACCAAATAATTTTTATTTGAGCCAATTAAATAGTATTTGTTTCAAATACAAAAATTATTGGTCCAAAAACAATTTATTTAATTCCAAAAAAAAAAATTATTTGCTTCAAGTAAATATTTATTTGATTATTTGAATCAAATAAATTTTTATATTTAAATTATTTAATAAAATATCTTTGAAAAAAAAAATAAGAGACAAAATTTTGAAATTATTTTTTATTTTTAATAATAATGGAGATTAAATTTAATAATAAAATAAAAATAAATTGTACAATTTTTATTGATAGCAATTACTTTTATGATACATGTTTTCTTGAAATGTAAATACATACTTTGGTGTATGTATATTAAAGATGTAGAAATATTTAAAGAGAGAAAGAGAGAGAGAGAGAGAAAAAAAAGAACGTGAAGAGAGGTATTAAAAGCAACATTGGAATTTTTATTAATCTTTATTTCTTATCTTTCGAAAGCTCTCGTCTTGCAAAACGATCGTATAACAAGGCAACTTCAGATTTTAATTTTGCGAAAAAGAAATCAATGATTTGCTGATAATTTTTCTTCTAGAAATATCCTGAGGCCTCCATGATATCTGATTTATATGCACAGCCGGACGTGTGCAGTGGTATATTTTTGATTCTGCGCACGAACTTCAGGTTCCGGTTCCTATATTGAATCCCCCATGGTCATGCACCTTCTCTTATAATAATACCATACGACATTCCAGACTTACGTTTACACTTCATCGTCATTAGAAACTCTCTAATCCTAATCTTTCTTTCTCCTCTCTTTTCTTCTATTCAACTTCTATATATATATATATATATATATATATATATATATATATATATATATATATATATATATATATATATATATATATATATATATATATCCATAAAGCTCACGCCCAATGATGTGTCATAGAACAGGTTATTTCCTCTACTTTATTGCTTCTCAAGTCGTTCAAGTTCGAGGACAAATATTTTATCAAATATTAAAATATATTTATTATTAAAAAAATTTTTATTTCATTCATATTGTCAAATAATTTTTTATTTACATTCAAATTGTATTTATAAATCAATTTTTGGTATTTAAAATATTTAATTGATTTAAATAAAAATTAGGTGTTCATTTTTCATGATCATTTAGCTTCCTCATCATGATATATACTTATATACATATTCAATAGATTAAAAGAAGGATTACAACTCTCTAAATCTGAATTAGTAAAAATGTTTATTAATTTGAATTAGTGATTCACTTTTTGCTTCTGAATTAGTTAAATTTTACTAATTGTTAGTAAAAGTTACTAATAATTAGTAAAATTTTACTAATTCAGAAGCAAAAAGTGAGTGACTAATTCAAATTAGTAAACATTTTTACTAATTCAGATTTAGAGAGAACTAAAATATAGCGATCAATTTTATAATTATTGGTAAAATGTAAACTTTATATACATCAATCGATTCGTTTTCATGCCAGGAATACAATTTTGACAAGAATTAATTGAAATTTCTATACAGTGGAACCTCGATTATTCGAACCCTCTATTATCCGAACCGAAAAACATTTTATCCGAACTATTTTTTGGTCTCCCGAATTTTAAATTTTATTTTCTCTATTTATTTTATCATTCATTCATTTCTGAGAAGAATGCGTGATTTGGCATCTAAAAGACGAATAGATGCTATCTTTTAAAGCAAAATAACCAAATTTATGCCAAAAAAATCTTAAAAATTTCCGAATTTTCTGAGTTTTTAATATATTATTAATTAATATATATTTACATATATGTATATACTTATGTATATTTAAAAACATATGTATTAAGTTAAATATATAGTTCAACTGTACATTTTTTTACTTTAATTATAAAAAAAATTAAAATCTCTATTATCCGAATTTTCGATTATCCGAACCCGGCCTTGCCTAGATTAGTTCGGATAATTCGAGGTTCCACTGTATAAGAAAAAATAATTTCAAAAAGTACAAAAAACAATTTTTTTCAAAAATTCAAAAAAATGATTTAATCTACTCTCTATATTTGAATTAGTAGTTTTCTACTGATGAAAGAGTGCGGATTCGTTTACCAATTGAATTAGTAAAAGTTTTGACTTTTTTTTAGTAGAAAACTACTAATTGCTAGTAGAAAACTACTAATTCATGGAGTAAATTGTATTTTTTTCTATTTTAAATTAGTAAGCCGATTTACTCCATGAATTAGTAGTTTTCTACTAACAATTAGTAGTTTTCCACTAAAAAAAGAGTCAAAACTTTTACTAATTCAATTGGTAAACGAATCCGCATTCTTTCATTAGTATAGGAAACCACTTTCTAAATCTGAATTAGTAAAAATGTTTACTAATTTAAATTAGTGACTCACTTTTTGCTTTAGAATTAGTTAAATTTTACTAATTGTTAGTAAAAGTTACTAATAATTAGTAAAATTTTACTAATTGAGAAGCAAAAAGTGAGTCACTAATTTAAATTAGTAAACTTTTTTACTAATTCAGATTTAGAGAGTATAGATTTCAGTAAAATATGAACCTTATATATAGGTTAATCGATTTGTTTTAATGCAAGAAATAAGTTTTTTTTACCAAACAAAATTAAATTTATAAAAAAAAAAAAAATATTTTGAAAAAAAAATAATTTTTCAAATTTTGAAAAAAATGTAAACAAATATATATATTCGGAAATCCTTGTGTCAGATTTTAGGTATTAATGATTACAATAAGCATACAAAATTTCAAGACAATCCGTTAAAACGTTCACAGAAAATTAAAGGGGGGAAACTCGTGTAAATGCACGTTTTCTCAGGAATTTTTTTAAAAAAACTGGTAAAGTTTATTGAATTAAAGTAAAGCATACCTTAAAGTATACAATATAAGCTTTATAAAAAAAATTTTTTATTAAAAAATATTACAAAATGGTGGCGTTACAGGCGTTTGAAGTTGCATCTTTGATTTTGCGCCGTGCAGCCTGCAGGTCACAAATCTTAACTAAAATTAAAAATCAAAATTTTTACATTTAAAATAGGCAAATACGCTTTGTATGACGAAGAGAAAACTAAAAAAAATTTTTTTTTGAAAATTTGGGACTATTTTTTTGAAAAAAAATCACTTTTTTTATAAACAATGTTCAGAAACAATTGTTAAAAAAATTTTTTTTAAAAAAGGAGCTCGTTATGCAATAGCCAGTAAGATAAAGAAGATTTGTGATAAGATTGATTAAAATCGGTTAAAAATTACGTTATGTATTCGAAAATAACTATTGCACTAAAACAATGATTTACTACCACTTGCTTATGGTGCTTGCTAATGACAATTAATAAAATTATATTGACAAGAAACTGAAAGAATAGAGGCATCTCGTGCTCATAGTTAACTGCATTTGGTTGCATCTGAAGTGCTAAACTTATGATTGCTATAGACATTCATACATCTAATTATAGATAAGTAATGTAGGATCATATTCTACAGATAGCAAACTAATTTTTAAAGCAAAAAAAAAATGTAAAAAAATTTTGTTTTACACGAGTTTCCCCCCTTAAAAGGTATTAAAATAAGCTGCAACGCTTATTATTTTAATCCAATTTTGCTTATTTTAATATCAAAATGGATTAAAATAAGCAAAATTGGATTAAAATAATAAGCGTTGCAGCTTATTTTAATGCCTTATAATTTTCTGTGTTTTTGAGATAATTTGTACACAATATTTTGTGACATAACTTCATATATATTAATTCTAGATAAAAATGAGTCCATATAACCCAATTTTAAAACGTCGAAAATCGTCATGAATGCAAAGCTTCGCCTCATGAGGAAGCAATTATTTAGTTCAAGTAAATATATACAGACACTTTTTCTAATGTAATTAATATAAAATTATAAAGA